TCAGCAAAAGAAAACTTAAACAACAAAAAGTCAACAGGCATGATCTTCCTGGATGTAGAAAAAGCATTTGACAGAGTCTGGCATAACGGACTCTTGTACAAAATGCTCAAACTGAGATTTCCACTGCCACTTATAAAAACTGTAAGATCTTTCCTCAGTGAAAGATCTTTCGCAGTTTTTATTAAAGGTCAGTTCTCAGAAATCAAGGTAATCAAATTCGGAGTGCCACAAGGAGCAGTGCTTTCACCAACTCTCTACAACATCTTCACGTATGATGTTGTAAGAGAGACAACCAACAACATCGGTCTTTTCGCAGATGATACAGCACTGTATCATTCTGCAGAGAACTCGGCTGATATTGTGACATATCTACAGCACACAGGAAGAAAAGTTCAACAATACATGAACAAATGGAAGATCAACCTCAACAAACAGAAGACTCAAGCCTTATTCATCACAAACAGGCACTCCAGGCAACTACCAGGAAATAACATCAAATTTCTCAACGAAAACATCAAATGGGAAACAGAAGCTAAATATCTGGGAATGGTGATCGACAAGAGAGTGACATTAAAGCCGCATGTGGAGTATGTGACCAATAGGGCTCACACCGCGTTAAGACAGCTTTATCCGCTCATCAGCAGGAACTCACAACTCGACGTACGAAACAAACTTCTCATCTACAAGCTAGCCATCAGACCAATATTCACATATGGTTGTCCAGCGTTTGGAAGCATGGCAAAAACCCATCTTCAAAAACTTCAAGTACTGCAAAACAAATTCTTGAGAATTGTTCTCAATAAAACAAGATATGAAAGGATCACCGATCTTCATACAGAAGCGAAAATACCGTCCATCGAAGACTACGTCGGAAAGTTGCAAGCGAACTTCAACAGTCGTCTTGCATCTCAAAACACCGAATAAATCAAATGAAATACAAAAGAAAGTAAAATCCGTAAATGAAATCAAAATTAAGAGACAAAAGGCAAATTGAATGCCTGAAACCTTAAAACAAAAAGCAACAAAATGTATAGAAACTTTGTACATACTTAAATTTAAATGTAAATAAATAAAAAGTTTAAAAAAAAAAAAAAAAAAAAAAGAATTACATCTTTTCTCCTTTTCTGTTAAAAATGTTGATCGGGTTTTTTTTTTGTGGATTGTTCAGTTTGGTAGGGCAACAAGGTTTTGAATTTATAGGATAACATGCTTCTAGACAACTGACAACTTTTTAAAATCTAAATTACGGACCAAAGCATGAGATATTGTTTATTAAGAAGCACCTTACTCACGAAAAACCCACAATGAATAAAGACACACCTAAACCCAACCTCACCAACCCCCCCCCCCCCCCCCCTCTTGGCTTCATCACTGGACTGAATATTATTGATTGTCACTTTAGGATATTCCGTAATCGACTGTAATGCGCTGTCTAAGCTATACAAAATGCACGCGCATCATCCAACTTATCGTAAAGTAAATAAGTTGCGACAATAATTTTCATTTTTATTTCATTTTCTGTTTAAAAAAACGGGATTCGTACAAAAAGAGAAATTATTGTGCATCAATAAATAAAGTTTTTATTTTATTTTATTATACATTGATGCAACCGCAATTTATCAATATGTAACATGTAAACGAGTAAGAGAGAGAATGAATTCATTTAATGTGTATACATGGAGGTGTATTTTCGATTTCCTTAAACACGACAAATTTTTCTGTTCAAAATACAATTCGTAACGGTTTTAATCAAATTTATGAAATCAACAAATTCATTGTCTGATGTCAATTTTGAACCAGATCTTTGGACAATGGTCAACATATTTATGAACAATCCGTAATCTCATTCATGTTTTCATTTGATAGTCGATGAGAAGAAGAAATACAGAAACAGACAAGAGAAACAAAAAAAAAATAAAAATTGTTTTATGACTTTAGAAAATGAAATAAAATACAAAATTGGAGGCTGAAAAGAAATTGTGTAATGTTTTGAAAGTTGCTGTCTCATATCCCTCCAAAATAATACCAATAATAATAGCAGAACAGTTTTTATTTCTAATAGTTCTTGCTATTGACATGTGATGATGCCACTTGTGTGATAGAAATATATAAGAAGAGGGAAAAACTAAATCTTTTCGATTTTATAAGATGAATGCTAAATTTGTAAAAATGCAAGAATTGGGAACTTATTCGTGCTTAGGTTCTGGAGAGATTCAGACTTTGAATCTTTCATAGAAAAGCTAGCTGTTGTCCTTGTCTTGTAAACAAATAGCCATAAAAACAATTATATATTGTCATATCGATTTCAAGTCCGTCTTATTTGTCAATTGGTGACTAAAAAGCATTAAAAATAAAAAATGACATTTAAATTGCCAAATAAATTCTATGCCACAACAGCACCTGGTTAACAACTATATCTTGACAAACAACTTACATAAAATTAGAATAAGTACCTCATATAGCACAACTTTAAGAATTTTTAAGCAACCAGCAAGTTCCCATCAACTGCCATCATTCCCAATTCATAGTGTGAGATAAAAATCGACATACATCATCAAGTCTTACATGCATAAGTTCTGATGAAACACAGAAACAGCAGAAGGAGAAGAAAAACCTAAAAAATCAACATAAACGCACACACGAATATGGAGTCTGAATGATCAATGACTTTCAACGACTATTTTTACTCGATTTAATCATCGATTGGCAGAAAAGAACCGATTGGTAACACGATATATTTCCATAAATGTTCGAGCAATGGGCACAGAAACTGAAACTATAATTTTCATATGCTCAATTGCAACTTGTGGCAGAGATGATGATAGATTTATGTGTGGCCTGCGAATGTGATTGACAGAAATGTCCGATTTATTTGTTTTCATTGATTTCTTAGCTTTTTCCTTCCTAAATTTGGAAGTGGAGTTTTTGTGGTTGTTTAAGGAACTTCGTGTAATAAATCAAAGATGTTGGATACTCTGAGATTTATTAGAAGGGAAATCTTAGTGACCTAATTAGGTTCTTACTTGGATTTCAGTAGATTAGTGTCCCAACCCTGAAGTTTTCATTTTCATTTCACAGCATTTATGTAATGCACAATAATAATCAATCATAAAGCGAATGGTAGATGACATAAAATACCTGTCAATTGATTTTTTTATGATTTATGCGTGACCCTCAACAATATTTATGGTCACATCTTTCATCGACAACAAGCATAAAACACATATTTATTGACATCAAAAGAAATCATGTTAATGAATAATCAAATAAATTTAATTAAAAATTTATTTAAGGAAGTGATGCGAGCACGTAAACACGATCTCAAATTACACCGATGCATGTCGAATGCATTTGGAGATGAGAGAGAGAAGAAAAATGTTCAATATTTATTGCATAAAATAAACAGAAGATTTTTCATTCGAACTGCCTCTCAAGTGGCACTCATCATCATCATCATGCATAAGAGGAAATCATGTAAAGCACTTTAATTAATGTTCGTTCATATTTTTTGTTTCCTTTTACAGCTTCTCCTTTACTTCAACCGAATCATTTTGATGATTTTAAAAATTTATCATCATTTATGTACCTTTGAGCTTGGGGACCAAGAAGTGGGCACTTGGATAAGATTTTGGTCGTTTAATAAATTTGTGGCTATGCTGGGGAATTTAACAATGTTAAGTTACACATTATGAGTTATTAAGTACCTGACAGTCAAAACTAAAGCCTAGACTTAAAAAGCATGAACAATTCGTGAGAATCGTGTTTTCACAAAATAGTCCGAACACCTAGTACACAACATACCTAAACAAATTCGTGCAAGAATCGATATTACGTCCTTCAGATACCAAACCACCACAACTCAACAACTACGCAGCCCTTGCCCATACGTTTGGTATCGCTTTGTTGATAATTCAAGAAGCATCAAGCTGTTGACATGATAAAAGATGTGAAGATTGAAAGAAGAAAGAAGAAGTCTTCTTTGAAATGGCTAAGGCACATAACTCCATGAGACCATAAATAATATTTTCTCTCATTTCTTTAATGTTTATATCCATCACATGTAGATGAATAATAAAAATGAGAGAGAAAAAGGAAGATTCATGAAAGGCAGTAGCACATACACATAAATGTGTTTTTAAATACATAAATGAAAGATGAGATGTTAATTCACTGTAAATCACATGAGGAAAAAAAATTTTCATTTTATTTTATTTCACTTTACTGCCAAAATTGCTTTCCTTTTTGTAGCTTTTACAACTTAATGCCTTACGGGACAATGGCATGAAAGGTCTTCTTTATAGAAAATATGGTATGTTGAGTATATGATAAAAATAAAATATATGACGATCATTAAAATTTTACAAATAAATAAATAAAATGAAAATGATTCACTTATGTTTGAGTAAAATTTTTATAGATAGCGACAATAAGAGATCAAGTCTGTAAACTGTATATGACTTAATATATGACAATGTTGTTAAAGTATTAATTTAAATGAGGTGTCACTTAAGGTGCTCTTTAGGAAGAGTGAGTTTGTTTTATGTAATGTCTGACAGGGACGGTGTAGAATGAATGGTAGTAAGAATAAGTAAGGATCAGATTGAAGCCTTTTAATCAATTATCTAACTCAAAAAGATAGCTTTAAAGATCTTATTCTTCATATTCGTATGATATGAATCTTTGGGAATGTGTGTAGCTGTACAATGGAAGCTATTGTCGATACCACAACTTTTGTGACTGTGAATACTAGTTCCAACTTCAAAATATGCAAAAATTTAGCACTTTTAATGTAAAGCAAAAGAACGGTGAATCCTAATGGCAAAATATGCAGATTAGTGATCGTTAGCATCAACCTTTCTTTCATTTGCTTCTTTATAAATGCCATTTGCATGTCAGCTTTGTTTATTCATCAGAATGTAATAGATTAAAAAAAAATATTTTGACTATAAAAATGTTGAAAATTTCACAAAACAAAAAATGTTTAAAGGCACAAAATAACTGCATAATTAAGACAATTTTTTTCCACATCATAATTTTAAACCTCACCTAAGCATCTTCTTCTGTCTATTAACCCACCATAAATCGAAAAGTAGAAAAAAGCCAAAAGCGAAAATAATGACCTAAGAAAGAAATAAAATGCAAATTTTTATGGGCTACCTTCTGTCAGTTTGTATTATAAGATAAATTTGCAACGCTTTACGAATCAATCTTTTGATCATTAATCATCCAAACGCAGACGAATGGAATAAGATTATTATTTAGGGAGATGCAAAGATGCATGGAGAAATATTATCCCGAGCAGCACATCTTTTTGAAGTATTGCCTTTAAAATAACAACATTCATGATAGTATCCTGAAGACTATTCTATGTCACTCGGGTTTGTACGAGGAAGAACACAAGAAGAAGAAGAATGATAAGTTAATTGTGTGTCCAGCACATCTGACAATCTCAAAAATGAATACAAAACGGAAACATCAACATCACGTCTCTATTAATATCACATTCATATTTATTGCCTAAATGGCTTAACTAGAATGCGACGCAACAGAACAATAGAGTAAAGATATCAAAAATGAATAATAAACTTTTTTATGATGCTCATGAAATAAAATCAGTAAGACGGGGAATAGCAGAATTGTCTAAGCGAAAATAAAAAGAATCTCGGTCTTGTTACAACTTCCAACTCGTTAGATGGAAATGGAAATAGTTAAATGCGGTTATGATATCTGATTTATTCGCAATATTTTAGGTATTTCACGCGAAAATGAAGCTGTGTTGAGTATGAAATGTCTTTGTTGGTGGAGAACGTGATTAAGCATTAATAAGGGATAAATGTTTGAAAATATCATTTCTGATGGAACTAGAGCATCTAGCAAATATTGCAATATTGAATTGAGCATAATCTCGTATTCAACCTAGCTCCTAAAATATGACTTTATATTGAATGTTGTAGAAGATAAAAGTAAATCTCCCAACAAGTTGTTCGGACAGGGAATCGAACATGCGTCCCTACAATTTCCTGTCACAGACTCTTACCACTGAGCTATCGCGGGTTGCTAATAAGCTAGGCAGAATGTCAACTTTAACTATTTTATCAATATCTTTGCATCTTATAGCATCTAATCCTAAAGCAGTACAGAAAAGTCAATTCATAACTTTAAGAACTGAAAAAATTGTGCTACCAACCAAGAAAATTGAGATATGCGAGACGACCGCAGTGATGCAGCAACCCTTCTCATTTAATATCACACTCAGTTTGCCGCTTTTTTTTTTCCTCGCACGTAATAAATGACTACAAATACCAATAGTTTATCATAAAGTCAATAATTTTTTTCCTATCAAAAGTCATAAATATAACAGAACTGAGGAAAGGAAAAGAAATATTTTCGTCCGAGAGAACACACATAAAAAAAATGGATATGAAATTGTCGACGATGGTCATAAATCGTCGTTGAAGCTTGACTCTTTATATTTTATGGAATAAGTAATGGAGGGTTGTGATGTTCTGATTATTATCCTAGATATGAACGAACACTTCCAACACGCTCCGATCCTCTCCTTATTTCAATTCACAGGCTCCTCTCGAAAATGTGTTAAAGATAATCATTTTTGATTTAGTGCGTTACATGAGTCGTTTCGTATGTCCCAATTGGGAATTATACTGAATATGTGCGATGAGAGAAAATGTGACGAAAAGAAGTTAAGTAACTCACTTACTATGACCGCAAAGCCATGCAAATGTTTCACTTGAGCTGTTGATGATTTTCGCTTTTAATGCGCGTGAATATGTGCAGGAGCTGTGAAAAATAAATCTTTTCTTACTGGGAAAAGTAATCCATTTGAATAATCGAAGAGGCGTTCATGCAATAAATCCTTTTAAATGGACTTTTAGTGAAAATTTAAAGCTATCTATTCAGCAATTTTCCATCTATACAATGTACTTTGGAAGTCATTTATATACCATTTGAGTTATTCTGCACGATAGTTCTATGAATGAATACCTAATTGATGTAATTTGGTTAAACAATAATTATGGAATTAAGTTTCCATTGTAATTAATGTTTTAATGAAGTCAGGATGTGGAACCTGATATTCATAATGATTATTACATAAATTTTTATGAGCATTATCTTGAGAATCTATTTAAGACGACATCACGAATTACTTAGCTTTATAGATCTCATGAATTCATGTATAAGACATAACAATAAAGGAATTCTTCTTACAAAGATGGGAAATTGGATTATCTTTTGCATGATAGCAATCGTTAGGTTTGACAATGCTGTATTAAAAAGCACTTGGGACTGTACATACGTTATGGCTATTTTGTTGATTTAATGATAATGTACTGTTAATGTTTTGTTTGTTCTGTTTATTATTTTTTGGATGGTTTTATAGGCATTTAAGATGGGTTCTATGATTAATGTTATGGATTGTTGTATAAAGCTTGATGTTGGTGATATTCGGGACGTGAGTTTGTCAACATAATCAAAACAGTTTATAGAAAAAAAAGTCACTCCATCAACTCAAAGGATAAACTATCAGCTCCAAAGCTAGATAGTCACATCCAGAGTTTGGAAGTGTTTAAAGAGCAGCCATCCCAAAAATTTCTGAATTAACAAATACCACATAACATCACACACAAACAAGCCCCAACTCTCGAAAGGAAACTCACAAAAAAAAATCGAGAGAATCGGCAGTAAAAATTGCATATGAATTGAACATAAATTATGATTCAATTGAAATTGCATCGTCCACTTAGTCGTCTGATTTCTGCCTTTTATTCCTTTTCTTACATTATGCACAGTCACAATTTATTTCGCTCTGCATAAAAAGAATCATTTGTTCAATATTTATTGGCAATTTTTTTACTGCATCGCTTCTACCTGTACATATATGTAGCATGTAGCAATATGAAATATAATCATAAAATGTCGCATGGCTGATACTGTATAGTAAAGAGATGGAGATTGAAATTTGCACTTCAATAATGCAGCAACAGAAAAAAAAATGCTTATAGTCATTTTTCCACTCCCTCATTTTCTTCCTTCCCTTATGAAACGTCAAGCTAGTGTTAAGCACATATGAGCATTGCCTGACAAAAAATACGAATATAATATGCAAATATGTAGTCTTCCTCACTTGTGGATATGATAATATGCACAACATATTTCAGTTTTCATGATGTGAAATGGAAATCCGCTCTTAAAAGATATGCCATTATAATGCATTGCTGAAAATTCTCACTGAGACTATTCATTAATGACTTCTTTTTTTTCGAATATGAATTTTCCTGCTGATGCTCATCGTGAGCTGTAATTTCTTCGCTTTTGAATGCCATAATGAATGCACAATGAGAGAATATAATCTTGTTAAGGTTCCATGCTTGCATCCTTCCTTTGTGGCGCATATTTTATGCAATGTTGTGATATTGAGTGTAGATTTGGCTATTACTTTATGCTTCATCCAGGAAATGTTGGGTTTTTAGTTTTATGCTTGAGAAAGCTAGCTTTTGAACTAGCAATGGACTTGTATTTGGAATATTAGCTACTGGGCATCACTCAGCAGCGAGCATGGAATCATAGACAAATCGTACCTTTACTGCTCTTCATTACAGCTTTTACTTCCATTTAATCGGAGAACAAACGAACAATCCACATAAAGAGTTAATAGTACAGAGATAAATTCCATTTTTTGCTAATTGTTAGCTAATCTTTTAAGTGCAGCTCATAAGCTCATTATAATAAACACATTTAATATTCTTTTTTTACATGCAGCATATCCAGTTATATTAAATTATGAATTGAATAATGAAATTTATGTTTAAAGCGGAGTGAATTTGTTATTCTGGATGTTGTGTTCGTCCATCCTTATTGTTATTATAGCACAATCAATTGTGCATCCTACTGTGAATACCTCAAGTGGCATGCTTGTATCAAATAATAATTTAATAATTCAGTTTAATGGTTAAAATTATTTCATCGATTATGCCATAAAATTAATATTGTGTTCATAAATTGCTTGTGCTTGTGACTCTGAATATTGTGGCTATAAATTCTCTGACAAAGTTATATTTGACAAGTTATTCATGCCAATTTGACTTTTATTGTGGCAATTTGTGTTATGGGCTTTTGATTATGCTGTTAATAATTTTCGGAATGAGTGCTACTAAGCAGTAGTATCCTGGGAATTAAATATCTAATATTGCTGACATTCGCATGACTTATGATTCTGTCGAGTGGAAAGTATAAATGTAATTCAGCATTGCTTGGTATTTTCACGTAATTTATTGGATATGAGATCCTGTCATTTCTGATAATTACATCGTGCATCAATAAAGGTCATTTAATTACCTTTGATACAGGTTTAATTCAAATGTTATCAACTAAATCTACATTTTATTTATTTACCGTTTTATCCTGTGACTTTTCAGCTTGTAGACCTTTCGGATCATTCACATTCGCCTTATCTCCATTGGATTTCCTTTTTATTCCTGCCAACAAAAGCGACTTTTGCTTGTTGACTGAACTTGTAACAACTTTTTGCTTCGTAAACAATTCATGACGTTTCTGTAAATTGAGTAAATATTTAAATGGAAAGTCTCTTCTTAAATTTCTATCTGCATACCGCTGTCATTTCTTCTTCCTTCATTTGTGCTGATTTACGTCTAAAATTCTCAATTTCTATAGAATCTTGTTCCTTTATTTGTTTTTCAATCATGAATTTCCTTTCTGTCACGTTTTTCAAGTGATCTGCATCTTCTTCATCAATACCGACTATTGATTTGAAGGATTCCTTCCATGCTTGTGCTTTTATTTCCTGCTGTTCCTTCAACCGAAGTTTTAATGGCCTCGAATCTTCAAGTTTGTCGTCTGAAAAAACTATTTTTTATAAATTCTTATTAATTTTGATGTTTGATGTAGCTTACCGTCAAACTTATTAACATCTAAGGCTTTTTTCCATTCATCTTCACGTATTAATTTCTCAATATCTCTTTTAGTTGAGCTCATTTTGGGGAATTTAATTAATTGAAAATTTTTGTCAACAACTTTGTTGATTCTTTGAGCATTCAGCTGAAGATTTTAAATTTCAAAAGCTCGTTAAATTTTATATGCTGTTTTATTACATTTCTGATGACATTTAACTATTTTATCGCATAAAATTTACCTTAAGAGCCTGAAATTTATTGGAAGATAACAAATAAACAAGTCAGATTAGTAAAAATATATAAAAATTAATGAACTTTATTCAGCAATTCAGCGGTTACTCAGCTATTAGTAAAATTCAAAAATTTGTCGTTACATTTCTTATTGTCAAAAACAAACGTGATTACTCAATGAGGAAGGTCAGTAATATTTGGAAACACCTTAATTTGATATGTTATCAAATAAATCTGATAAAAAATAAACGTCGGCAATAATTGCTTAATTTTCCTTCTTTTTCTTTTTAATTTTCTTGGCAATTGGATTTTCGTTCTTTCTCATTATTCTCTTCATTATAGGAGCTTTAATTCTCTCGAAAACAGCTCCAAGTAACAATTTAATAATCCAAACAATGCAATGAAGTATAACAACTCCGATTAACACAAAATCAAGCATGTATTTCGTCCAAAATGGAACATTCTTTCCATTGTATTGCAAATGTTTTGTTCCATTATTCTTAATGACATGCTCGACCCACCAAACAGCCTTATCAACAGGTTTCATTTGCTCATCCTGAATGAAACTCTGTAAATTCAAAACATTTTCCTTGCATTGTCCATGAATAGCTTCGTCAATAGCCTGCCGTAAGTTCTTTTCATCCATAAAATGAATATTCAACAAAACCCCAACATTTAAATTCTGTATCCTTATACCATTTGCACCTTGATCACCAAAAAATGGAATAACAACCATTGGAACGCCTCTATCAATAGATTCTTCAATTGAAAGCTGTCCACCATGTGTAATGAATAATTTGATTTTGGGATGTGCTAACAAATCTGCTTGAGGCACCCATGGTGTAATGAATACATTATCTGGCTTATCCGGCATCCCATCCATCTCCCATATCCAAATTATATTATATGGCAGAGATTTAAATACATTTTTGAACGTACGAAGGAATGGCTCTTGTAAATCTGATGATTTTACAGCTGATCCAAAACTCATGTAAATTATAGATTTATCAGATTGGTCCAAGAAACTTTTTAATGCTCCATTTTCAATTTCTTTTGGTGCCTTAACATGCATAAATCCAATTTGAATTGTTGTCGGTACCATTGGACGTACAAATTGCATGGCTGGATGAGTATTGATTAATAACAAGTCAGTTTTCTGTTTCAATTCTTGTGAACTTGATTTTATGTCTGGCATAAACTTCTTAATTAATTCATCAAATTTCGAGTGGAACTTATTCTTGTAATAGAAATTGTAAAATATGTAGAAATGCCAAGCATTGAATCTATCTTGAAACGTCATTTGATTTGTAGTAGGAAGGAGAATATCCGGATCTCTTATTGGATTTGCATTGTTTCCCATTGCTTCATGATTTTCTAATGTAACTTCTGTTGCTGAAATTCCAATAAGTGGTGCATTGAAATACTCGGCAAATGCATACCATGGAGTGTGTCCAACATGTTCTACAATGACTGCATCGAATTTCTCATCGCTGTTCCTTAACAGATATTGAACATCATCATTTTGAAATTGCTTTTCGAGAATCTCAAACTCAAAGTTGTACCATTCAGACAATGATTCTAATTCAGTGTTTACTTCCTTTGTGCTCATCGAGAAGATTGCTTTTTTGAGAAGTTCATGGGAAAAATGCATGTCAATTTCTGTTGTGTTTCTATGATTCCGTCCAAGTTGTGGATCTGTCGAAATGATTGTCAATTTATGTCCACGATCTTCAAGCGCTTCCGTTAGAGTTCTGTAAATTTTTTGATGCCATTGTGTTGGAACTGGAAATATTGCAAGGATATTAGCTCCATTGATGACATTTGCAGTTGCAATGAGATAAATTATTAAAAATTTCCACATCACAACTTTTTAGTTCTTCCACGTTTCCTTCTAAACTGAACATTAATCAATGAATTATTCCGTACGTGTGAGTATCAATATCAGAATTGATAAGCTTATCGTTATCAAATAAAATGCTACTTAATTTTTATTAAATTGAATTGTCAAAACATCATCAAAATGTGTGTGTTTATGCAGCATATGCAACATCCATAACACAATATAAAAAACCTTCATAAATATTAATTCAGTCATATAAAGAGAATGAATAAACCATAAATAAAATATCAAATGAAATCATCTGAAAAATGAATGCATGACAAGACATGTGTAGGACGACAAATCATTTTTATTCTTTCAGTTCTTCTCTATTATTATCAACTTCATTTTATATTCCATTATATTCAGTGCAAAAGTGCAGCATTGGCTATATTTCATTTTGGATATAACAATAGGGAAACATGTTGCACCTGCACAAAAATATTTTCAATAAATTACTTTCACTATAAAATTGATATTTTCATTTTGGTGCTGTTTCTCTTATGCTTTGCTCTAGTTTTATGTGTGCAGATGGTTTTGTGGAAGCTTCTTTGGAGTGTGTCTTGATTTTTGCGATGAACCTGGCTGTTTATATGGCTGGCTTGACTTACTTTTTAGGTTCCTGAACAAACTTGCACTGAAATCACACTTTAAGCTTCTCGGAGTCACAGTCTTAACTAGTTCTCGACCTTTGGAACCTTTTATCACAACCTGAACTCTTAACTCTAGTCTAAATGATCCATGTACATATAATCATGCCACAAACATCCAGATGAAATTGTTTTGACAGTTTGGATTTTATTACCAATTAGAATACTTATTTAGGAACATGAAGACGATTGCTAGACTTACCTCAAGTTCCTGAAACTTAAAACCTATTTATAAAATCCATATCCAACTGAAAAAGCGCACCAAAATCCAAACAATTCACATCATCGATAGTTCTTCCAACCCATTTCACATTTCCAATATATAATAGAGGAATTAATTTTGTGTATGTCAGGCTGAATGACAATTTATAATCGGAAAGGGTGCATCAAAAATCTACAATAATCTGTTGATGGTTGTTTAATGTGAAAAAAAAGGTATTGTTCAAATGCAATTATGTTGCTTGCTCTACATCTCCTACGCATATATTTATATTTACCCTCCTAATTACTTCACATATCTGTCATACAATATATCATCACATTAGTCAAGCCATTTAATCCACATCATGACTACACTCCGTTCATTAATGCACATTAATAATGAAATTTATTCATGAGGTACTTTATGACAACTTAAAATTTATCAGGAAGCTAAAACCTTTAAATGCATTCATGCCATGACTCTCAATTGAGGATTTACATAATTTGTCCGAAGGTTGCGTTGCGTTCCTCTTTTTTTTATACACAGAACTCATACAGTAAATTTAATTATTAAATCAATCATTATACGTGATTGAGATGTTCAATTATGCTTTTCAGCACGCTCACGCATAAACTTTAGAGCGATGAAATTATGTTTTATAGGAAGGCAGGCAGTATACAATGAAGAATATAACCACTCTTTTGTTATCGAATGATTTTTAATTAAATAATGCAATTTATTGGTTTTTCATCGATCATGATTTGAGATTTTGTGTTTTGGGGGAAGTAACTGGAAGTCGTGGTTGTGAATGAGTTTGTTTTAGATTGGATATTGTTATACTCATATGTAACATATATATCACATATTCATACCTGCAGCTTCCCTATTAATTGAGCTCTATTCATAAAATCAACATCACAAAAAAGAGTCAACTGATTGATTAATTTCCATCATTATTGCAAGTCAGCATTATTGGATCCTTGTTGATTTTCCATTCAACAATTAATTGCGTATCAGCTCGTCCGCAAAAATTGCAGACTTGATTAAAATTGATCAATTAATGCCATGTTAAGTCAATAATAGACAATAAATTATTTTTTGACACATTGGCGCCTTTTTAAATGTAATTGAAACAAGCTGAGAAGTGGATTAAATGTATTGTTTTCTAGATTCTTGACTGACTTTATATTACTGTCAATATTACAAACTTACAGTGCAGATAAATGTCTCAGCAGTTGTCTTATTAAGTTGTGGGTAGACAAGACTTCATACCGCTTTATAGAAATAAACAAAATGCCTTTAATCTACCGAAACAAACCCAAAACTTTGTGGCCAGCATGTAAGAAATTAACAAGCTCATAAACCGCACAATGCAGCTTTCACAAATTGTATAACTTATGCGTGGACTAAGATTGCAGATTAAACGAACTTTTGATCTCTTTTGTGACCTCAATTTGTTCCTCTTAAGCCTGCATATATTGTAAAACACTTTTGCCTTGTATGCAAATAAAGTGACTTTTCCGGTCTACACAAAGGTCGTTGTCTTCTGAGACACAAAATATTTGATAGCTAGACTAATGCTCGTAAAAAAGAGACCGACTTTTCATGCTGTAACATCTCTCAAATCATGCAAAATAGCAAGTTCAACCGGTTTTGTTTATTTTGTCACAAATTTGAGACAAATCTTCGCTCTCATCTTTGAGGCATCATTAGATATTTAACATTTGAACGATTCGCAAGTTTTAATATTTTTTAATAAAAATCCAAAAAGGAAAATGTCAGAACTAAACTCAGTCCAAAGATTTTATAAGGACAAAACTATTTTTATTACGGGAGGAAGTGGATTTATGGGAAAAGTGTTGATTGAAAAATTATTATATTCATGTTCGGAAGTGAAGGAAATAATTGTTCTTATGAGACCAAAGCGTGGAAAGTCAGTGAGCCAGAGAAAAGATGATTTTACTAAGCTGCCTGTAAGTTTCGTAGCAGATTGTCGCTCATTCTTTATAATCAGTTTAATAATTTTAATTTCAGTGCTTTCGTCGAACAGTCGAGGAGAAGCCCGAGATGATGAACAAGATAACCATCGTCAATGGCGAAATATCGCTGCCACATTTAGGACTTTGTGAAGAAGACTTAAAATATGTCATTGAGAAAACTGAAATAATTTTCCATTTGGCTGCGTCTCTAAAACTTGAAGCTACACTACGTCCAAATGTGCTGATGAATCTTACAGGAACAAAGAATGTCATTGACGTAGCTAAAATGACCAAAAATCTGTTGCTAATGGTTCACACATCGACAGCTTTTTGTAATGTCGATCATGCTGTTGTTGACGAAAAGGTTTATGATTTTCCACAACGTCCAATGGACATTATTAGAATGGCTGAATGGATGAATGAAAAAGCAATGGCAAATGTTCAGCCTGAAATTCTCTCATTTCATCCAAATACTTACACTTATACCAAAAGATTAGCCGAGATTTTAGTCCGTGATGAGTTTAATGAAAGCAAGTTACCACTCTGCATTGTTCGACCTAGCATTGTAACCCCGAGCTTCTGGGAACCAGTTATTGGTGAGTTTACATAATTTTGTCACATCTTATCAACCTTGATTTATTGATCATCATATAGGATGGGTTGATTCATTAAATGGACCTCCAGGCATTACTGTTGCTGCTGGAAAAGGTGTTTTAAGAACAATTCTTGTAAATCCAAATGCACATTTTGAGGCAATTCCTGTTGATATGGCTTGCAATGGATTATTAATGTTTGCAAAGAAACTCGGAACAGACACAGAAAAGTAAGCGTGATAAAACCGGTCTGTCAATAAAAATAAACAATATTTCTTTTTTTCTTTGTAGACCAAAAGAAATTCCAGTTTGTAACATCACGGCTCACGAGAGCTCCAAGGTCACATATGGCTATATCTTTGAGCAAGGAGAGAAACTGAAATTTGACATTCCATTCTCACAAGTTATGTGGTATCCAAATACAAGAATAACTCAAAGTAAACTTTATTATGCCATCAATGTCTTCCTTTTTCAATGGATTCCTGCGTACTTTATAGACTTGTTGGTGCTTATATTTAGGCAACCTCGATTGTAAGTCCAGAAACTTAGTTTTGATATAATAATTTTGTTGATTCTTATGTTTAGCATGGTTAAAGTCCAGAAGAAGATTTCTCAAGGAATGGATGCATTGGAATTTTTCACAATGAATGATTGGCATTTCAAATCAAAAAATTATATTGGACTTGTCGGCATACAGGACAGAGAAGAGTGGGAAATGTAAGTTTTAATGTATTTATTAATTTAGCTTATGATTTTCAAATTTGTTAAAATAATTTCTTGAATGTGATAGAAATTGGTAATTAAGATGGCACAATTAAATCAATTCTTTATCTCGTAATTTGCGATTCATTTGTTAAAGTTAAATTTTTGAAATTCATAAAACAAAATGAATTTTTCAATAATATAAAGCTCTTTGTATTGTTCATTAATGCAATTATAATTCCGATATTGATTTCGTAACGTTTTTAAACTTTCTTTTGCATTAATGCTTCCATTAATCCTATTTACAATTTTGAAAATTCAACTTTAAACTTCAACTAATTGAATAAGTTTTTAAAATCACCATCAAGCTTGAAACTTTAAAAATACAAAAATAGCCGATTTAAAAATAAAACTCTAAATACAAATCCAAATCTTCAGACTAAAAATAAATCCATCGACATTACTAAATCATCTGATTAGAGTTTTTATAAAACAGAAAAATCTAAAAATAGATTCATAGATTTTACAATCAAATAAAAAATCGCATAAATTCACTATAAAAATTAAAGATAATGAATGAGTTTAGATTAGCTTTTGAAATAAAATTCGTAATGCATAAATATTTGTTAGGATAGGTCAGTGTGTATACAATCTAAATTGAATTGATGATGAGTTTTGTTATGTGCTTTGAGTTCATTCAACGCAACAAAATATTCATTTTATGTATCTTTGAACATTTATGAGAAATTTTGGCATTAATTTTGTTTTGCAATGATTTTCAAAATTGGCAATTTCTCTTCTGCTTATAAACAGTCAAATCTAGATGATTCAATGATGAATATTAAATCAATATCAAATTTTAATTTGGAAACTGGTGCATCTTATGGAAAATATGACCAAAAACTTTTTGACACCTTCACCTTCGGATTCAAATGTCCTTCTGTTAACTGTTTTACGTGCCTGTTAAAAATCTTATTTTGCTAATAATAAAATCTTATTCTAAAGGTTCCTAGTCGATGGAAGAAATGTCGGAAACAATGACAAATACATGTTGGACTCATCGATGGGAATCCGACGTTACTGTGCCAGAGACTCAATAAAAACTCTTCGTAGCGCCAAAATCACCATGTACACGTGAGTAAATCTTTAAAAAAATTCTGTCCATAAATTCTTTCTGACCAAACCCATCTTTTATTTACCATGACTTGCTTGAAAAATTTCAGTTTGTGGGTGATTGATTCCATGTGTAAAATCTTCTTCTTCTACTGGTTGATAAAAACAATTCTTACATATTCTGGTCTGCTGGATCACGCGACTATGTTCATACATGGAGTAAACGATCATTTTACAACCAAATTTACATCAACCTAAACTAGTTGAACTTATTGTAGTTTTTTCCCGCATTAACTGTAGTTTCAATTCGTTATGACGTAATTATCATTGTGTTGTGATCTTGAAACTTTACTTCTCTTTTATTAGCGTCTTGTTAATTTTACCTTTTTTTGTTATTTATTTTCTATTTCATCGCAGAGCTTAACACTTTACTTTTATCTTATATATTTAAAGTTTGTGTTAATTATTTTGTATTTAATTAAACAATAAAGATGAAAAGTTTGTTTAACGTGAAGATAAACTGAATTTTTTATTGGATTTAATTGATTTTGGTTTTAATTCGTTGTGATTTATTTGTTTTCAAATTTAGAGGAATACTTTCTAGCTTAATTACTTAATTAAACGATTAATCAATTTTTTCATTAGCTTGGCTAATACAATCTATCACCCTAACAGACAAAGAGCACGCTCTGAACATGCTTTTTAAAAATCAATTATTTAATTTGATGACACTAAATTAGCGTACTCTCCCATATAAATGGAGATCGCAGTACGGTACCATAAAAATCACGCTCTCAAGAGTACGCTTTTTTTACTTGCAAGTTTTTCATGCAAGTAAAACTTGAGATCATGATCAAGAACATGTTCAGCTGATCATGCTTTAATTTCACTAATTAAAAAATTTTATGAGCTTGTGATTATGCTATTGATCATGTTTTTCAGAAATTGATATTTTTCTTCTTTTTTGGTGATTGCCGTGATTTGAACCCGAGTCCGCTGTGTTGTGGTATGTCCTAATAACTGTTCATCTTGTCTAATGCCTTCTGAAATTAAATAACTTTCAAATGGCGAAAAGACATATTTAAACTATAGAAAGTCCAAAATAATTTCTTATAATAGTGATTTCTGCTTTCTCTTGTGAAGTATATAGGACCTATACTAGTGATTTCTGCTAGCGCTTGTGAAGTATATAGCAAGGATAATTTGAGCATAATCTCATGAGGATGTCAATGATCATGCTTTTTATATACTCTTTTGATCATGCTCTTGAGAGTATATAAAAGATTATGAAGTAAAAACTTGCATACAAGTTCTTTATAATTAGAAGATGATTGAGTCCGCTATTGAACATGCTCTTTACTGGGATCTTGAGAGGATGTTGAAAAAGCGTATTCTCAACCGTACTCTTGATCAAGAGCATGCTCTTTGTCTGTTAGGGTCAGGAGCGTAGCCAGGAGGGTCTTGTCCCCCCCTTAAACGAGCACGGCATAAAACGCTTAAAAGGGGGATAATACCCTCCTGGCTACGCGCCTGTAATCTCTCATTTTAATTACTCTCCATTTATTCCTGATTTGCCAGTTAATATTTCGTAATAAATTCCACTCAAACTTTTCCCAATTACACATCAACAGGAGGCAATACCTAATAAAATAATCAAAAATTCAAGTCAACCTCACTTAACTGGTAATCAAATCAGCTTCACAGTTACAAAAACATTACTTACTATATCCATGACGCAATTGAATTACAACTCTTACTTTCCAAACAGTTGTCTCTGCAACTTAACTAGATTTTGTCTGTATGAAGTTTCAAATCCACTCTCAATCCATCGCGTGCTGTAATTTCAATAACATTACGTACACATTTTTACTTTCTTTCTTCTTACATGACCAATTCAATTTATTCAAAGAGATTTATTGAATTTATTTTGTCGGACTGATGGAAACGATGATGATTGTTAATATTGACATTGAATATTGTAAACAGGCAAGCCCCCTATTTAGGAAGATGTTATGAATTTGCATAAATTTTTGCATATTACTTTGTGAATGAACTTTGTCAATGAAACTAAGCTAGTGATGAGATATTTGAGTATTATGTGATAGTTGATTATTGACCGATACCAAAATTTGAGGAATTAATCGATGGACAATGATGTAGATCAAAGAGATTCTCAATAGAATTCCATTGATAAAGCTACATTGGCTAAAGCCTTAAAATCCAATTTAATGTTCAGCATCACTTCCACTTCCATCCAAAAAAATGCGTTAAAAAGAGTTAACAATCCATGAAGCTTTCCACCTTGCTGAATTTAATTTCGTTCAAAAAGGTATTACCGAAAATAAATCCAATGTGTACTTACTATTCAAGCTCATTTCCACGAATAGAAACACGTTTCATAAGCCTTCTCTCTGCTAAACAAAAGACTGAATATTTTTTTACGAAAAAAAAAATAATAATTTTCATCACTTAAACTCTTTTACAAGACAAAGACTGTGTACATTATACTTTCGGTCGCGAAACTGTTAACTTGATTGTCTGTGCAAGATGAAGGAATTAAATTCAGTTCAAAAATTTTATAAAGATAAGACAATCTTTATCACGGGTGCAAGTGGATTTATGGGAAAAGTGTTGATTGAGAAGTTGCTGTACTCATGTTCGGATTTAAAGGAAATAATAATATTGATGCGTCCAAAGCGTGGAAAGACAGCAAAACAAAGAGTTGATGAGTTCTCAAAATTGCCTGTAAGTATCTGAACTAAGTGAACTAAAGTTGAAAGTTTTTGTGAGTGAAAAATATTTTTGAGGATATCCAGTGTAGAGTAAAGTTCAAAAAAGTTTTTAAAGTGGCTGTTCTAAGAGTGTTTACAATTACCCAATTAATTTCCAAAAAATCCCAACACTAATCTTTAAAATCGTCCTTCAACAGCTCTTCAAGAGAATCATGGACACAAACCCAGACATCTTGAAAAAGATCTTCCCAGTTTGGGGTGAAATAACACAGCCAAATTTAGGATTGAGTGACGAACATTTAAATCACATACTTGAAAATACAGAAATAGTCTTTCATTTAGCGGCTTCACTCAAGCTTGAAGCAACATTGAAACCGAATATTATTATGAATTTGACTGGAACTAAACATGTGGTAGATGTTGCGAAAAGAATTAAGAACCTTATTCAAATGGTTCATACATCCACAGCATTTTGTAATGTTGAACATGAGATTTTAGAAGAGAAAGTCAATGATTTTCCACATGAGCCACTTGATTTAATTAATATGGCTGAATGGTTATCAGAGGAAGGAATGTCATCAATCCAAAAAGATCTCTTAGGAGTTCATCCCAACACTTATACGTACACAAAACGTCTTGCAGAAATTTTAGTTCGTGACGAATATGAAAAGAGTAATTTACCAGCTTGTATAGTCCGACCAAGTGTTGTAACTCCATCATTCAATGATCCAATTCCTGGATGGGTTGATTCACTTAATGGACCTCCAGGCATAATTGTTGCTTCTGCTAAAGGTGCATTAAGATGCATGCTGTTGAATAGGGAAGCAAATTTTGAATCAATTCCAGTCGACCTTGCTATAAATGGGCTCATCATGATTGTAAAGAAGCTCTGTACAGAGACGAAGAAGTAAACAACGTCTGTTATGCAATCAGCACTTAAATTTCATTTTCCCTTTCTTTTTCTTTCATTATTTACCTCAATTAAGGTCAAAAGAAATTCCAGTTTTTAATGTGACAATGCATGAACTCGTGAGAATGACTTACGGAAAGTTTTTCGATTTGTCTGTCGCAATGAGAGAAGAAATTCCAGCTTCAATCAGCTTGTGGTATCCAAATGTGACAATAACATTGAACAAATTCTATTATCTGATAAATATCATTCTTTTTCAATGGATACCAGCTTACTTCATTGACTTGTTGCTATTAATTTTCGGACAGAAAAGATTGTAGGTTGACAATTTTAAAGCAAAACTTATGAAAAAGAAATGTGTGAAGGTTAATTTTGTTTTTATGACTTTGACACTTTATTTTTAGCATGGTCCATGTGCAAAAGAAGATTGCAATCGGAATGGATGTCCTTAAATGTTTTACAATGAACAATTGGAACTTTAGGTCGAAAAATTTTACAGATCTTGTGGAAATACAGTCAAAAGAGGAGTACGATATGTGAGTAGATTCTATGTTATTATTATTATTTATTTGTCGACGTTACCGTCCGGAAGAATTAGTATTTATACATGTTTTATTTTTTACATTGATTGGTGATACATTTCATATCACTATGGGTGACGTAGAATCAAGCTTCTAATCTTCAAATCTAGGTTTCAAATAAACTAAGGCTCTCGTTTCAATCTTCTGTGGGCGTGACGTGATACATTTCAGGTCCGTTCTGACAATATTCCATTATAAGGTAATCTTGTAGCTCTCGTTCCTATTTCTCCCGCTACACTATGTTATGGCTTGACTCGTACATTAAGCAGTCGAAGTATCTAAACTTCTGAAAAAGAACAAATTTGGAAATGGCTGGATTCGAACCGACGACCTTCGAGTTACCATACCAAATTTGAGCCAAGCGCCTTACCTATTCGACCAGCAAGGCACTTAACTGCTTTGCTATGTTCTATTGCTAGAAGGAATTGAACTAAAGTGTGCACTTAAAAATAATCAGCATTTTTGTTTCGAGTTTTGCAAATATATACCTGAAGGACTTATGATCAAGTAGCTGCTTTATTTCAGCACGAATGACAAAAATTGAATAAAAACAAATTGTTTTTTATTTATGAAATTACGGTTGTTTCGTGTCAATTGTAATGATGATTAGCTTAATAATTTTTTAAATGACTAATTTTTCATGTAATTTTTGACAAGTTATAAATAATTATAAAATCGTTTATTCAATTTTAGGTTCTTCGTTGATACAAGACAAATTGATGTAGACAAAATGGTTCGTCAGTCAATCATTGGTGGACGTGTTTATTGTCTTAATGATCCTTTATCAACTGTTCCTAAAGCCAAACGATTGCTCAAAATGTAAAAATATCTTGATGCTCTGTTAAGTTTAATTTTTATACTTTCTTTACCTTCCTTTTTAGACAATACGTAATTGATAGACTTGTAAAGTTCATTTTCTTCTATTGGGTCATTAAAAAGGTTTTAGTTTATTCTGGAATTTGGGATCCATCATATGGTGTATTAGACATCTTTAGTGGAATCTTTTAAAATTAATAATTTTATAGTCAGACTACAGCAGTCATACCTTTGTTTCTATAATTATAAAAAATGTCATCAAAGCTATTACAACCTTCTGGTTAAAGATTTACACAATTGGATATTAAACACTGACGTCAGTAAATACAAATGACATTAAACAATTAATTAATTAAGTCAATATGTACCTACTTTACCGAGAAATGTATTTTTTTTTTTATAAAAGCTCATTAATAATCTCGCAGCAGCTTACAACAATGCTATGAAAGTGTTGTGATAATTCGTAATGGTGATTGCATTTCATAGTTTTTAAGTGCATTTGGCTTATAAAAAGTGCAATCTATCAGAATCATAAGCACGTATTTAATAAACATGTAGTATTAAGGCGGTGGAGCGAAGATTTTATACCTGTGAGAAATGAATTGAAATATATCTAATTAATTGTAATAAAAATCAAAAAATAAAACATTGTTGCAATTCAATTTATTAATTATGGGCTGTTTGCTATTATAGTTTGCAGGTTTGATTGAAATGAATTTATTAGGTTCGGAAAATTGTTTTGATCGGCATAAATTTAAATTGATTATTTCCTTCCTTAAAATATATTGTACGAAATTAGAATTTCTTACATTTATCTGCATTACATGTACATTCATCTGAGTTGACCACTAGTCATTTTTTCTAGTAGATGTCTTATTAAAGGCACGCACTAGTCAATCTTATTACTAAAAATTATCAACGAAATCATCCAATTGTGTCCTCAGGTGGATTTACTGTAGCTTAAATGCAGAACAATGCTATAAATACATGTCCCGTTTTCAATGCATAATAGCAATAGGTGAGTAACCTTTAATTGAACGGAGTTCAATAATTTTTGTAATCAATATTCTTTCAAATTAATTTATCATTAAGTTCCAATGGCTCGCTACAATCAGGCAATACATTGTATCAAATTGCTTTAACTCGTCATCCAAATATTTCCAATCGTTGGATATTTCTGCATAAAACATGCACATAACACACCTCCAACATAAAAACACCGGTACGAATCAATGCCAATATTAATTACAACTTAAATACCTCAACTTGATTAATTGGTTAGATTAATTTACTTTAATAATTTTTTGCAACATTGTAAGCTATTAAGTGATTGAATGTAACACGATATATGCCTAAAACACGTTTGAAATTTATGTCTATTTTCACCGGCATGTGAATCATCAAACATACGAAGATGATGAAGAAAAAAAATGGAAGATGCAAGCATGTTTCACATATTTTCTTTGAATCTTCTTCTTTTCTGATTGTTTGTTGATAACTGTAAAATGCGTTGGCTATGCAGGTCCAATATTTAAATGCATCAACTGATGATGCTTACCTTACGCAATCTTCTTCCATATTATCGTAAAAGTTATTTTCATTTTAGGCATTTTATAGCTAATTTAAAATTCCATTGATACCTTTAAAGGGCTGAAACTGGTTTCATTCAAACTTGAATAATGATGGCCCAACTAGTTATAGGAAAAATCCATCTAAAAACATACAAAAGACACTCGAAATTTCACACAAAAATCATCTCTAGTCACATCATTCACTCGTGAGACTTCATTCAGTTACAGTCGTAATTTAACGCAGTTCAGCAAGATGTCTGGAAAAAAGTTAAATTCAGTGCAAGAGTTCTATAATGATAAGACAATTTTTATTACGGGTGGAAGTGGATATATGGGAAAAGTGTTGATTGAAAAATTGCTGTACTCATGTTCGGATCTTAAACAAATAATCATGCTGATGCGTAATAAAAGAGGCAAAACTGCCCGAATGCGCATAAATGAATTTGAATCATTGCCTGTGAGTATACAGAATGGAAAGTTGTAACAAAATTTGGTGATGTTATGAAATGAAGAAAATGTATGCAATAAAGTTGTGTGATTTAATAATGGACAGACATGCGTGAGCAAATTTAAATAAATTTAACATTTTGAACCAGACTTGCGTCATTTCGAATGTTGGCAGTTATGCAAAATTTTGAAAAATTCAAAATTTATTTTCCGTTAAAGCATAAAACAAAATTTTGCTTTAATTAAGCTACAGATTATGAAGGTTTTCGATCAGTATCACTAATTATGTGATCAGTAAGTTGTTAATCATTGTTTTAAGTAAGAAAATTCCTAAATTAAGAAAATTCAGTTGAAATTGAAAAATGTCAACAAAAAAATGTAAGTGTGTAAGTGTAAAAATTTCTTGAAAATATTTCTGCAAAAAACTCTTTTGTTTCTTGATATTCATGATTTTAAAGCTTATCAATGTTCATAAATAATAACAATCTTTGATTCTAAGCTAGTTGACAGTAGTTGTCATAGCTAAAATGCTCAAAATTCAGCATAGAATTTTTTAAAGTTTTACCGGTTGAATTGAGTTTAAATTTTCGAAATAAATTTCGAATTTTTCGAAGCCAATTTCGAATTTCTTCGAAATGAAATGACGCAAGTCTGTTTTGAACTGGGAAATATTCTGAAACTTGATTTTTGTATCTTTAATGACTTACATTTTGTAAGTTTATTGGTTTTTAACTTCTAAATTTTCTTTGATTTTTAAACTTTATGTAAATTCAATGAAATATGTAAAAATGAATGATTTCAACAAGGAAGATGAAAAAATGAGAAATTAAACAAAAAATCCTTTTTGTTTTGAGCAGATTAATTCAATTCCTCATAGAAACTAATCCTTTAACTGACGAAGGAATCACTTAATCTTCAAAACATTAATTCACGAGCGACACAAAGTCAAAAAATATAAAACTCAAGCTTAAGAGGTCAATTTTACGTAATACTGCATCGAAACTATACAAAAAGCTAATGGACATCATGTTGCATTTTCAAAATTTAATGCTGTGTAACAATTTCTATTTTTTCTATTCAAAAATTAAAATATTCATTAATTTGTGTCACAAATGAATCAAGCTAACGCAACACTATTGCTTAATTTTCTCTACTGTCACGCACTCCAACTGGTTTTCACTTCCGAAATCACATTTATGAATCAATAACAAACGAAACCTTACATACCAATCAGCCTGCTTATTTCTCTCTTTCTCAATTTTCTTAAAGATGTTCGAGAGAATAATGAATGAGAAGCCAGAGGTGATGAACAAAATTTATCCAGTATGGGGAGACATTTCTGAGCCAAATTTTGGATTGAGTGCTGAACATATGAAGCATGTTATTGAAAATACAAACATTGTTTTTCATTTAGCGGCTTCTTTGAAGCTTGAAGCTCCACTCAAGACAAATGTAACCATGAATTTGGAATCAGTTAAGCAAATGTGTGACATAGCTAAGCAGATGAAAAATCTATTGATTATGATTCACACGTCGACAGCTTTTTGCATTGTTGAGCATGAAGTTGTGGAAGAAAAGGTTTATGATGTCAATGAAGATCCACTTTATGTTATTGAAAGTACAAAGCGAATGTCATCGGAAGAACTTGCATTGATACAAAAGCAAAAACTTGGAAAGCATCTTAATACCTATACCTATACCAAGCGTCTTTCTGAAGTTTTAGTCCGCAATGAATATAAAAGCAGCAATTTACCAGTCTGTATTGTCCGTCCAAGTATGGTTAGTCCAGCTCTTGCTGAACCACTTCCTGGATGGGTTGATAGCTTGAATGGATCACCCGGAGTAATAATTGCAGGTGGACGAGGCGTTTTGAGATGCATGTTGATGGATATGAATTCCACTAAGAACTTCATACCTGTTGACACTTGTATGAATGGCTATATTTTGATTGCAAAGGATCTTGGAAGTGCAAAAGAAAGGTTAGCGATTGATCAATTGTAATTAACAAGATGACTAATTTTTTTAATGATTCTAGGTCAAAAGACATTAAGGTCTATAATCTCACAGCTGATGAATCAAATACAATCACACTTGGAAAATTCTTTGAAATTGTTGATAATATGAAGAAAACTTGTCCTTTATCATTTGGTGTTTGGTATCCGAATGTTACGATAACACAAAACAAGCTACTTTATTACTTCAGCATCATTATGTTTCAATGGATTCCAGCAATACTGATTGACTTTCTTTTGATGATTTGTGGACAGAAGAGATTGTAAGAATCATTAAATTTCTTGATCAATTTTAATACTTAAGCTTTAAACTTTACTTTTTAGTATGATTAAGGTTCAAAAGAAGTTATTCACTGGTATGGATGTGCTTAGATGCTTTTTATTATACAACTGGATATTTAGGACATCAAACTTTGGAGATCTGATGAAAACACAATCGGAAGAAGAATATAAAACGTGAGTTATGAACATTTATAGCCAATTTGGTATTTATGTGATTCCCAAACTTTCTTCAACATTATCAAGGTTTTTCATCGACACAAAAAAAATAGACCCTGTGAATTACTTTGAATCTGGTGTGATTGGAGGTCGAGTATATATCGGAAAAGATCCTATTTCAACTATACCAAGAGCTAGAATCCTCTATAGAATGTGAGTGAAATTGGTTTCAAGGAAATTAAATGTTTTTTACAAAAAAATCCTTAATTTTCAGACAATATGCTGTTCATTTACTAGCTCATGCACTGTTCTTCTACTGGTTAATAAAGAAGGTCTTAATTTCAACAAATCTGATGGATCCATTCCTGGGATTCATGAACAACTCACAAGGATATGTTGCAAGCAAATTTTAAGATTTTATCCTACTTGATATTATTGAGTTTATGATGCTTTTGTTTTCTGGTGTGGAATAATATAAGTTTTATGCTCAATCATTTTAATTTTAAAAACATTGTTATCATCATCCAATAAAAAGTTTTTGTTGCTTATACTGAAATTAATCGCATCATGGATTTTAAATTTGACTTCCCAAGTATTTATAAAAATTTGTTTTTGTTAACAAAACGAAAAGTTCGCTCATTTAATTTCACTTTTAGAAATTGAACGAATCATTCGAAGTTGAGCCTTAAAAATCTTATACAATCTCTAGCTAAGCTATTAAAAATTCATAGATGATAATAAAGCAACTGGTTTAGAGAAATGAAATCAAACTCAAATTTTGACAATCATGAATATTGGCAATTCTTTCAATTTGACTGGCTACTTGTGAACTAGTTTTTGACTAATTACTAAGGGGCCATTCACTTATTACGTAACGCTTTTAGGGGGAGGGGGGGGGGGGTCTAAGATTTTGTTACGGTTCAAACAAGGAATTTTTTTTTTCATACAAATTTTGTTACGAGGGGGGGGGGGTCTAAAAAGTCATTTTTTCGCGTTACGTAATAAGTGAACAGCCCCTAAGAACTTTGACAAAAAAAAGTTTTTGATTGGAGACACACAAAATCATCAAAATGCGCACTAAATATGAATTCTCATTTCTTTTCCTATCCAAATACATTTACAAATATTTTTGACACTATTTGAATATCTCATTTCTCTTTAAAGCCTTAAACGGTAAAGTCGATAAAGATGAGCTCAGTCCAAGAGTTTTATAAAGATAAAACAATCTTTATTACGGGCGGAAGTGGATTTATGGGAAAAGTTTTATTAGAAAAATTATTATATTCATGCTCGGAAGTGAAGGAAATAATTGTTTTGATGCGAGAAAAGCATGGAAAAACTGCAAAAATGCGTGTTGACGATTACAAGAAGATTCGGGTAAGTGGACATGTGGCAGTGACTTTAAAAATTTAAATTAATTTAGCAGCGACTGGAAAATATCAGGTGTTGTAATCTGGAATTTTCCCAAAAGGTTTAAAACCTGTTATTTAAAATAAAATCTAAAATCTATCGAAGATATTTTCGATGAACTTGAAATTCTTTTATGTTAACTTTTCTCTTTTGGTAAGCATGTGTTGTGCCATTTACCGGTTTCACATCACTTTCTCTAGCGTACAGATGGAATACGATGATATTTGGAACAATATTTTAATGTGTTGTCTACGAATTATTGAATTTTCAGGTTTTTGAGAGAATAATGAATGAGAAGCCAGAGATGATGAATAAAATACATCCAGTGTGGGGAGATATTTCTGAATTGAATTTCGGATTGAGTGATGAAGATATGAATTATGTTCTTGATAACACACAAATTGTCTTTCACTTAGCTGCATCTCTGAAGCTAGAAGCTCCACTAAAGACAAATATAATAATGAACTTGACATCAGTAAAGACAATGTGTGATTTGGCCAAGAAGATGAAAAATCTTCTCGCAATGATTCATACATCGACTGCATTTTGCATTGTTGAGCATGTAAATGTTGATGAAAAAGTTTATGAAGTTGATATTGATCCTCTTGACGCCATTGAGAAAGCAAAAGTTATGTCAGAAAAAGAATTGTCAGCTGTCCAAAAGAAAATGTTAGGAAAGCATCTTAATACTTATACGTACACGAAAAGACTTTCAGAAGTTCTGATTCGCGATGAATACAATAAGAACAATCTACCAGTATGTTTCGTCCGACCTAGTATGGTATCTTCAGCTCTGAATGAGCCAATTTATGGATGGGTTGATAGCTTAAATGGAGCTCCAGGATTTATTGTTGCGATTGCAAGAGGTGTCCTTAGAACTATGCTTATGGATGTAAACACTACCAAAAACTATATTCCAGTGGATACATGCATGAATGGATACATCATGATAGCTAAACATTTAGCTAGTCTCAAAGAAAGGTAAAATCTGTCTATAATTTTAGAAATAAATAATTTGATCCTTTAAATTTAAATCCATAGACCAAAAGAAGTTCCAGTCTACAATCTCACAGCACATGAATCGAATACAATATCTATGAAAGAATATTTTAAAATTTGTGTAGATTTAAAGTTTGTGTATCCATTCTCGGTTGGATTGTGGTATCCAAATGTATCCATAACAACAAACGAATTTTATTACTACTTCAATATTTTCCTGTTTCAATGGATACCAGCACTGTTCGTTGATTTTCTGTTGATGCTGTTTGGACAAAGGCGATTGTATGTATTTAAACATGAAAGTCAGGAATCAAATAATTGACAAAATTTGTTTTTAGCATGATTAAAATCCAGAAAAAGCTTCTTAATGGCATGGATGTTGTGAGATGTTTTCTTCTGTATGATTTTAAGTTTAAAACAGAGAATTTTGACAGCTTAATGAAAATACAATCACAGGATGACTACAACAGGTGATTAAGCGATGCTTTAGGTCTGATTAACATTTAATCAAAAATATTTTTTTTTTTCAGATTCTTCATTGACACAAAGAAAATAGATACGACAAGACTATTCCAAGGCACAATTATAGGCGGCAGAGAATTTTTGGGAAAGGATCCAAAATCAACTATACCACGAGCTAGAATCTTTATCAAAATGTAAGTTTCTGTCAATTCTTGTAGAATATTTAATGATTTAATTTTCTTTTTTACAGTCAATACATCCTTCATTTGATCGCTCTGTCCTTTATCTATTATTGGCTGTTTAAGAAATTTTTGGTGCTTACTGGATTAAGTGAACCTGTCTCAAACTTTGCATTGGATGCTGGAAGTTTTGTAAAAGATGTTCTGAAAATTTAAATCATGGGCAGTTTTAATGGATCAGGATTCTGATTAGAGATCCTTGCATCTCTGATTAGCGTTTAAAACTTAACTAATTAATCATTTCCAATCGACACAACATATTCAATTACACAAGACATTATCATTTCAACAACATGCTTTACGAGCACATGCTGCATAATAAGTAGAACATAAAGTTCTTAATCATTTTTGCAACAATGTAATTTGCTCATTAAAAATTATTAAAATATAATTAACTTAATAAAGATTGTAAATTATTTATTTAAATCAGCTCCAGATTCGTATTGTTACAGATATTTTCTAAAATAATTTATTACGGCTTATCGATAAAAACTCTCTTGCATCAGGAGTGTTTAAACTTTGTGTTTAATATCCTCACTTGGCTTTAGCTTCAATAACCAGCCACAATTCTTAAAGCACTGACAACAATTCTTTAAAACCCACCGCACACGACAACATTTTCGAACCTCTGTCTTAGTCTTGAATTAATCAATGTCAAAATAAATTGCAAGTCTACGCCACCACTCAATCAAGTACATTCTTTGATCTGCATTGAGTCAATACATCAATTTTGTGGCATAAGTTGCAATTTAATAATTATATTTCACACTTAAGAGATACTATGCACCAGATTAGACCGCACGTATGCATGCATTAATTTCAAGTCCAATGCAACCAGCCAAGTCTTCATGATCAATGTTAAGAGAAAAACTATCAACCTTAAACTTGCAGCATAAAATATAATTAAATGACGGATATGTGTTTTATCTTTAAATCGGTGATTCTTCAGCATGTAATCAATTTTCAGTAATCAGTTGACCAAAATCTTGAGCATAAAAGCATGTGTAGGTTCCTAAACTACATGCTTACTCTAATTTTCGTAGCACGAAATGAAAATTACAATCTTTGTTGTTTATAGTCTCAAGACATCATTGCAGTCCTACTAATATTGCATTAACTTAAACTGTTTCCATTCAATTTGCAGCATATAAAAACTCAATAAATGTAATGGCTAGTGGACTATAAACACAATTGTTCTATTATGAGTTGAATACCTTGGGTCAACTCTGACAGATTTATTGGAATAATGCATACCAAAAAGTGGGGTTAAGTCTCTTCTCTGGATTGAGAATCACACAAGTTCATTCCCATTCCTTATTAAATTTTTAAACATACTGATACGCTATTCTGATTCAGGCAAAACTTACATAAGGACTCGACCAACTCATTTGATGCCAGCGGTTATTGTTCAAATGGACTCAATAATCTATTCTTAAGTATTCCTTCATTACAATTGTACTGAGACAAATTATGAATTTTACAATAATCAATTACAGTTCGCATGCACAAATTGCAATTTGTAGCAAGTTGTTGAAAGTTAAAGGCAAAATTGCTATCGGATATTAATACAATACACTAAAGATAAATGAATGAATGGCAATAAATTTAATTTTGTATTAAGTTATTATTACTTAAAGCTTTATATGCTCAAATCACGCCATAAAATTTGCCTATATTCTTTGGTCTATTTTGAAATGAAAACCCTTGACAGAATTACAATTGCTGGAACTTTCGAAGGTTTTTGCTTTTTTCTAGAATTATGATTTCTTAAGTTTGATTAGAGATTCCTTCAAAAGAAATAAACTTGACATCTTTCTGAAATTGAGTTTGTCATGAAAATCCATTTTCGCTGAGACCTCAGAAATTCCAAAAAATCTCGATTTTGTTTGTCAATCGTTTGCTTTATTTGACTTTGGAAATGTGATTTCCTGTTTTGGAATATCTGCAAATGTGTTATCAAAAATCGCGCGAATGTCGATTCGCATAAAAATTCGCAAATAAACTGGTTGCAAACTACTTTTTGAAAAAAGTGGGGATCTCCGTGATTTAGAGGATTTTAATATTTAATGTAAATTGTCTCAGTCTTAAGTTTGTGGACCATTATATTATCAGTTGATAATTTTTGCTCAGTTCTGAGAGTTAAAAGTGAAATAATTACAGATTTAAGTTAGAAAAGTGTATTAAGTAAGATTAAGATGCAAGAAAACGTGTCCCTTTCTGGTTTTTCCAGATTCATTTCAATATTGTAAATAAAATGCTGTGCCAATTTATTGTGATCATGACCTTCACACTTGAATCAAATCTGATGTTTCAAGAAAAACTTACCTCAACACAAATCCTATTGCTGACTTAACATATTTAACTTAATATTGTGAATAAGTATTTCTGAAAAATTACTAATGTGAAATTGAAGCCATAATTAATCAACAAGTTCCTTTATTATAATGAGAAAATGCATTTCTGCATTAATTCACAAAACATTAAGTTAAAGGTTTAATAATAATGCGATACAGAAGTCATAAAAATGCAATTTAGTGAACCCTTCATGATCTATAATTAATCAATTTCAAAATTAATGCTTCCAAGTGATGGATACTTGGTGATTTCATAAACAATATTTTTGTAAATAAGTAGGAAATATCATTTTTCATTGAAGCTACTAAGAATTATAAGAATCAATGTTCTTAATGTTTAACCAATGAACCAATTATTGAACCAATGATATTGCTTTGGTTCTTAAGGTTTTCAAGCAACTTCGTACGCTAAGAATCAAAAAATCTAGATAATCTTAAACTGTTGTAAGATGAAATTTTATTACCTAAATGATTTTGAACTTTGTAGGATGAAGGTGGCTTAAACAAATCTACAAAGTTTTTGAAACAATTTGTTAAAGAAAGATTAGCAAGGATTTTAACATTTGATCAGAAAGTCAATGCAAATTTACAAATTATATTAGCTTTGACCATCCATCGACAGACGTCGATTTCATATTTTTTTTTCCTTTTTCCATGCACATTATTCTTTTTGAAACTAAAGCTGCATTCTCATATTTTTAAGTTCATTTTTTATTCTGCACAAATGTTACGTGTTCCTTGTAATTTCTTGAATTTTCTCGTTAAATTTCTCTTTTTTTGTGGATAGACTTTGCTTTAAAATTATTCGAACTATCAATTTAGTTTTTAAATCCTTCATTTTTTATTTCAAGATATTAAACTAAAATCAGCAAATTATTTCCAACAATTCTTAATCTTAAGAACCACTCAAGGCAAAATAAATATTACAAGAATTTTGTTTAGATTAATTTTTATGGATTTTGTGCAAGCAATAATCAACTCCTTAATTATAGATCAATTCATAATTATCATACCCCACCATTTGATAGTAAATTGCAATCTGTACACACACCTTCTTAATTCATTCATCATAAATTGATCTAATATGTGCATATGTGCAATTCTTTTCTAATGCAAATTATTTCAGACGTGTGTCTTTTCTTTCTGCATATATTCATGGTCAGTGCTGTAATTTTTAATGACCAACTGAAGATAATGACCTTAAACTTGTAATCATGCTGCATGTTATGTCAACATTACGCGGTTAATAAAAGCAACCGCAATTTCACTTTACATGCAATTTACATCGCTTCTTTACTCTCTTTGTACCTCTTAATTACCTTTTATGTCTGTCATATCCAAAAAAATTGGAGAAACTTTATTTTCACCGAATCAATGCCGTCTTTAAGTCTTGGTATTTTAATCAGAAGTGCTAAATATATGAACGAGTTCAAAAAGGTCTGTTTTTATCAAAATTATGCGGCACGATGAGAGATAAATCGTGTCTTGGTTCACGCATGTGAATTGATGCTCAAGGAAAGTTCATGTTGCAATTTTTTAAAGTTGTTAATGGAAATTGAGTTAAGGATGAATGTTAAGAACATGCAATTTACTGCACAATATTTTTTTAATGTTGAGAAATTTAAGGTTTTTATTTCTTTTGAAGCTGTTTTGGATCAATTTAATTTTATTGACTTAAGTTTAAGTCCAATGTGATGCAGAATTTAGAATTTGGTCAAGGATTGTGAGACTCTTTTCCTCATCCACAAGCTATTTGCTACATACCAAATAATTAACATGCTCGCTCAAGAAAACGTGATAAAAATTGAGCAGAATGACGAATTTACTCGACAATTGCATACAACGCGATGTCTTTACTCCACAATGTTGGCACACAATGCGATATGAATGTATATTATTGTGGAAAAAATTTATAAAAGAAACTTCAACTCATTTTGAGTGCTTAGTCGTGTCTTGACACTTTTGAGTGCTTGACGTTCCTTCATATTTATTATCTAAAAAAGAATTTACTTTTGGACTTTTTTAGGTGAAAAAAAAAATAATTAAAACATGACTGAGGGAAAGTTAAATTCAGTGCAAGAGTTTTACAAAGATAAGACCGTCTTCATTACTGGTGGGAGTGGATTTATGGGAAAAGTTTTAATAGAAAAATTATTATATTCATGCTCGGATTTAAAGGAATTAATTGTCCTGATGAGACCAAAACGTGGAAAGACAGCAATGCAACGAGTTGAGGATTTTTCAAAGTTGGCTGTAAGTATTTTGTGATAAGTTTATTGAGTGAATTAAAAATCTGAGTGAAGTTGATTAAGGATTAAGAAATATTCGGCATTATTTGAGTTATTCATAAATGATGTCTAGCTTTTAATTCCATAAGTAGTCGATGACCCGTTCCTAAAAGTTCTAATCTCAAAAAGTTTCTCAATGCTTGATACTCACACTCAACCCCAATAAAAAGCTCACTAAAATTCACTGAACTGAAAATCATCTCATTACAGTTGTTTAAAAGGATCATGGAAGAAAAGCCCGAAGTGATGAAGAAGATTGTTCCGGTCTGGGGTGAAATAACACAACAAGACTTAGGCTTAAACGATGAGCACTTAAATCATGTGGTTAAAAACACACAAATTGTTTTCCACTTTGCCGCTTCGTTGAAACTCGAGGCGACTTTGAAACAAAATGTGCTAATAAACTTAACAGGAACCAAACACGTGTTGAAGATGGCAAGACAGATGAAAAATCTCGTTCAAATGGTTCATTTGTCAACAGCATTTTGCTGTGAAGATATTGAGGTGCTGGAAGAAAGAGTTTATGATCATCCACACAATCCGTATGATTTAATTCGTTGTGCTGAATGGATGAGTGAAGAAGCCATGGCAGCTATGCAGCCTGACATTCTCGGATCACAGCCAAATACTTATACTTATACGAAAAGATTGTCGGAAGTATTAGTTCGTGATCAATATAGTAATGAAAAACTTCCAGTGCTGATTGTAAGACCGAGTATTGTATCACCATCATTTAAAGAACCAGTGCCTGGTTGGGTTGATTCACTCAATGGACCTCCTGGCATTTTGCTGGCAGGTATTTCATTTAAACAATTTTTTTAAACTTTATTATAATGCAATATAATTTGAATAGCTGGAAAAGGTGTCTTAAGAAGTATGTTAATTAATCCAGATGGATTAATTGAAGCGATTCCAGTAGACGCATGTATTAATGGAATTTTGACGCTTACAAAGCACGTTGCAACAGAGAAGAGGTATGACTCTCCCATAGCGTTCCAATGCTTCTACATTGTGCCTCCAATTAATCATAATTTCTTCATACAGATCAGAAGAAATTCCAGTTTTTAATGCAACAATTCACGAATCAAGAAGAATCACGAATGGACAAATGTTTGATTATGCAAAAGAACTAGGTGATTTATATCCCGTGAGCGGTGGTTTATGGTATCCTGATGGCAGCATTACACAGAATGTTTACGTACATAAAGTAAAAACATTCTTTTTCCAGTGGCTTCCAGCATATTTTATTGACTTTATGCTTCTATGTTTTGGTCAAAAGAGATTGTAAGTTGAGTTGTGTGAAGATAGCTAGTGACGTAGATTTTAAGATTATAATCAAAAATCACTGCTAACTCCACTAAAATCTACAAAATAATATTTAACAACACTTATTTCATAAGACTGACCCAATATTTTATGTCACTAAAGATGAGTAAGACCTGAAAGGTGTAAATTAAATAAAACAAAAATGTTTGTCTCTATTTTCTCAGCATGGTTTATGTACAAAAGAGAATCGCAACTGGACTAGAAGTTTTACAATTTTTCACAATGCGAAAATGGAATTTTAAGTCGGACAGCTTTAACGGACTTATCGCACAGCAAATGCCTGATGAATATGATATGTTTTTATTCGATTCGCAATATGTTGGAGATGACTGGGAGTATTTAAAAAATTCAATGCTTGGTGCTAGACAGTATTGTGTAAAGGAGCCTTTATCGACATTACCAAGAGCTAGGTTGCAAAACAAAATGTAAGTTTGAATTTTTAATTGATGATTTTTATAATAAAGATTTATTTTTCTCCATCCAGTCAATACGGAGTGCATGTCACTTGCAAATTGCTATTTTGGTATTTCTTCATCTCATTTCTACTGAGAATGACAGGACTTATGGATCCAATTAGTGATTTCGTGGATTCTTTGACATCAGCAATTAGTAGAAATAACTCATCAATAGTCACATTGAATACAATGTAGCTGAATTGATATGATTTAGGTCAAAATAAAATTTGTAATATAAGTAACTTAAGGAACTGAAGAATGGCTTGAAATATATTGAAATTAAAGCAGCCATAAATCACTTGAAAGTAGCTACACCTCTGCATCCAAGATACACAAGCCACGTAATGTCCAAAAAATACACACAATTGTTTGCTATTTCAAACATCTTTCTATGAATTTTAATTACTTCAATTGTAGACCAAGATGTCATAAAATATTTAAATAAAATAAAGTGATACACAATCCATTAAATGATATTTACTTACTCAAACCATATCAAGCAAATTGCAGCGACAAAAAAATTAATAAATTAAACTTTCATAGCCACAAAATCACATAAATTTATCAAAAAGTTTCAATCAACTTTTCAGTCACTATTGTCTTCCTTATCTCACGTTTGCACCTCTGCCATACCGCAAATTATAATTATATTCAACCTAAAAACGCATGAAGCATAACAGTGAGTGACTTGTCGCGAGAAACAGATGATTTTTAAGACATAAAACTGATTTAATTGTGTTTTCACTTCTTTTTGGATCATTTAAATTTCTAATTAGTTTTCAACAAACTCACTATGTGACTCACTTACTTACTGTCTCATTAAAATTCATTTCTTCTGTTGTAAAAATATTTTCATGACTTTTGTTAGATGATCGTGCATTAATATATTTATTTGCATCAATTTACAAGATTTAATCTGACTAGATTATATGGATTATAATAATTATTATACTTAATACTAATTGCAGTAGAAGATTAAGTATGAAATTATGAAAACTATGTAAAATTTGCATATTTTCACGAGTTTATATCAATAAATCTTATGTTACTGTATAAATGAATTATGAGCATAAATGAAGCTTAATTTTTTGATATTATATCATGCATAACAAATTAATAATCTCAATCAATGTAAATTAAATAAAGCTATAATTATATGCATATTTAGATTATTAATGCATAATGGTAAGATTTTTTTTTTCGTAATAAGTCAGTTGTTATTGAGCATTAATGGTTAATAGCGCATAGCTTTATATAAGCAAAATTTTTGATGCAAATAGTAAGAGTGGAGTTCATTGCAGCTTTTAGTACCAAAATAGGATAAATTGCAAAATTAGGATCATCAAGAAGATCCAAAATTCGAAAATAATCCTCAATAAGACAACATGCACCTCAGCCATACTCAAACGTCACCAACTAAAGCTATAAATGCATTTTTCATTACACCAAGATCAAGTTGCCGATTGTCAACTTCTGCCAAGGTAAATTAACTCCTCATGACTACGTATATCTTACGAAACTATATTAAGACACCTTCCTAAAAATCAATTGCAAATTCTTCTTGTTTTTATTACGAAAATTGACATTGATGAGTGGAAAATACCAATTTCATCAATTAATCATCATAATAAATGGACTCCGAATTAACCTCAATGAATAAATAACCATTATCTTACCATAAAGAATTCATTTATTGTGTTAAGTATCGATACGCACCAATAGCGAGAAGAGAAATTTTTCATATTTTTTTTGTGCTGTAATTTTGCAGAGAATTAAAGGTAATAAAGGCATGTAGGTGCTTAAATTATTTATTTATTCATTCATGTACAAGACACAGCTTTTGCCTGAAGGATTTTTCCATGAAGAGACCTGAAATATTTCAAGAATACTTAAAAAAGAAATTAATGCTCAAAGTATTGTCATAAAATATAAGTTTTCGTTTTTAAAATTTATTTACATTTTTTGAGGGCAAAAGACAACTGCTGAAACATAATTTTCTCCACTTATCACTTTAATATGTTTATTTTATAAACCTTAACCTTAATGATTTTATTTTTATTTATTAATGAATGAATGAATGAGCGATGTTTAAAAGGATTATTCAGACAGTGTACAATATCATACTAAACTTCCTCTAAATTGACAGATAGTCCTGATATCCTTGTATCGTTAAAGGATTTGTTCTGATATTTCCTAAGTCACCTGACATTCAATTTGACCAGCAAAATATGATTTTCGGATGTTTAAAAACAGGATTTATAAAAGTAGATTTATTGCTCTAATCATGGCAAGAATGGATTTTTAGATTTTCCCTTCTTTATCAAAACCTTTTGATCATCACTAGGAACAACCTGAGGTACATCTTTTAACAAATTATCACAATAATCATATGTTGAATTATCTCGACTTTCGGTAATATTCTTTAAGCTTTCAAATGCTTTTAGTTCTGGAATTTTCATAGGTCTAAAGTTTTTGAAATTTTCAAGCAGATTGATGCTTGTTTGCTGATGTTTTCCTTTTAAGAAATTGTTAAGAATTTTATAATTTCCTTCAAATAAGTTCTTTAAGTATAAGACAAAGTAGCAGCAGGATTCTTTACTTTCATATACGATCATGTAGAGATAAATATCAATCGAACTTAATGCTATATCTTGTAAATCTTGCTTGCTAAAATGCTCTTCGTAAATTTTTCTAACATAATTGAATGTTTCTTGCTGTTCTACAAGTAATGCAAAATGAAAGATTTTAAATCCAGTGAAGCAAAAAGTAAAAGTGTTAAATTCGTATATTTTGAAATAGCATCCAGAATCTTCATTATCCTTATCATAGATGTTTTCAAGGATTCCTTTTTGCTGTGGTTTGCTCAAATTTTCAGTAATAAAATTCCAAAGTTTCTTAAATTGGTTCAACTTCCGAATAGCTCTAAACAATAGTTTTTTAGTCTTAAATATATCAATAATTTTCTGTGGATCAAACAACTCTTTCATTTTATTAAGCAAAAATGACAACAGTTCATCGGTGTTCAATATTTCCTTATCAAGACACATAGCAATTGAATCGCTTAATGCATTTTTGAGAATTACAGTGTTGTTGTTTGAAAGGTTTTGCAATGTTTCCCATATACTTTCATAATCAGACATGGAAAAATTAGTAAAAATTTCATTTTTAAAAAGATTTGCAAAGTATATAGTTGGATCAACAGCAGATTTATATAATTCTATTTGCTCATTTTGATTTAATGTCAAGCTAAGAGTATCAAAAAAATTGATGAATGAAGTATGATTGAGCATTTCATCTTGGAGTGATAATTCTTTACTAGTTATTTTTTTATCTATTTGGTAACAATAGAACATGCCAAATAATTTAATTCCTCTTTGATTTACCCCATTAATGAAGCTTTTATACTCATTTTCTGATAAATAATTAATCATTAAGCTCCTAATGTAATCTGGTTTGGTTATGCAGGATTCTAAACTAGGTTTATAAATTGAAGTATAAAATGTTTCAATTTGATTGATTCCTAATAAATCCGTGAGTAGCTCATGATCTTTCTTGATAAAATCAATCATAAACTTAACAAGCTCCTTGTTCGACTGCTTTACAATTTCCAAAAATCGGCTTTTAAATTTTGTTCTAATCAAATATGAAATTTTATAATTAAAATTATACTGACTATCGTCATTAGGCTGAAGTAGAAATTGCTCCAAGAAAATAGTAATGTATTCAGCCCGCTGATTTCGACTCAACAAATAAGCAAAGAACAATTCAAGTCTTAAAGATACTTCTGCTTCATTATCTATATCATTTGAGTTGTAAATATTATCAACAATATATTGAGCAAAGTAAAATTCAGCAATACTTTTATGAGCAAATTCAAATTCATTTTCATTGGTTAAGTACAAAATTCCAATTTGCGATATGTCATTCGCTCCAACATTTTTCGGAAGCTTCATTTTCATAATTTGTAATCTGTTGATTTTCATTTTGAAAGACACAAACAGAAATATACTTTTAAGTGCATATTTTTGATGAAATTGTGTTAGTGTGAATTTACCAGAACTTAATAAGGCAGTCTTAATACTTGCCGATGAATTAGTAAACGAGTCAAATTTCTTTTCTATGAATTTTCCAAAGATATAATATAAATTTGGATTATTTTTAAAATCTTTTTCTTCACTAATATCAGCAGTTATAATTAGCATTGATGGCGTATTAAGCTCTCGAGATGATCGATCAAGTGCTTGATTACTACTTACAATCGGATTGAATATTTGTGTAATATGCCCAATTTTAGATGATATTGTTGACTCATTGACATTTTTAGAAATTAAAAGTTTTCGTAAAAATTCATTCTGTAACTGTCTGTCAAGTGGCACCAAAACATGACTAATTATTTCCAAATGATTCTTTAGAATTGTAGAGTAAATTTTCCTTGTAGATATGTATTGCGGAATGCTAGTATTTAATTTGATTAATCTAAGAACTTCTAGGATAAAATCATCATACTCTGGTACAATCACATCGAACCCATCCCAAAGTAAAACAATTTTTCCCAACATAAATCGATCTTTAAACAATTGAAACTCGAATGCATTTCTAGTATCAACACTGAGGAGCTTTTGGAGCAATTCTAGTAGATCATCTTTAGATCTGACTTTACCTTTCATTGCATCAAAGATATTTGCATGATCACGAAGATTAATGTATGAAACCCATCGGTTTGGATACATCTTTTTAATCTTTAATGCAAATTGTACAAATGTAAATGTTTTGCCAGATCCAGCTTCCGATGACAAAATAAAGAATTTTGACTTTTCTGTCTCATTAATAATTGTATCAAAATCTTTGAAATATGACTGAATGTCAGAATTATTATAATTAACTGGGTCGATTACGGTTGAAATTTTTTTATAATTTTCAATATCTTGAACAATGCTCTTAACAGATCTATTTAAAAAGTTATTCATGAATAATTTAAATGATAAGTTGCTATTTTTTGCACTGTAATTTGAATAAATTACTTCCATATCCTCATAAATAAATTTTCTTTCAACATAAAATTTTGTTTCATTTTTAACAAATTTTCCGATTAAAAACTCATTTCCATTGAGAATATTTTTGATCTGTGTGGAATTGAGACACTTAAAAACCTCAGGAGCTTCTCGATTTAATTGATTCAGCATTATAACTTCATTTTGAAATGTTACATTAGAAATCAAAAGCTTTTGTTTTAATTTTTGCGCTAAGTTTTCCCACTTAAATTTCATAAATGAATTTAAATAAAATAAATGTGGATCACTCAAATTTAAAGTTTGGCCTTTAATCATTTGCCCAATATGAGCGGATGTTAAACTTGTGTATGCATTTTCATCACTAAATATGTCGCTGAATTTAATTATTACATTATTGTAATCAACCATTGAGTTTTTGACTAAAACTTGGTCGAATATTGAAAGTTCATTAAATTTTTTATTAGGAGTGTATAAAGAATAAGCAATTAATCCCAAAAGGCAAGCTACTAAAGCTCCAAAAACTACGAAACAAATGAAGAATCGCTTCAGTTTTGAAATTTTTTGATCTTTCTTTTCAATTTCTTTTTCAATTTTTGATTCAATTTCTGGAATTGATTCAATCATTTCCGGGACTATCTTTTTCTCATATAAATTAAACAATTTTTCATAAATTAATCTTAATGAATTAATTTTTTCATGATTATCATAGTAAAGTGCTATTAAGTGTGGGATTCGGACAATAAGTTCAGCATGCTGTTGTTCTTTTGAGTATAGACTATAAACCATTAAAATCACATCTTCCTTTTCTTTCTGTTCTTCACATAAAATAGAAATTTTCTCAACTTCATTCATAGTTTTGTTGTCATTTTTCTTATAAGGATTTGCATCATTATGATAAGTTAAGTACATCGCATAGTGAGAAAGTTCATGAGCTAAAGTAGCAAATGTGAAAGCTTCTGTTTTTGAGTCAAGAAGTTGCTTTGCTCCAATATAAATTCTGCCAGATAAGTAAAATAGACCTGCAGTTGAAGAATCAACTGTGGGATCCATTAATTGAACAGAATCTCGGTTAAAATCGAAGATGATGCAAAACTTTTTTGATGCTGCTGTGACCATTAGAACTTCTTTAATTCCAGCGATCATATTCAGAACTCTGAAAGCATTGATGACAAGATTGAGCTTCTTTTTGACATCATGGCTGTCGTGGCCAACAAAAGAATGGGCAACCAGTATATTGATGTGCTTTTCTGGGAGGTCTTGAAGCTCCTTGAAATGTATTTCACGGATTTTTCGACGGTCTTCATAATCTATATTTTTCATTACTTCTTCAGTGTTTTCATGTGAGCCAAGAAAGATCTTATTTGTGATTAAAATGACATAAATATCGATAAGGTTATTGACCAGTGCAATTTTTGTAGCAGATTCATTATTTGTGTTGTAAAAATATCGAAGATTTGGATAATTTTGAATAATTTCATTAATTCTTTCTTCGTCTTGTTCTATAATGCTTTCATGAAGATCATTGGATATTTCTACAAAATCCTTTATTTCTTTTGAGCAATTTTCTACATTAAATGAGCTCGGATATGTCAAATTGGCGTGAAGCAAAATCAAAAGAACATCAAAATGTCGGTTATTCCATGCTAAAGTTTGTGGATTGACATCAACATCGGGAATTTCCGATGATAATCCTAATTCGAGTAAACTATTAACTACGGATGCATATCCTTGCTCAGAAGCAATAAATAGAAGGTTGTAGTCACGTGAATCAGCCAAGAAATGAAGTTCAATTTGATTTCTATAGTAGCTTAAAGTACAACAACGATTCAGGCCTTTAAAGATTGACAGAAATAATAGATTAGCTCATCATTCATAAACTTGTTAATTGTTTTATTTATCTTTGACGTAAAGGTGGAAAAACCAGTTTTCATCATCTTTAGTTCTCACCTGAATGTCCATTATCCAATGAAACTATCAAAAATTCTAAAATGAATTTTCTTAAATCCTCATCAAAGTTTAAAGATTCATCATTGTAATCCTTGAATGTTAAAAAGTTACGCAGCTCTTTAGTCTTCCAATAAATGAAGACTTGCTCTCCTTTCAAAGAAAATATAACAATAGTTGCTCGATTAAACCATTTTTCACTTATTTTATGCAAAATTTCAGGTTTCTCATCACTTAAACTTTCATCAAGGAGACATTTTACTATTGACACATTTTTCAACTCCACCAATTCTTCTTTTTTAATTGACGCTTCCAAAGATTCCACAATTCGTTTAACTTCCAATTTATTGACACTTTGCTTCCACAATGAGCTTACATTTTTATTAATTAAATTCTCGGAAAATTTTAGCTGACTTTCAGCTTTAACAAATTGAACTTTTGCATCTTGAAGTTTTTTTGTATCTTTTTTAAATTTTGTATTTTTGCTAAACATTTTAACATTCTTTAATTAGCTAAAATCTTAGAGATGTTAACACTTTGAAGATTATTTTGACTGTGAAGGTGGGATTGACATTTTAAATTGTTTATATCCAGCAAGATAATAAAGTTTATATTAGTTTGAAACGAGTTTAGATGATCTTGAAGATTCTTAAATATCTTGTTATAATTTGTTAAAAAATAATTTGTTTTAGATTTTAGAAACTTTACTTTTGTATCAATGAAGTCAATTTGAAGTGGAAAGGCCACTCCTGCTTGGGATTCCTATCAACTTTAATGATAGTAGTTTTCTTATAAAATAACATAATAACTTAGTTTCTATAAATATGATTAAACGATTTATATCATAAAGCATTTAATATAGAAACACAAATCACAGCAAAAACTATTCAAGATAGAAAAAAACTTGAATGACTGATTAATAATCTCAACGTACAAACTTAATCATGGATGAAATTAATTTCTTCCTTTTTTGTGTATCTAATCTGAGATTTTTACCAGATGCCAATTATTTTCGATTCAATGTACACGAGATGATTTAGGAAGAAACTTTTCTTTTTTGTACTGACGTTCTCGTCCGATGATTCTAACGTGATTTTGATTATTCAACGATGAACAAATTAGAATCTGATTAACACTTAATCGACATATGTTTGCACAGATGAAGGAACCTCAATCGTAGCGATAAAAATTTCATCATGTAAAAGTGTGTTCTCTACATCTTATTCATGCATGATGATGATATGATGTTTATGATAGCGAAAAAATTCATTTATACCATTCATATGTACATCTACGTCTAACTTTTCCTACATGTATCCATTTTTTGTGAGAGATGAAAAGAAGCATAAAGGAAGAAAATTTGTATTTAATTAATTAACGCATTCTCATGGAAAAAAGCTATGAAAGCGAGATGCGCACGGGGGGTAAATGTGAATGCTGGTGTGAGAATGAAAAATATATAAACTTTTGATATAGAGCAAAAATCTTGTTGTATGCAAAAGTTTTCTACTTAATGAAAATTAATTTTTTACTTTCTGCACTTCGCAGGAGAAATGGAAGGAATTTTTCATGTGCTCTGCTTATGTTTGCAATTTTTTGTAATAAATTTTTAAGAGAAGAATTTCTTTGCTGAACTTGTCTTTTTCAGATTTCTGAGTAAGATTATAGTTGATTTGTCTCACTATCATAATTGAACTTAGTGTTTGTGGTGATCTACAAATGTGATTAAATTTCAAAGACTGGATGACCGAATAGAGTGCTAACAGATGCATAAGAACCTAAAATATGACTGTAGGGAGGATAGCAGAGCAACAACAGAAGAAACAGGCAAAACTAGCTTAAACAGCCTTAAAAGAAGCCTTTTACGTTCATACAAATCTTAAAATGTCCATTTATGGTACATACCTGAATAAAAGAATTACACATGATTGAAAAGCGTCTTAAATTCCATTAAATTCCATTCATACAGAACACCCAAAACCCATTTTTTCACGATAACAAAAAGCAAGATTTAAAATTAAATGCCGGAAGAGCACAGAAATATTTCATGTACAACTATCAGTACAGGAAAACGGGAAGAAGCACTAAGTGCACTTTTAATTAACATAACTTGTTTGCTGCTTTAAGGAAATTGCGAGGAAAATGTTTTTGTCTAAAAGTGAAATTCATTGCAATGCGAAAAAAATTAAAATAAATAACTTTACTGTCTGCATCAACAAGCTTCTTGTGCAGAAGTTTTTTTTTTAGATTTTTACCCACTATTTGAGATTGTTCAACTTGAATCAGTCCTAAAATGTTGATTTAATTATAATTATTATTAGATTAGATTTCAATGAGAAAGTTTCTCATTTTAAGGATTTAGAAAATTTTGTTGTTTTGCAAGGTTTGGAAGGAGAAATAAATAGACGAAGAGGACTTGGATAAGGATGTATTTTGAATGAAGCTGAAAGATTCAGAATCAAGACTTAGCAAAAAACCCTTCTTTAAACTCAAAGTCATTTGAAATATTGCTTCAGTTTTTTATGAATTTTATTAATTTTTTATAAAGGAAGTCTTAAATATTTTCAGCAACTTCCTCACTCCTGATCATTTCCCATAAAAAACAACAAATTACACAATTATAAAGCATTCCATTTCAATTAATTGAAGCTAATTGCGAATTTATATTGCAAAACAAACAAAATGGAAAAAGTTTGTGTCTTATTGCATTTTGTAGTCATGACAATAAAACAGAAAATTGGAAAACATACGCCGGAGAGAGACGAAACGAATGAAAATCATTTTGACAAATCCACTTGAGATTAATTAAAAATTTATTTGAAATCGTATGGAAATATCAACAATGAAAAAATTCCTTTTTTTTTAATTCAATGAAACCATAAATCTCTCTCTCGTTCACAATTGGAAAAAAGTTTTTTTTTGTGCTTGTGCCTTTTTTTGCAATGGAATGGAAATTTATGACATTCGGCAGAGACGAATGAATAAAAATATGAAATGCGAGAAAAGAGCCACAAAATTCCCCTAATTGGAAATTAATAACTCAACAAAAAGTGCTCTCAAAATACGTGGCTTGAATTGAGCTACTGTTGACGTTATTGTGATGGAACATTTTGCTTTTTTCGGGTGCAGAATATTTGGATATTTGTGCTGATTTTGGATATTTTGTCTGCATAAGTGAATTTTTAAATTATTAATAGTAATTGATTGTTTCAATTTTGATCCTTTATGTTGAGCTCAACACTATGGCGGACTTGCGTTTGAAGAAAATAAAGCTCCAGAATTTGATTGATCTAAAAAGATCCAATCTAGGCTTTTAATATGTTTTTTTTTTCTTATAATTCTTTAAAATTTGAAGGTTCGGTCAGTAACAAGCTTTTATCAAATGTAAGGTTTCCATAGTTTCATTTGAAGCTGAGCATTGAGATCACAATATGCGTTCAAGCTCCAATCTAATCTCAAATAAACACCATTCACAACTCAATGTTCACATCCAAAACCTCAACCAAAAAATTAATTTAATATGCTGAGCAACAACAAACAAGAACAGAAGTAGTGACTGCAACAGCAAGCAGTAATTGATGGAAGTACAATACATCTCCCCATCATAATATGTTAACCGCATCAGTTATTTGAATATTTATCGATGAGTATGAGCAGTTTTTTGAGGTTTATACGTACGATAAATTGCTGTTGATGCAAATTCAATTTTCAAACTTGCTGAATTTTTCATTACCAATCATGAAATCAAATTGAGAGATGTGTATTTGCTACTTTTGATTTGTTGATGAGAGATTTTTGGAGATGGATGATTTAATTAATTTTTTGAAATTTGTCTGGATAGAGTTTTTGCGGTAGAAAAAGTTTCTCGTACACAGTTCCCTGAAAAATGAGAAAATAATCTATGAAAAAATTTTTATATTTTTGAATTTTTTTTATTTTTTCATTTATTTTCTGACTTTCTTGAATTTCAAAGCTCATGAATTTTAATAAAATTAAACAAAATAAAAAATGGGAAAAAACTGTCATTATGAAAAAAAAAACTAAATTACATGAGATTAACTGCCAAACACAACAACTTTTTTTCGTGTTCTGTGAGGTTTTAAAAATATTTTTTATTACAAATTATGAAGCTAAGTTCTTTTTATTAATGAACACAGATTTTTTTCTTTTAATTTGTGTAACGAAAATTCCTCTCGTGTGTTTTTGACATTGATTAAGGAAAATTTATGGATTAAATCTGAACTGTATGAGAAGAAAACAATGTTGAAATGGGGAAGAAATTAAGGCAAAGTAAGGTCACCTCAGATGCCAAATCAAAATAAAAATTAAATAACGAGAAACTTTTAAAATTTTATTTTAAAATTATTTGAACAAAAACATTTTTTTAAATTTAATCCAAAAGTTTGTCAATAAGTTTAAATGAGACATAAAATTAGATTTGCAAATTTGAATGCAAAATGTGCATTTATAAGTTTTGAATATTAAAATTTGAACGTCCTTAACATTTTGAAGATAAGGCTTAACACCTTAAGACTCGATTTGAATAAGATTTATTTGAGTTCGCAATATTAGAGTGTTGTGAAATCATTTGAATCCTTTCCGAGCAAGTTAAGGTGATGCATAATGCAATGACTTGTCGCTTATAGATGTTGTACCTTCCAAACTAAGACATTAAAGTCAGTGTCGATTAAGCATAGAATTCAAATTTAAATTCCACAAAAGAACTCAAGAGCTTAACTTCAAAACTTTAAATGCACACAATCCATACAAAAGTCCAATTTCAATTCAATTATATAAACTCATCGACTCTTACTGATAATAATTTCAATCATTTTTTTTATCAACCAAAAAAAAAATTAAGGCTTCAAGGCATAAAATGAAATTAAAAGTTAATCGAATGAAGTGTCATAATGGTGATAAATTGCAACTCAAAAATTTTTCATAAAACAACCAATTATGTGCAATAATGATGATGATGACTAAAATTTTAATACATAATAATGATATTTTTTATCATAATAATTCTTCGTTTGATATAATAACTGTACGGAAAATACAATAGAATATAAAATAATTAATCTCTGTATAATAATAGGTTCTATTGAAATGATGGATAAAAGGAAGAAAATGAAAATGTCTAAGTCGTATATTTTTAATTAACATATTTGATTAAATCACTAATATTGTTATGAAGACTTTGAATCGCTTTGATTTTTTTCTCAAGTAAATTTTCCTGCATTTTCCATGAAAATTGACAGAAAAAATATTGCAATAATACACAATACATAATTAATTGCGAGGATTTAAGAACTATGATAAACGATTTTAAATTATGAAGCTGCTGTGCAAGTGAAATTGTCTCTTGTGTGTTCAGAATTGTGCTGAATTGAGTTGTCATGGATCAACTTATGTTGCTGAAGTGTCCCAAGAAATTCTTCTAAAGAACTTCTTAGCCAGGCATCTTAGAACAAGATTTCTTGAACAATCCCGTCTTATTCGTGACCTTACAACTCCTTCCATTTCCAAAAACACATCAAACAATTTCAATTGCTCTATTTTTCGATCTTTGATCGATCGTAAAAACACAAAATCAAATAAAAATGAATTTTCAAAAAATTCAAGAGCATTTAATAATAAAAAAAAATCAAGAAGAAGGAAATTTTAGAGACTCACTGATATTTATGGCCTCAAAATAATTTAATTTGTGATTTATTGACTACTTAATAAATCACTTGCAAATTGGTTTGTCGATTTTTGATACTACAAATATGGACGTTGCGCTAGCTGTTTTATAAACACGCGCTTAATATACCGCTATTGTCTAGACTCCATACAAACTAATATGGATATACATATCGGAAGACGCAAATTATACTAGTTTGGTAATTGTTCGGTTATTTGGATATTTAGCTGCTCATTTTTGAACCAGATTTTTAGATGCCTTCTCATTGTAAACTTTTGATTTTCCTGAGATCTTTTCTGGTTGTTTTGGAAGCTGCTTAGATATTGGATGATTAAAATGGAGTGACTCGAGCGACACTTGTGGTTCTTTTTATTAGCAACTATGCAAATACTATTGTATTAAGACTGCTGATGCATGTCATTCTGATGGAATTGTGTCTTTTGATTTTCTAAATGTCACAGCTATGATGTGTTGCCCAAGTAATTCTACTATATTTAAGTTCTGTACTAAATTACTTGAAGACTTTCATGAGAACTACACAAACCAATAAATAAAGTCCATAAAAGTGTGTTGCACATTCGTTCGCTTCCTGAACACGTCATTTTATGACATCATTGCATACAGTCCATAAACACATTCGCGTGCATAAATTCAATTGAGTCACAGACGCGAATTTCCTTCTTCTTTAAAGTACATAATGAAAAGTGCATAAATAAAAGGAATTCATTATTAATATCCTAGTAGGGCTTTTAAAAATGAGTTCTCTTTTTTTTTGACTACATCGAAAGACTAACAATGATGTGATAATGATAAAATAGAGTGGGAAATTGACATGATAAAGTAATTAACTAGCTAATATTTTACAAAAATGAACATAAGAATTTAGAATAATTTAATCAGGGTGTTGATATTTTTGGAAATTGGTTTTGTTCTTGCTAGGTTTACATTTCTAATGAATCATTAGATTAATATTGTTCAACATAATTCTTAATATTCTAGACTTAGATTTTGATTGAATTTTTATTTTAAGTTTTTTTTTTGTCTACCGTTCAAAAAAATTTTTTTTTTTGCAATTCTAGAAAAAAATGTGATTAGAAATTTTTCAAAAAAATCATTCACGTCATCCTTAACAACCAACTTTATAACTTTCTTGTTTATATTTTGCGAAAATACCCTAAATTTTTTCATTATCTCAGTTCACCCTTACTTTCAAGTTTTTTTTGGACACATTTTGTGACCTTAACAAGTCACTTAATTTAACGAACAAAAAAAAATCGTTCCTAATAGCTAAAAATTTCAAATAGAAATCACAATTATTTCATTTTCATGTCGAAATTTAATTTTCGTCATCAAATTCGCTATCCTCACTATCATCGAGCCATTCACCAGCTGGGCCGCTGTGGTAGGACTTTGAAGATCGCATTACTGAAGAGCTGCTGGAAAATAAAATGGAATTAAATCGGATTCGGAAACTAAGATCCATTATGAACAGAATAATAAGCTTAGTCAGTGATTCTCAAACTGTGCATTGCGGATCTTATTTAAAACTTGACAAATCATCAGTTTTCGATTAGTTGAAATGCTAGTTTTAGCTTTGATCCTACAAAAACCTAGTTATTGAACCGTAAGTTCAAGAAACACTGGCCTAGATCAACAAATAACCATCCATAAACTCAAAACAATCACTTACCCTTCAGACGACAACACCATTTGTTGGTGTTGCGCAATTCTTTTAGCTTCTTCAGCTTTTCTTTTCCCCTCAGCAGCTGCTTTTAATGGATCATAACTCGCTCGTCGTTTCCACATCGCTAATTCGATTTCTTTCGTATTTTTAACTAAATCATACCCAGAAATAAGTACATAATGAGAAGAGAAGAAGAATTAATGATATGAGAGAGAGTTTCACTTATAATCATCGATGCATGTTAATGTTTACGGTTGTGTATCTCGAAAATGTCAACATACCATCTTTCTTTTTTGTTGCTGTTGCACTAGACGGTCTTGAACTTCCACCTCCTGAACTCCTGCTACTAGCACGCGCAACATCTCGCTGAAAATTTTGTAGACATGCACTTGATGAACTTTTCTTTACTTCCCTGTTTAAATAACTTTTACTTTCATCACGTTTAAGAAAATGATTGCCTCTTTCAGGCTTATATTTTGAGATATCTAAATACTTTGAAGTCACTTTGCCGGCACTGTTAGTGTTTACTGCATTACTGTTATTATTATTACTAGTGGATTTGACTGAGGATGGTACAGCACCCGCTGAAAGGGGTTTCCTATCTAAAACTCTACCTAAACTCGAATCTCTTGGCATTGATACACGATCTCTAGCTGAGGATCGTGCAGCAAGTTCACGTCGAGGCATCTCTGGTGTATTTGGACATGCAATTACGCCCAACTGCTTACCAACTCCCGTTTTATTCTTACTTTGTTCACAGCGCATTAAAAATGTCTTATTGTAACGTGTATTGGAGATGGGTGGTTCATTGACCATTGTCAATGAATACTTTTGTTCCTCTTCACTCTCATCCGACGGTGTAAATTGATTCGCATGTAAATCATCATCAGGATTTATATAAAATTCATTCTCATAATCCTCATCATCATCATCATCATTAATCGCATTTGTCATTTGCTTAAAGCACGAACTACTCGCTGATTTTTGGATTTTTATCGTCTGCGCTGGTGCGGAGACAGTCTTAACAAATTTATTGTGCATTTTTGGTGTACCTGATGTAATTCGTGCAGGCGATTGAATCTCTTGTGCCTTTATGTTAAATGAACTTGAGCGCTTTATGGGCGATTGTTGTTGTTTAATCATATTCTGATGATGTTGCTGTTTAATCGATAAATGTTGTCGTTCTGGTAACGTCGTCCCACGACTCGGCATTGACTCATATTCATCATCTGTTTGATCGAAATGAGAATATTTCATATTATTATTATTAGTAGTTGTGGGTCGTTGCGTTAACATTCCATCATAACTATTGTGTCTAGAGTGTTGTTGTTGCTGTTTCTGTTGCATTTTATTATTATCAATAAGGTAATTATTTATCTGATTAGATTGTAAACTTGTGGACATAACATTTGTTGGTGTAAAACGTGAAGAATCAAGTGATGAATTCCGTTTATGAACCGTAGGTCTATTAACAGACTGCGCTCGTGAATGAGGTGGCAGGTAAGCTGATGATGGCGTTGCATTAGCTATTGTTGTTATTACCGTTGGTGTTTTTGTCGATTGCACAATTGTACGTGATGGAGAGAGTGGAGACATAGGCGAATTTTGAAGAGATGAATTACGTAAAGAATTTTTACGTTGAATATTTTGCAATGTAGATATTGCAGCTGCTGTACGTTGTAGATACAGTTCCGTATCATTGGTTAAATCCTAAAATGAAACGAACAAAAAAGATCGATAATTAAGTCAATTTAATTTTACCGTTTACTAAAGTGGCGTAAAAATGAGAAGGCAATTAACACAGATTCTTGTGGGATTAAGAAGATTCGCTCGAAATATCGATTCACATATGTGGAGACTCTTGAGGGTTTTATAGGAAAAAATATCTTATAAGAATTTCTTTCATGAAAGAATAATGTACAAAATATGCCAGAAAATGTACGACGATTTTTATTTATAGTGCATGACTCTGCATTATATTTACCAGATATATTCTGTACAAATCTCTTCTAAGAAACTGTTCAGATCTTCAAGAATAAACAAAATATTTGTTTTGAAGTTTTAGAGTGAACAGGAAGTACAAACATTAGCAGAATCAAAAGAAAATCATTTTTCATGCCATTCAGGAATTAAGCTCAGATCCCATGATCCCCAATACTCACAGTATCACTTCCGTAAAGCATTTTATTGGAACCGTATCTCTTCTGTCGGCTACTAACAGATCCTATTGGTGAAGGAATGCGGCTCGGACTCATTGGTGGCTTAATATTAAAACCGGACGAAACTCTCGGTGGTTCATGTTTGTTCATATCAAAATCTCTCAAGACACGTCTACTACGTGCTGATGATATTGAGATTGGCTCATGATCACTCAAATTATTTATTGAACGGTCTTCATGATTCTCTGGAGTTGGTGGCTTTTTATGTAGATGATTCTTTTGGTTATACTTTTCTAAATTATCACCAAATTCTTCATACTGTGGCTTACAATCACTTCGACTCATAATATCATCACTAAAATAACCAAATTGATCACTTTTCTCTAGAGAGCTTTCAAAATTATAACTATTTGACATGTTTGGAGTAATTGGGGTTCTTTTATGATGAGAATATTCTCGGGCATTTCTTGCCCATTCTTGAATCCAGTCATCTTTTGTTGCAGCTGTTGATATTGACGTATTACTACTACCAGCTGATTCTTTTCTACTTTTCACAGGCGTTGTCTTTGGATAAATACTTTCTTGATATCCAGCTGCCGCTGCAGCAGCAGCAGCAAGTGTCTTATCATTGTCAGTTATTGAAAGCTTTTCATTTCTTTGTAATCCTTGTACATACTCGGATGAATCAATCTGAGATTTTGTTAACGAATTCTTTCTTTTTAGATGTGGATTATGGTCTAATGTTGGCTTAATACTTAACACCCCGCTTGTTGTAACGCTCGTAAAAGTACCAAGATCAACATCACCAGATTTAGTTTTATGAAACTTCTTATCACCAATATTCTTTACTCTAGACTTTAATTTCTCGAGATAAGAAACTTTACTTTTACTATTGCTATTATTGCCTGATGATTGGGAAGATGTTTGTGTAATCTGTGGAGGATCTTGATGATAGAAGGACACTTCTAGAATATTTTTACGATTCTCCTTTGACGCATGCTTAATAACTGGTGTAGCTCGTTGTGGTTGCTGCGGTTGTGGCAAAACATCAAGATCAATTACTTCTAGATCTGTTTCAATATTACTATCGGATTCATTAATCTCAAGTTTCCTTCCCAATAACTCCGCCTCATGTGCATCACTATTCATTTTGTCTATATTCATTTTTTCTTTCTGCTCCTCTGTATAATTGTCACCATCAAGTGTGTAGGTTCCTGCCTCCGAGACTTGATCATCATTCAAATGAGATTCTTTATTCTCTAGTGGTGTTTGAAGGCATGCAATATTTAATGTTGTTGGTGGCATTGGTTTTACATCAGCTTTCGTAAGTGCATGAAGCTTTAATGGTCGTTCCAATGGATTACTAATTTGACGATTGGGCGTAACTTTTGCTGATTTCTGTGATTGATTTTGTGTTGGTTCTACCATACTTGATCGTGGACTCCAGCTATGACGTTTACTTGCGTCTTTCAATTGAGTAGCTTTTGATTTTTCACGTAACTTTACACCGCCTGCCGAAGCAGGTTTTTGCGGTAACTCGATTACATCACGAGAACTTTTTCTTGGTAGTTTTGCACTTGCTGGTGAACGAAGTTTTGCGGCTAATTGTGAACTCGAGCTACTATCACACATTTCATCTTCAACTTTAGACAACGAGACACCACGACGATGACGACTCTGGAATCGTTCCAATAATTTTTTATGTCGCTGCTCATCAACTGTGCTTGCAGACCCAAAATCTATTGTGAATGCCATACTTTTATTAACTTCTGCTCGTTCATCTTTCTCTTCGTCTTTATCATGATCTTTATTCACCATATGTTTATGATGTAGATTATGTTGATGCTGATTATGATGATCATGAAATTTCTGATGCGAATGTGAATTATCAAATGAATGAATTGAAAAGCTTTTGTTCATTTTTGAAATATTTCCAACTCCTCCGGCGCATCCACTATTTGAACAATTTGAGTCAGTCATTGGTGATGTGTCGTTACTTTTCTTATTAATTATCTCAGGCGATATATCTGCCTTCTCGTCATGTGAACTCTTTGGTTCATCTTTGGATGATAATTCACTTTGATGCGTTACAAGACCATCTAGTGTTCGCTTTAAACATTCACTCTTAATTAAGTTACTCTCTAAATTCGTTGGTTTTGCAGTTTCGTAAAATGTATTGCACACTTTTTTATCGGCATCCATCGTTAAAATTACTTAATTAGTATCTCTATGTCGATTTAATCCAATTTTTTTTTTGTATATTTTTTTTGCAATGCTCTTTGTTATTGCTATCAAAAAAGGGCCCTCCTCACAGCTCACGTCTCGCATTGAACATAAAAAAGCATTTAAAAAAGCGTTTTGGCTGCAAAAAAAATTATTGATTAGGAAATATGATTAAAAGATGAATATCTGGATGGGTGCGTCGAGGAGATATATATAAAAAAATTAAGTCTTGTTTATTCCTTATATGCGAAACTCTTTATAATCACGAATATGGTGAAGAGAACTTTATTTATATTTTACACACATTCCATTGGATTACTGTTCTTTGGGAAAAATATTAGTCATTCGAGGTCATAGAAATCTTTTGTGGTCGAATGAAATGTTTTATCTTATGATTTTTACATAAATCTCTTCGTTTTTCAGGATGATAAATATATCCATCCATTAATTACCCCTTTAGATGCCTTTTATTTAAATAATTTTTCAATTCTTAACATTTTTTCCATCTAAAATAAAAATTGCAAAACACAAGACACTAATAAGAAATTTATAGTTCTAAAATATCTGATTGGAAACTCTCTTGTTGTTTTAGTACAGCTGTCATTCCAGCTGTTTATGTTTGTGCGTATTGTCAAAAATTGTCTTATCAGAATTTCATGACGTCATAAAAAATTTTAATTTTCAAATTTTTATCAAAAGTTTTGAGAATTTTTGCACAATTGTCAAATTTAAAGATTCTAAATTAATTCAAATAAATCTTAAACCTTTAAACATATGAAACACCGGAATCAACCAAAATCTCACCATCAGTACTAAAACTTACCCAATAATAACCGATACGAACCGCACAAATTCATATGAGAGTGAAAAGAAGACGTAAAAAACAAAAACAACACAAAAAATCCAATTTGTTAGTGCTTAGTTCTGTAGTTCAATTTTAGTCAATCATTGTCGTGCACTCAAATCATTTCTGTTGCTTAAAGAAACCACAATAAATTGTGGGACATAAGTCAATCGAACAATTGTGTCGAAAAAAAAATATGTAAGAATATCATCAGCGATAGTGAACCAGCAGAACGAAATAAAAAATAAAAATTATTTTTTGGCTAAGCAGGAAAAAAAAAAGAATCAAGGAAGTAGCTTAGAGCAAAATAATTTTTTTTTGTGTGACAAAAGCTAGTTAAACAAGTGATAATCTGAGAAGTTTCAAATTAAAGTTTTAGAAAGAAGTGAGAAGTGAAGCTAATTACAGCAATACCGTAAATGAAAAATAATTAGAATTAATTCTTACACCTGCAAAACTAATAAGACATTATTAATAGCAATCAGCAGTTTCTATTCGATGAATGAAAATTGCTTTCCTGCGAAAAGAAAAAAAATAATATAAGAATTATTAGCATATAAACTACTAAATAGTGGGTAAGACTCATAATCGATTTTTATTTTTTTTTTGCTGCTGCTGTTTTACTCGCTCGATAAATTTTGCTTTCACATCACGAATTTTTGACTGCTCGTATTCAGCATATACATCAAGACTCTAGATTTTTGGTTTATTTCTTTGTTTAAACTGTGAATTTTCATTCTGTATGTTTTTATTTTATTTCTTCTTCTGCCACCATCAAGTACAAATTCCGAATTTATTATTGGCTGCCTCAAAACACAGAAAAAAAAATTGTTCTGCCTGTTTTACGATGTGAAAAAAAATGTAGCATTTCCGCATTTGATTACCTCTGCATTAAATTTTTTGACATACTAAGCAATAGAAGCGAACAATATTTTTTTTTGTGGGTGGAACGGGGAACCGAAAAAAGCTCAAATTAACCCTCAAAATGAGGAAAAATTACGCAAGAAGCAAAATGCTTATGAAAAAAAAATCAATCCAATGCCCTAAAAATACTTTTTATTTTATCTCCTGCAGAATTAAATTCAAAGTGCACAGAATGGGAAAAAAAGTAGTGTGAACAAAAAAATGTGCACCCATAAGTTAAAATGTAGGTCAGATTGTGGAAGTGTCAGGGCTAGGATAATGTATATTTTCGTACACTAACAAAAGCACACAAAAAAAGAATCGCTTGCACTTCAGTATTATCGTGTAGAATGGGTTGAAATTGGAGGAAACGACCAGGGTGTTATTGGCGATATTTTCCGCATTATTGAGAGACTATAAAAAAAAAATTCACATGATAAAGGACGATGACGATGACAGTGAAGAAAAAAGATGAAGAACTCTTTTTCCTCCTCATCTCGCTTTGTCTCTCATATTCATTTTTATTGCCATTCCGTATAAATTTTCTGATTATCTTCAGATCATTAAAAATGAATGAAATTCTCTTCATGTATAAAAAACAACACACAGTGAAAATGAGACAAGAAAAAAAATATTGTCTGTAAATTATCGCTTATTTCAAGCTATCGTGTTTGTGTACTACATTGTGCATTCATCAGAAATCATTGCTATCGTAATAAGAATGAGAACTTTTTTTTTTGGAATGAGGATAATGCTAAAAGATAAGCGGATAATAGTCGGTTGATGAGATTAAGCGGTGATTTTCAAATTAGTATACTTAAAAAACTTGTGACTTTTTTCTATTTGACTAATTAATTGCTAGCTTGTCGATCTTGATTCAAATTAAGTGAAGAGACAGTTTTTGATTCTGTTTTAAGGATGATCATTTAAGATGTCAAATGCTAGCGGTATATAGGCTCTGTCTTATAGCTTTAGACGACTCTAGTCTCTAAGATGTTTAAATAAAGCCTTAGAAATTGAGTAGTAGGCATAAGGTCGTGGATTCAATTCCATCCAGAAAGAACCATTTTAAAGCTGCAAGCCCAAAAAAGCTTTCCTAATATCCATGATTTCCCAATAATTCATCACATAATCTTGTTTTTTAATCACATAAAAAACCATTCATGACAGAATGAGATTCATATCTAGTTAGCAAAGAACACCTTTATGGATAATAAATCATGTTGATGTTGTCGTGTTACATAAAACGGTAAAGCACAAACAAAGCACATACGTCTCAAAAGTTTCGATTGAATGGAGAAAAACTTTGAAGACATCCTGTTGTGTTGGTGAACTGCATACTGTTTCCATGAATGAACAACATAAACTGCTCTAGAATATATATGTTCAATTTGGAATATCAGAGTTCGAAATATTCAAATGAAACTTGGAATTGTGCAATCTTAAGTTTTTGAACTGTTTGAAGAGACACAATGTGTAGACAATGAATAACAAAGATGCTTTTAAGTGGCGACTGTCGAAAAATTTAATGCAAGCAGTTGCAAACATTGAATCAGCATATTCTGTACTTTTGAGCATGAACAAATATTACCATTGGCTATTTTCTAAAATCTGCAAGCTCTACCAATCAATTAAAATCAAAACACACCTAAACCTTGAAATACTTTAGGGAATATTCGGAAATAAACGATTTTCAAGAGAAATATCAGAAGCTAATTGAATTATTCTCAATTATCTCGTCACATCGATAACGTTTGAGGTCAGAATAGTTTCTAAAATAGATTTAGGGGTCGTTTTTAAATGATGTCTTGTTATAAGTGAACCAATCCCAGACAAGCCAGGCTTAGAATTTAAAAATTTATTAACTCCAAATTTTAAGATTGAGCTAGTAAAGTTCAGAATTCCAAAAATGTTCTTAAAAATCTTCTTAACAAACGCTCATAGATTCAATGTTCACAAAAACAGCCACAAGTAGTCAAAAGTATCTAAAAACAAAATTTACTTCACATATGTGATCTTTCAGTAATTAGATCTTTCAATGATACACGGCTGTTATAAAAATTCAAGAGCAAGGTTCGCTACAGAGGTGAGCTCAAAAATTTAAATCTAAGACTTCATTAACTCATAGTCGTTTCAACGACCTTGTGGGAACTCAATAACAGTTCTTTAGCATTTTATAAATATGAACACATATTTTCACTTAGATTAGATTAAAGTAATTGAATTTGGATTAGATAAAGAGAAAATTGGTTGCTACCAGACTTGTACCTAATTTGCGATTCATATCACAGCACCTTGATATTTAGAGCATTTTGTCAAGTCACCACATAAATTGTGTACGATGCATTATAAATTTTAAAATGGGGGTCCTTGATTTAAATAAAATCTATTTCTAATGACTTAATTTTTTTGTCGAATGGAAATTTTGGATTTAAAATTTAAACTGTTCAAAAAATATTCAAAACTAGGACCCCCTAGTTGTTTGCTCTTAATTTCACTTTATCGATGGAAGTAAAAAAGACTCAAAAAGGTAAATCACAGCACAAATTTAACCGCATTCAATTAAATCTGTGTTTGTGGTCAAAGCACTTGGAAACGAGAGTTTAAAGACTTACAGAGACATTTTACCGTTAAAGATCTTTCTTTTTTTTGCATTTATATTCCTGCTATGAATCTTCAATGATTGTTCTTCAATTACAATCCGATGCTTTTGGCCTCGGCGCTACGTTCAAGCTCATTACTAGTCATTAATTTGCGTAGAAAAAACTGCTTGAGCTCCTTTCATTCTCTCATTTCCTCATCAATAAGATTGTGTGATTCGATACTTTATTTAGAATTCAGTCTACAACTTGCTTGATTACTTTCTTACAAATACCAGCTGCCGCAGCTTTTATAATTTGTTTCTGATGTGAATATTCAGCACTAATATTGAGAGAGGCGAAAACACAAAAATAATCAGGAAGTCGCTCATAAAATAATAAATAATTAAATGGAAAAAGAATAGTTTTTTTGAATTCATAAATATTTTATCGATTCTGTTGTTGTTGTAGTTCTGATGAAAATCTGTGTGTATTTCCAGCTGTAAAACAATATTCATAGATCAATTCACGTGGAGCATGTCTTTAAGATGAACTTAGAATTATTAGAAGGTAAACAGGTGGAAAGCAGGTGGAAGGTAATCGCCTTAAAATATAATCTTCAAGAAATATCGAATGAAGCCGTACTTGTGAGTGTCAGGAGTGTCAGATTGTTGTCTGTTTACAAATAAAACACGTGAGCAGCGATTTTATTAAAGTTTAGTAGAAATCAATTCAAGGTGCCTCAGGGCGATCTAAGAAACAAAGAATCACTTAGCTTTAATTTATTATAGCAGCTTCTAAGAAGGATCTATAAACATTTAATTTCGAACAGTCGTATTTCTGATACTTTAGGTCAAAAAGTCTTAAACATTATACAATTTGGGAAAGATTTCATGTCGGGCTACAAATATTTTCCAAAGAATCTCATTTCAAAACCCAAATCCTTGCCAAAAGTTTGTCAATAAATGTGTCAAGAACAGTACATACCACGAGCAATAAAGAATACTGCGTAATTTCCAAAAATAACTTCATGCCATGTTCACTTACATAGAATAAAACAAAAACCCTTAAAGCTAATGATAACAGAACTTTTTTTAAAACATTCAGTTCCATTCAGCTATGAGAAATACAAAATCTGACATCAGAAATCAATCTCGCTTACCTGAATGATAAAACTTGTCGAAAAATCCATGATTGTAAATCCAATACAATGAAAATCAATACGTTATCACACGCGACGCACCGACTAGACATCACTGACCCGTGTGAATAATAAATATAAACATAGACACGCATTGCAGATGTATGGAAACCACTTGTAAATGAAACTCATATTTATTAATCAGCTGACTATGTTTCCAATAATATGATAGTCACATTCTAATACCAAACGTTTTATATTCTTCTTTTTTCACTATCAATGTCATGGCAAAAGAAGGTTCTCCTTTATGTTTTCTATCGCGTGCGTATTCAATTATGCGAATGAGGAAGCTTTATAAACGAATATCAGTGTTCGCCGCAATCGATGGAATGGAAAATTTGTCAAAAAAAGTATTATTCGTAAATGCTGTCCCGATTTTATGACTTATATGTAGGTGCTAGACTCAAAAAACCTAATTATCGATTGACATAATTTTTAAATGACCCAAAAATATATTTTTCATCATTTCCAACTGCTTTCCTTTCGCATTCAAGGACAAAAATTTGCATACGAAAAGGTGCTTAAATATTTACATGAAAAACTCTACACTGTATTTAAGCTGTTAAAGCAAGACATCATTAATTATAGCATATGATATAAAAATACTAAAATTAAAATTTGCAAATAGCCACAAACATTTGAATTTATTCAAAACAAAAAGCTTTGTGTAGTTCTAGTCGTGTTGCGCATTATACTAGCTAATAGCTTAGTAGCCCACAACTGCGTAGTGGTTGAGCAACCTTTGTCAAAAAGGATTTTGTTGTTTAACATTATTCACGTGCCGGTTCAACTTCTTCTTCCTTCTTTTTTTGTTTCGATTTCTTTATTTTCGTTTTGTGAATGGTATTGACATGCAGCAGGTCTGTTTAGCTTAATTTTTGTGTGGTTCTTTTTTGGTATAATTTTCACATTGGATCGATTAAATGTGGGAACAGGTGGATGTACACATGTTATACATTTGTCTTGTGTAATGAAATTGTTATTTGAAGCACGCAAGCACGTTGGTTTATATTTTTAGATTGACAAGGTATTAATGTCAGGATAAAAAGTACGGTTATAAGGAGTTATATAAGTATCGAATTTCATAGAATTATTTGATGATTCCAGCATGTCTATTGCATCATGTGCTAATCGATTTTTCAACCAATATGAATTTTCAGTCCTCAATATTGAGTTTCGTTCTTTAAGTCACAGATCTGGATTCAACTTTTCTAATTTAAAGTTAAAAATCGTATTGAATCAATCTCTGTTCCTTCAAATGAACTCAAAAAGTACATAAAACCCATGAAATTTGATAAAAATGTAATCAACTTAACCAATTCCTCATCAACGCACAAATTATCTACAAAAAATATAATTCGGTTCTTCACTGAAACCCAAAAAATCTGACAAATTATATCTTGCCTACTAAACTAAATTTCACGGTTAGACAATTAGCAAACAGTACGGTTCGTAACAGTATTAATCAAAAGTCTTACAATAGAGCTAGAACAATTGAAATAAGTTTCGCATCATCAAATCTTTAATGAACGGTTTTAGTCTTCAAAAAAATTACTTAAGCTAGAATGAAGTTGTTTAGCTGTACTTAATTCTACACTTCTGGTGCTACAAGTCGACTAATGTTAAATCATTACGGAATGAATGCAAAACTTTTTCTTGACAGAAAATCAACTTAATCAATAATTTTATGCAAACTTCTCTGCTTATTTCATTTCCTATTCTAAAATTCAATTCCTTGTATCTTGTATACAGCCGTCAGCAAATGTTGAAACACAATCAAGTAAAGCTATAAGAATACAAAAAAATCAGCTGATCATATTGGATTAACGACTGTAATCAAATCATTATAAATTTGACTATTAAAAATGTTCTATACGACTTATTTTAAAATGTAAATCTGTAATCAGACAGTCATAATATTCTGTGTAATGAGAAGGTCATGATTCAGCTCCATATTTCATAAAAGAAGTCCAGATAAGTGCTTTAATATAAATTGCATGATGCCGACAAAAGCACAAGAACGCGGCAATCATACAGCTTTATATCTTCCTTACTCATTCTTTCATATTAGTTCCTAACAGTTCTTCAACGAGCAAACATTCATCTGCTGTCTTATTGCTCTTAAAAGAAGAAAACAAAAAAAAAATATTGTTTTGGAATCGAATTTACATACTCGTTTGCAAAAGCAGCAAGAAGAAGAAATAACAACACCGAAAAAATATTGATTCAGCTTTTCTTCCTCCTTCTTAAAGTTCGGGACAAGAACGAAGCTTCAAAAAATGTGCAAATGATAAATGTGTGGATGTTTACTGAAATATTTAAGCGAATTTATGTATATGTTTATAAATTCTCGGCTCAGAAATTGTTCCATGCGTCAGCAGCGTAGACGAGAAATGTGTTGAAATTTTAATATTTCTCGGATGTCAATAAAATTTTTCCAATTAGTTTAATTCTCTATGGAGATTCCTTTTTTTGATAAAAAAATATTTTAAACTCGCACATATGCCTTTAATCAAGTTCAGTCACTAAAGTGAGAGCAACTCATTTGTGATATGAGATATCTAGTAACTGTTAGCAACGATGAGCGCTGATAGTTTTATTTATCAACATTCTAATTATCAGGAGGGGATCAGAGTTGAATTTAGGGAATGTTAAAGGATGTTTAAAAGTTCAAATTAGTCATTTACTTCCTCTCCAAGGGTTCTCGATGTTCATTCATCGACAAAATGATCTCAAACCTCCCCTCATTCAAAACTACACCCCTGACAATCATTTTCATTCCAATTATTCATCTCCACTTAATTATGTGTGCATCAAACTGTCACAATAAATCAACGCGACTTTACTATGTTAGGCTAAATATACGATTATTTGATTTTTGCGTAACATGGTTCAATTTAGCACATCCCGGCAATTTACAATCGTTACAATTTTTTGTGTACATGACATAGATTAAGTCCATAGAAGCTTTATTTTTCCCTCAGTGCAAACCCATTAGAGAGTTTATTACTCTCATGAAGATTGTTTGCTCATTTTATTCACATACTATTGCCGTTTATTTATTATTAATTCATATGGCATATGATGTGATTATAGAAGTCTCGTCAAGGCTCTCATTCCATATATCGTTAGTCTTTCCTGGTTTGTCGCACCTTTTTAATAACGTCTTCATTCTCTTCTTGTTTTAATCGAAAGGATTGTTGAATACGTCGCATGTGCTGAAAATTAAATAATGATAATGTCAATAATGAATGATATCTTAACGACCTTTTTATCAGAGGAACACGTTCATTGCTGTTCCTATCAAGAGCATGACGAAATTTTGTCATATCTTTTTATTTTATCGCAAACATATTTTTGCCTTTGATATTGAATGAGTTCATTTTAAAGTTGATTTTTATGTGATTCACATTAGTTGCGCAAATATTTATTTTTACATCTGGCATAAGTAATACAATTTTGATTAGAAAGTACTGTAGACTACTAAGAGCTGAACCAACCTTACACTGTAGTAGAATGGATATTAAGGGTATCTAGAGAAGTTACAATTGAAATATTATAAAGTTTCATGCGATGCATACAATCTAGAAAGTAATTATGCTTCTTTAAGGGATTGTAGATCCAATCCTCCCGAAATTTTAATCATACAATACACTTAGGGATCAAACTGGCAAGATAAACTAAGTTTTGGATTCAAAACTGCGCAAAATTTTAATAAAATCAAATTTTAACGCTCAAGACTCAACCCTGGGTCATTTGCACCATCCCACACCCACCTCGAAACATTACAAGCTACATACCTGCTCACAACATTCCAATACCCAAAATGAATCGTCCAAAAAGTCGAAGAAAGCAATAAATCAAAAGTTATTTTTAAAAGAAATCACATTACAAGTTCCTTATCGCATTAACTTACTCTTCTTTTACTTTTTGATTAGGTTTAATCAACACCGAAACACAGAAACATCATAATTCTTTAAGAGATCAGAAGTGAAAGCATCAACAACTCGAAAACAAACGAAATAAATATTAATTCAAAAGGAATTTATGAAATTGTACGCAAAAAGATATAAAGCAGTAATAACAAAGAATCAAAATTGTTTGTGACAGTGCTATAAAGTTTACTACGTGTATAAATAAAATCAGCTTATGAAAGGCTCATCAATACTCCCTTTGGTCAAATAAACACAATGATAAAAGAAATAAAAGTAAAGAGTGACGACTGGAAGATAAGGAGAGAAAATAATTTTGATCATATCATAAAACCTCAAACAGTTTTTTAACTTTTGGTATTTTCATCACGAAAAAGGCAAAAAAGCTAAAGAAGTAAAAACTTTTTAATTTAATTTTTTTTCGGAAGAATCTGAAGAAATTATTTGAAGGCATAAAAAAAATTATATAAAAAAAAGAATTAATTCAATTATAGAGTAAAAAGAGCATAACAGCGCGTGTGAAAAGATGAAACCTTTAATATTCCTCTGTGTTTTAAGTATTGCAAAAACGGGAGGAAGTATTGATACACGTGACTCACAGTCAGATGAGAAGCAAAAAGAATTTATAAATAATGGTGTGGTCAATACATTTGCTGGACTACCCGTCGCGGGAACTGTCAAAACAGAGCCAAAATTAGAAACATTGTTAGAAATATCAGACACAAATCGATACATTACACTTGCGTTCCTTAATGTGTCGTGGTTTGATGGAATTGAAAAATATAAGGAAGATGAACACGAAAGAAGTAAATATGGAATGGGACGTGTGATGGATGTGGAAGGTAGATTAGTTTATGTTACTGACTCTGAAAACGAGACCGATCATTCAGCATGCAATTCAAGTCTTCGTGATAGTTTTGGTCGATCGTTAAGTTTGTATCATAATATGCCATGGATCGCGCTTATAAAACGCGGTGGCTGTGACTTCGAGAAGAAGATCTTGCATGTTTATTCATACCGAGCTGTAGGTGCCATCATCTTTAACAATAATAGTGGCAGTGAATTAAATTATATGAAAATAACAAATAAAGAGCTACTTGAAGGTAACATTACATCCGTTTTCACGCCAATGTATAAAGGCAACCAACTAGTTGAAATTATTAAGAATCATGGTGAACATAATCCTGTCAAATTATCGATAAAACAAGGAATGAGATTTGATAAAAAGTCAAGCCTGAATCACCGAAGTTCTGTCCTTTTTGTGACAATTTCGTTCATCATTGTGATGGTTATATCCATGTTATGGTTGATAGTTTACTATTATCAACGTTTTAGATATCTTCAAACTAAAGAAAATGAACAGAAGATGGATACAAATAAAGCCAAAGAGGCACTTAGGAAAATTCCAACGAAAACTATCAAAACTCTTTCAAAGGTGAGGAAAAAGTTTTTCTTTTGGTGGCAGTGTTGTTGATCTGGATGTCTAGAGGTATTTAGAATCTAAATCCTGAAACTGTAGAAGCTTATTATACATTTCAGATTTAAAAAACTATTTTGAAAACGATTCTGTTTAAAAGTCAAGAATTCTGGATCAGATATCTGCTTTAATCTAAATATATTAGCTATCTTACTGGATCCAGATCCTGATTGGATCCTTCTTTAATCCAAATACATTTGGGGCTGTTCACTTATTATGTAACGCGAAAAAATGACTTTTTAGACCCCCCTCCCTCCCCTCGTAACAATTTTTGTATGAAAAAAAAAATTTCCTTGTTTGAACCGTAACAAAATCTTAGACCCCCCCTCCCCCCCTAAAAGCGTTACGTAATAAGTGAATGGCCCCTTAAATGTCAGTTATTATTTGCTATCTGACTGGATTAATCTTCAAAATAAAAAATATTGAATCATTTAGGGGCCGTATAAGGGCCGTTCACTTATTACGTTACGAAAAAAACGACTTTTTTCACCCCCCCCCCCTCCCTCCCTTGTTACAATATGTTACAACTCACACCCCCCGCCCCCCCCCCCCCCCTGAACGTTCATAATTTATTTTATTTTGATAATTTTTCATAAATGAACTTTTTTTAAAAGACAAACGAAAATTAAAACGTTACATACTTCTTGACCCCCCCCCCCCCCTATGTTATATTTTGCTACAATTTTTCGAACACCCCCCCCCCCCCCCCCCCCCCAAAAATGCGAACGTAATAAGTGTACGGCCCCATATGAAAGTTGACTAAAATGAAATCTGAAATTGAATCATATTTGGTATATTCATGTCACTGACCAGTCTGATTCAGAATTTGTTTGACAAAAGCAAGCATCCAGATAACAACACTGCCATTTATGCATTTCTTTATCGATTTTTGTTTTGCAAGATTTAATTTGTTTTTTTAAGTTGTTAGATTGAGAGTTAAGTGTTTCAAACCGCAATGAAAGGTGGAAATTTTGAGGTTATAAGAACAATAATTGACGAAACAACAGAAATGCACTCTCAACTCTCATCGACACAACATTTTTCCCACATTTTAATGGAGCGAAAAAAACCAATTTTCACACAAAATTTATTTTTTTTTTTTCTATTTCAACACAAAAATGTTTTTCAGGAAATTGAAAGTGATTGTTGTGCCGTGTGCATCGAAGCTTACCGTCTTAACGATGTTTTGAGGTGTTTGCCATGCAAGTGAGTTGATGTCGCGGTTATTTGAATCCGCAAAAAGGCACAAAATTTTATTATAATAAATTTAATTAAAATTTTCTTTGTTTATTTTTATTTCTAACCTCAAACAGGCACGAGTTTCATCGAAATTGTATAGATCCATGGCTTCTGCAGAACTACACATGTCCGTTGTGCAAGTGTCGGGTCTTGAAACAATATGGCTTCGTTGTGAGTCGATCAAATGAGAGTGGCCCATCCACAAATGCTTAAATCATATTTTCCATTCATTATCAACAAAAATGTTAAAATTGAAATACGAAAAGATAAAAAAAAATGGCAATAATAATTTCCTGATAAACTCTAAAAGCAAACAAGATTTCGTTAAGCTTTTTCTGTTTGTTGATTAAACAAAAAATTTTATTGAACATTTTCGCGCAAATAAAAAGACGAGTCAGACTTTGTTGATAATGAATGAGTTTATTAGCTTTTTTAGAATTTTAAAACCTACTTAATTTTATTATTATTATTATTATTGGTTAAGTTTACCTTAATTTTGTATCATTTTGAAGTATTACACGTGCACATGTATTATAATCATGTTAATATTTGTTCACATTTTTGGATGCGACTCAAGAGTTTGAAGGCACTTATCAAGTAAATTAATCAGATAATCATATTCTGATCAGGAATGTTCGTGTCTAGCATATGACTATATCATGCTTAACGTTCATCGAACTTTTTACCAAATATTTGTTTTGTGTACAGAAATATTGACAAAGACTGTTAAGAAGTTTTGATCGATTGTGGTCATGACTTTGTTAAGAATTATTTTGGGAAAATTCTTGATAGCGTGGGATTATGTTTAAGTCTGTAAATTGACAGGAATGATTTATGTGATGAGTTAAGTGTCGTCAATAACTTAATTACTTAGTGACAGTGGAATAGCAAGCACTTGGGATCAATTTACCTTGACGATGCCGGTCCTTCATCTTGCTTCTATACAGATTCTTAATCATAGAATTTTAAGGCTCAATCTTTCCGATATCATTGCAATACGACATCTTCAATACTCATCTTCTTAAAATTAATTAAAAGTTCTAATGTAATCTAATCCAAGGCAAATATTGCCACTCCACATCAAGTCAGTTACCCCATTTCATTCACATTGCCTCACAACATCGCCACATGGCTAAAAAGCTTTACAAATTTTGTGTCGCACGAGTTAATGGTGAACAAATATTTAGCGAGACAGTCTGTACAGCAAATTTCATTAGTTATAAGCACAAGCAATTAGCCAAATCATGGTCAATTTAATTTTTAAAAAAGTGATAAAAAAAATAACTCGATTGCGTTCGTACTTAACACATAAAAGTTTATACAAAACTTGTTTTTTTAAAGCAAACGATTTCCTTAAACTCAACGAGTATCGAAAATAAAAAATCGAGTTTGTTTTTGTAACATTAGATTCGCAAAAGCATCACAAAACTACGTCTTTTTTTGAGTTAAGAATCTGTGATAAGATAAAAATGGAAACGAAGTGTGTTTCTCATCGATAAATGGATCGACGTAGCTTTGTTTCTGGTTTCCATTATAGTTTTATTCTCAGGACTTTCAATATCAATCAAAATATATCAAACTGAGGATTTTGTCATGATTAAAATGGATTTTGAAATCAGATTAATTTATGACTTGCCGCAAATTAAAAAGTCGATAAGACGTCAAGAAAAAATCATAAAACGTGATAACGAGAAACAATTGCTTATTTTTCTTTCCTTGTATGTTTTCTTCTATCCATTATCGAGCTATTAATTAATTTACAATACTTCTTATTGTGATGAAAAAGAAAAATAATAAATCTGTCAAAGGAATTGGAAACCAAAAAAATGCGATTGACATTTTGTAGATTCAAGGGTAATGTTCATTATGGTACATAATTACAGATTTTTGTAAGGTTTTATAGAGCTGTTCTTATCAATGCGGAAGCTAGTGTTAATCAATTAATTTTTAACTAGTTTTTCAAGGTTTTATTCCTCAAAATTGAAAATGAAATAAAAATCAAAAAAATAAAATTTTCAAAAATTCAAAACTTAGCATCAACAATGCAATAGAATCATAAATCCTTACCTATTCAGCCATTGTTTACACAATCAGAAATAAATCAAGATATAACACGTTCTTTTATAACTTAAGCATTCGAAGAATAGTGTCATAACGGTACTTAAAAGAAAATTAACTTAATATTCCATTCATAACACTATTAAGCGCTGTTTCATGACTGTAATAGCCAACATTTAAGACACTTTTGTAATTCATGTATCTAATTGGATCTAAATGCAAACATAAATTGAATTTAATCGCATTTTCAATTCCTTACACGTTCGCAAAAGAATTTTACATATCTTAAGTTTTAAATCTGTAATCACAAAACAACCATAACTATAGTTATGATGTGCTAAATAGCTATTTTAAAGTACTATGTTAAGTAGGAAGGGTCAGTGATTGAATGAAGGTTTTTGGCTCATAATCAAGAAAATAATTAATAATTTAATAAGTTTAATGTTGCATTTAAAAGAAGCTGAATGAAATACAACTGCCCTTTTAACCTGATTTACAAAAATAAACTTTTATGATCATGAATAAATATTTCAGTCATGCTTTCAACAGACCAAGTGATTTTATATTGATTCTGTTTTGTAGATTTCATTCTTATAATTTTTATTACCTATTTAGTGCAATGTAAATTTTTAATTTTAAATGATTTTAGTGATTTTAAGTTTTAATTAAAGAAAAAAAGATTTATTTTAAAGAATTTTTGTTTTCTTATTTTAATTTACTGCTCAGACAACTCTTGATAACATTGATGATTGTTCAGTTATTATATGATTTTACAGAATCAAAACCTGTAAATATGGAAACTGTTCAAACCATAATTTTTATAAAAGAAGTCAAGTTAAGTTCTTAGGAATGCGATTTGGCACTTAGATGTCTAGATTTGGTGTTTTTAAACGATCTCTTGATTCTAGGTTAGGGGCCGTTTACTTATGACGTCCGAAATTAACGATCATTTTTGGGGCCATTCACTTATTACGTAACGCTTTTAGGGGGGGGGGGGGGGGGGGGGGTCTAAGATTTTGTTACGGTTCAAACAAGGAAATTTTTTTTTCATACAAATTTTGTTACGAGGGGGGGGGGGTCTAAAAAGTCATTTTTTCGCGTTACGTAATAAGTGAACAGCCCCTTTCAAAAAAGAACAAAAGATTTCCAGGAATTTCTATCCCCCCCTTTGGTGTTTCCCAATGATCTCTCACTAGGTTCATCCTCGATTCTAGGTTAGGGGCCGTTTACTTATGACGTCCAGGGGGGGCGGGGGTCAGCAAGAAATCAATAATAGAAATTCCTGGGAACCCATTGTTCTTTTTTCAAAAAATGACCGTTATCTTCTTCTTAATAGACTAGAACAATAATATTTACAATGTACTAACTTTTAATACCAGATCTAACGTACTTTCCAGTATCATGTGGTTCAAAAGTGACAAACAGTTGTAAAGCAATTATTTGATAAGACTAGAGTTTTTATTTTTTGTTGAGCACAACAATTAATTTGCGACAATAAAGTCAATCATATGGTAACTGATTAAGCAGTGTTTCAAGTTGTTTTGGGCTATCGCATTCAAGTTTCCATGAATTATCAATTTTTATGACCTTATTTTTAATTCCACGCTGCCTAATAAACAACAAATAAGATAACAACAAGTCAAGAAAGTATAATACAATTGGAATTGGATGATGATGAAGAAGAAAATGAAACGCCTCATCAAAGACGTCGCTATAGTGTCTCTCCGATGCCTCAGATCCGTTCAAGTGAATCACAGGTATTTTTTTTTTGGCAAATTTCACATCTCATTAACAGCTCATTCACTCATGCTTCATGAATATTTATATATTTTTTTTACACTTATGTATTCTGTATAATTTCTAGACATCCGGTAGATCATCACCCGAGTTTCCAAACGATGACATTACCCAACCACAAATTGACGTCATTCTTATTCACAAAGTGAATAATAACGATTGTAGCTGCAGCTCGTTGGGTAACGACAAGAAAATTTCAATGGATGGTTATGCAACCTATCCTGTTTCGCGTAAAAATGGAAGCAAATGTTCATGTGATGAAAATAATTCTCAAAATACTCATCAAACATTGGATTTTCCGAAAACGAAAAAGCACTCAAAACGTCCAACGATATTAATGTCAGACAGCGACTGTGATCAGAATCCGGAAAATTTTGATAATTCTGGGGTCAAAAATTGACCAAAACTATAAAAATCCTTTTATTTGCAGTCTTCTTAATTCCAACAAAAAATTGAGATTTTACTTTTTAAAGCAATTTTTTCCTTAAATCGAATTTTAAAACAAATGAAATCGAACTTTTTCTCTACCTAATGTAATTACTACCGTCTTCATAGATTAATATTATTACACTTCGTATTCACGAGTTAAGTAATGAAAAAGAAAACTAGTATCAAAAATAATGAAAATTGTAAAAAAGGAAAAATTCCGTAAGTCGATCTTAAATGCAAAATTAAATTCTTACTAAACCCCTGTCTTTAATTCAATTGACTATATGAGATTTAAATAAATAAAGTGATATTAAATTACACAGAATAAAATAACCGACTTTTTATTTTTGAATTTCAAGATCAAACTTTATAACACCCACTTTCCTACTCCTTATTTGTTACGTCAAAACACAAACGTAATCTTTTCAAATGTTTTATGACCGTTAAATTTTAAAAACTAAATGACAGTTATTTTTAAAGCAGGATATGCACCAATTATCCACCAATTCAGAGCAATAAAAACCGAAATTCTTGTGATCACAAAGGTTCACTACTTTTATTTCAGATAAATGAAAAATTGTTTAAATACCTACAAGTGTTTTCGAGATTTTTATTAGATATTCATATTGTTACTAAAATTCGAGATCCATAATATCTTCAACAAATAATAACTACTCAGTAGTCAATCTACGATGTCTACGCTTATAATTCGTCTGATCAAAACTTCTATTTACTATATAAATTATGCATATCCACTAGCTCGTACTTCATTCCAAACTTTGAGCATTTCATTCGAGTTTTCATAGCCGTGTGTTGCAAGGACATAACGATAGCTTGCAGGACCTGAATATGCAGCTTTGTAATAATAAAACTCTTCAGAATGTAAAGGCTCAACATTGGCTTTCAATGCAACAATCCCCAAAAAAATATCATCAAATCTAAAATATTTTGTGTACTGACTCGTGCAATACATTTCTTGCAGTGCTTCTCTTGACAACATGAAACATCCAGCAGTAACGTATGTAGGCCATCGATCATATTTATATTCATCAAGTGGGATGTACCATTTACTGCTCCGATGACGATGTGGTCTTGAATTAAATACATATCCAGCAAATAGCTTCACATTAGGAGGAAGTTCAATATTGAAGCTCAATAAGTTCCTATTTGTCATCTCTGTATGGTTTGTTCCATTAATTAACTTTATCTCCTGTAATTTCCTTTGGTTTAATTTCCTCAATTGTTCTTTATATGCTTCTAGATACTCAGGATAGTTCACTGGATTCCTTAGAAATGCTAGAATATTTTTAATCGATACGTAATAATCATCGTCAACAAACAGGTAGAACTTGCTTCTAATGCAGTTCTCTTTACACCATTTCATGCCATGGATGGTCTTAAGAGTGTTGTTATAGTATTCATCAATGAAATTGAACTAAAATGGTATAAATCAAGCATTAATATAGCTAAAATCGGAAGATCCTTTAAACTCAATTACCTGAATAATATCCTTATATCTCTCCGACTCAATATCAACAAGCTTCTGTATCTCTGATAGCTGATTATTATGCGTTTGTTGATCGATTCCTAATGAAAAGACTGTCCTTATAATCACATCCGAGAATCTTTTCTCAAATCCCCAGCTGTTCCTGATAGCATTTCGTCTCTCGAAATGGTCATTTTTAGACTTGACTATAATTAAAAGGTGTGGCACAAGACCTTTCTGTAACTCATCCTTGCATTTATTCTCATTGTTATGTCTATAGCTATGTACAGCAATATTGATTGGCTCAACGTCTGGCTTTTCACCTTTTCTTACTTTATAGCATATTGCATTAATATTTCCATTCAATTCATACTCAAACTTTTCAAACTTTACTTCAAAAATGTGAAGGAAAACACCAAAATAGTCGAAAAGAAATAGAATTGTTAAAATTAGGCACGTAAACTTGAGTAGCTTAACATATAACCGGCGATTGCGTGGAAACATTCCTTTAATATCAGGAATTGATAACCAAAAGTGAGAATTCAGATGAGATACTTAAATAATTTAATAAAAACGAATTTATTGTGTCTAAGTCATGACTTATTTGACACAAAATAAAAACAAACGTAAAATTTTAACAGTGTAGGATTCTTAAATTTCACCATTTCTCTTTAATAAGACTCATTTGAGTATCTCTGATTACTTGATCTGGTGTATTTTCAATCCAGCTATCGATATTTAACCTTGAATCACTATAAAAGAATCTATTTTAAATAAAATTTCAAAATTCATCAAATAGTGCCCTAAAATTAGCAACGAACTTAAAAAATTCAAATTTTTTGCCATTCAGTCAAATTCAAACATACGTGACAAAACCATTCATTTTAGTGAAAAGAAAAAAAAAATTCGCTTCTCAAGAAAATTAATTAAATAATGGATTAATAGACAGTTAAAACGCTTAGAAATAGTATAATTCGGTAAGGAAGATAGAGCCAGAGGAATCAAAAGTATTGTGGATTTAAATTTCATCATAAAAGTGCTTCAATTTTAATAATTTCAAAAAGTGTGAGTGAAAATTTCAATTTTTTATAGCGGAAAATTTTCTCATTTTGGAATAAAAAAAAAATCACAAATTGTGCAATTAAAAGGCTTCGTATCTATATTATCAATACCATAAAAGTGATAAGATTCATGAAAAAGTGCAGTGAGTCAGATATTCATAATAGCTTGATATATTAAATTAATAGAAGCTTAAAATCGGTGAAGCATAATGTGAGAAAAATTCATAAAGTGAAGAAAATGCTGAGCTTGGCTTATAAATAAAATGTAATAAATTAACTCTCTGCATAAGAAAGGAAAAATTGTTCATTTGAGCACGTCAATCAATGCTGATTTCACTAAACTGTAACAAAAAGAAATATTGAACATGTTATAAAGTTATTGAAGCGCAGTTGAGAGTAAATCTTGCTTTTTATGGTGTAATTGCACGTAATACGATAGTGTCAAGCTATAGACAGACTCGTCTTTATCACGAGGTTAAAATTTGATCTGTTATCTTTAAATGTATAACAAATTATTAAAAAATTTGCAGCTGTGAATCATTCTGTGTAATTCCGTTCTTATCAGAAATGTACAGCTTTATAAAGCATGAAAGCTAAAAAACCCAATGGAATGTGTTTTTATAAATATGAAAATGACGTCTCGAGCTGAATTAATCATCGAATAAAATTAAACCGGTTGATTCATGCACAATAAGATTGTCGACGTCACTAAAAGAAGAAGCAGTTTGATGCAGGCTGTTAGTGGCCATGAATGAAAGTGAAATACACTATTTTCTCTCATTGAATGCAGGCAGACTTTAATAATTGCCAATTATAAACATGAGAGATTTCCCAAAACCAAGCGTGATAGGAAGGAAATGTAAAGCAGTAGCAGTGAAGACAGTAAAAAATTTATGAACGAAATTCCTCAAAAAAATAATCCATTAAAAGTTTATGTTTGGCTTCAATGCCGTAGGTTTTTATTGATTTAATGTGAACAAAAATGCTCAATTGATGATTACACATAAACATTACATAGTCGTTCAAGCCACGAAAAACTCCATACTATTAAAACAGCATTGACTTCTGTAGGTCAAAAGTAAAAAGAAGACAGTCGATTTCCAAGTTGTGAATTATTCATCCATTGAGTATTACCGTGTCATTGTCTTTTAAAGTTTATTTTAAGCTCATCTTAATCTTCAAAGGGCCTGTCTGCCTGAGTGTCTGCTGTTGCTTAAGACCAGAATAATTTAGAATTAAATTAATTATGCTTCAAACTGCTTCAAACGTAAACTTTAAATTACGTACGTTTTTTGAACCGCTATCTTTTGAAATTTCAAATAATTTCAGACCGTTAAATTTTCAAACATTTTTTGACCGTTAATTTATTAAACAATCTTTAATTAAATATTATTAATTTAAAACTGCTTAAAATGCGCTTTTTTCTAATTTTCGTAAGCAGAGTTTGCATCTGTTGACTAATTCTCTGTTTTTTGTATTAATAGATTGTGTTAATAATAATATTTAAAGAGTCATATAGTTTTGTCACTTGACTTAACCCAACCGGCATAGGAACAAACGACAGAGAAGAAAAATTATTGTTTGTTGGTAGCAAATATACAAACTATGTTGTGTAAACTGCTAAAAATTGTTACTCATTGTTCTACATTTCAAGTGTACAGACCGTGTCATAATTCTACAGCGTTCCTAATTTAATGTGAAATAATCAGTGACGTGATAGATAAAAACCCCAAAGCTTATTAATAAGAATGTATATCGAGTGACAGCACCGCGAGTTTCTGAGACGCATTTTGTAATTTGCTTTATTGAATTACTGGAAGTTAATTGTTGTTAATTCATAAACTTTATTGTATTAAGTTGATTATCAGTTGTGTTGAGAAAATGATACTGGGGGTCCTCGATTTGAGTAGATTCTATTTGAGTAGATTCGATTTGAACAGAAAATTTTTTACCCACCAAAATATTCGATTTGAGTAGATTTCTTCCTGTTTTCTTCGATTTGAATTGTTTACAAAACAAATATTTTTGATAAAAACATTTCAGAAAATATTTTTAAAACATAAATTTTACTGCAATAAGCGTGAACTTATCATATTGATCGAAAAATCAATACTAAAGTTACGAAATTAAAGTAAAAATTTAAAAAATCGATATAAAATTAACGGTTTTAAAAAGTTCAAATTCAAAAACCCTACAAATTGTTCGGTGAAATAACATTTGCAAGGCTCTCATATTTTTGTTTTGTTTCAAAAACAAATTTTTTGTGAATTTCTGTTTAAAAACAATATGAATATGCGTTGAAATAAATTAAGGTATCAAAAACACATAGGAAAAGCTAAGAAACGAGGTAAAATGTGCAAAAAATTATCAAAATTTTCATTGTTTTGATACATTTTTTGGACTCTGGAACAAAACATGTGATTTTGTATGGATTCTTTGCCTCGATTTGAATAGATTCGATTTGAGTAGAATTTTTTTGGAACAAAACAACTACTCAAATCGAGGACCCCCAGTATAGGTATGCAAATTGCTATAAATGAGAAGAATGCAAGTGATCACAGGTTATTTTTGTAGCTGTGTAATCGATTGTTCCCTGCTGTGTCATGATTTAATCTTGTTGACTTTAAGTGCGCTTCAAATTCCTTACTTGCGTTGCGTATTTCTTCAAAACAAATTCAAAATCCATAAAACCGTTATTTTTCAAATATTTCAAGGCCGTTTTTTTTCAAATTTTTAAAAGCCGTTATTCCAAAACATAATTTCTTTAGATTCTTAAATTTCTAGTGAATGCACCTTCATGTAGAGATATATCATTCAACAACCTCAATAAAGCTAGAATGTAAACAAAGCTGACATTGAAAACACCTTTTCCACTCATTAGTCATTCTCAGAAAACATGTTATGCAATAATTCACTCGAAGTAGTTCATGAAAATTTCCACCCACACACAATCCAGAATATACTAATTATTTATGAAAATTAAGAAAAGTATAAGCAGCAGTAATTAATGATTGGCATGTGTATAAATGTTTACTGCAGAATTTGAGGAGTCTGCTTCATTTTAGTCAATATTAAGTCAAATGAGTGCTCAATTGTGATAAAATGGGTTAAAAAAGTTTTTCTTCTCAATCCAATCAAAAGCAAGCGCGAGACGATCAAATTCAGTTCTTTTTCATCATCCAAAGGCAGGCGTTAAATTAATATTTATATAAAATCTCGTTAATTTGATAGATTGAGTAAATATTTGCAGTATTTTATAAGTTTGGAGGTCGAAGTGCTTGACTATAATATATTTTGTATTATTTCCTCCATGTGATAAGATTGTTGATAGCCGTGATGATAGGAAATTTCGTAAGAATAAGCGTCAACTTTTTGTGTCATGTAAAAGGAAAAAGTTTTCCACTTTTCGTTATTCGTGCCTAGTTTTCATCGATTTCAGTCGGGTTTGTGTACATTTTTGTTCACAAATATTTACTAGCACACTAAAACAAGTGTAAATGTGGGCAATTATGACCGATGAGAGCGCATTTTTCATTGAAAGTTTGGGAAATCTAAAAAATAAAGTTTAAAATTCAATTAACAATCACGACTTACGTTTATGAATGTTGTGTGGTCAGCAACTGCGCAGTACAACTTAAACTCGCTTGAAATTGCCCAAAGAAAGTCATTAAGAGTTCTTTTAAACAAAACCTGGTTCTGCAGCAAATCAGAATTGTATAGTACAAAAATTCTTCAAGTCACAACGCTATGTCAAAGTAGTATATTCATTCATGTCTTTAAAATTACGTCGAACATGCTTAAAAATAGTGTCAATATTCAAACTGCTAATGAAAGACACAACTATCGAACAAGACAGAGAGAAAATTATGTCATTCCAGCTACTCGTACCCAGTTAGGTAGTCAAACGTTCTTCATTAGAGGGCTAGTATTGTACAATTCTCTCGAGAAGACAATTAAGAACAAATTTTCAATAAGTTTATTTAAATCTAGGGTTAAAGAATATTTCTATAAGACGTTTTGTGATGCTAATAATAATAATAATAATTTTTAAGAACAAAATGCACTATGTAGCCAAATATGATTTAATTTTGTAACACAGCCATTTGGCTACTTACAAATAAAATGAAATACAAACCAAAAAAAAAAACGATCAAAAAACATTTGAAAATAAACGACCAAAAAATATTTGAAAATAACCGCTAGTCAAAATTTTTCAAAAATAACGGCCAAACAAAGTGCAAGCATTAATACATTTTCTTTTTACTAAAGTGCTTTAAAAAGTAACACTGCTGCTCATGTAGGTCATCTCATATTCATTCTACATTCTACATACGAAATGCTCACAGTTCTAATTATTTTTCATGGATATTTGCGTGTGATTAATTAGTCGTTTCCACTTTATGGCGCAATAAATCATTGTATTGACTTGAACTTTATTCCAAAATTGATATTTTAAAATTTTTTTTCAAACATGTGTTAAGGTATGTACGATAACGATAAGCGCAAGTAAAGGTTGTCTACAATTTCTCATGATTAAGTTGCTATGGTAGTGAGTCAGTGTGATTTATTTAAAGATTACTAAACCGTTTACGTATTTACACGCGTCCGCATAGTCTTAAGTCAAAGTACAAAGTGCAAATATATACAGCGTCAAAATAAATGTTGATGAGAATCTTCTTTGGGAGTGGCATATTGACGAGTTATTCGATGGGATTTTTCATTGATTAGTTGGCTTTATTTGCCATTATCATCAACGTCTATGCTTGATTAGTATTCATACCTAATACATGATACTGTGCCGTTAAGTTTCATGTCCAAATTATGCCTCAAACACATTCTAAAGCCCTTTTAATATTCTAATAATTGAAAACAGGAAATAAAGCCATAAACTTGAGTAGTTGTTATTCAATAAGTAACCTCAAGCTTCTTTATTACCAACTTTCGAACTTTTAAGTCCTCAACTTGAGATTTTATTTAGTAGATATTAAATATCAGTGTTTATTGATGCTTCAGCTTGATATTCCTATAAATCATTACACACCCAGCTATAAGCTACAATTTATTTTAAATGAATAAAGTTGCAATGTCATTAGAAAGTTTGAACCTACTTAAACTTTATTAATATTCATGAACATCAAGTGAACATTATCGATATTTATTTATATAAAATGCATTAATGAATGAAAATGACCATTCAGCAATCAATTGCATAAATTTATTACGTTTACTCGGAAGTTGTTGCTTTTTGGATGTTATGGGCGATTTTTGTTGAGCTCGACAGCTTTTGACTAGCGTTTGCTTATTTATGAAGTTGATTTGCCTATTTTAAGTGCCACTTTTGATAAATCTTTATCAACGACAGACTTCAAGTTTGATAAGGAATCAATTCACAAAATGATTAGTTTATAAAAAAAAAATATTTTTGATCAACTCAGCATGACAAGGGCGTAGCCGGGGGGGGGGGGGGGGGGGGGGAGCATAGGAAAATCTGATAATTGTTTTATTAAGTATTTATAGAGAAGAAACAGTTAATGTAGAGGAAGTGATGAAAGAAATGTCAAAATCAGCACGAAAAATTATAAACTTATGAAGAATGAATATAGATTTAAGGATACAAAATAAAGCTGCACCAACAGAACCTTTCAACCAATTTATTCTTTATCACATTTTCATGAATCTCAAACAACAATCGCCACGCTTTATCAATTACTGTCCATACATGAGAATAATATTCAACAGAACATATTAATTAAGTTTCCATTAGATCGATTACTAATGTCATTCTTTCATTCCTATGCATATTTTAGATCCATTATCAGTGAACCGAGTAATCACACAAAAAGAGAAAGAGAGAGTCATAATAACTACAAATTATATAGTTGAGAGACATTTTTAATGCTTCACGCAAGCTAACATAGTTTTATGATTATACGGAAAGAGAAGGAGATAACACAACTACAGAAGAGAAGCATGTGGTTTTAAAAAATATCGGTTCCAGTATTTATCGTGCGACTCATAAATTATTTCAAGAAATCTATTTAACTGCAATACTTTGATCGGTGAGTGTAAAAAACATTTTTGGTAAAAATTAAGTAGTGAAAAGTCTACGGATAAAGAAAAAGAAAGAAAAATGTTGACATCAACAACAAAACACGTTTTACACTGCCTGCTCCTCTGTTCTATGATAATTGGACTTTTATTTGGATCGGGAGCTATAAAGACAGATGACGATGATTATTTGGCAATTGATCCATGGACGGAATATGGAACAGCATGGACAATTTTCTTATATGTAATAAGATGTTGTGCCCTTATGACACTGCCACAAATGCTTTGCAATTTCTTTGGACTCGTATGTTATAATGCATTTCCTGATAAAGTTGTGCTTAAAGGATCACCGCTTTTAGCTCCATTTATATGCGTACGTGTAGTCACTCGTGGAGATTTTCCAGATTTAGTGAAACGAAATGTCATGAGAAATATGAATACATGCCTTGATACGGGTCTTGAGAATTTCCTCATTGAAGTTGTTACCGATAAGGCATTAAATCTTCCGAAACATAGACGAATAAGAGAGATTGTCGTACCAAAAGATTATCAGACTAAAACCGGTGCATTATTTAAGTCGCGTGCTCTACAACATTGTTTAGAGGATAATGTTAATGTATTAAATCCAAACGATTGGATTGTGCATCTTGATGAGGAGACAATTCTTACCGAAAACAGTGTACGTGGAATAACGAATTTTGTGTTGGATGGAAAATATCCATTCGGTCAGGGACTAATTACTTATGCAAATGAAAATGTTGTTAATTGGCTGACGACGCTGGCTGACTCGTTTCGTGTTAGTGACGATATGGGAAAATTGAGATTCCAGTTCAAATTCTTCCATAAGCCGCCATTCAGTTGGAAAGGAAGCTATGTTGTGACACAGGTGAGTTGCATAACTTTCTCTTTAGAAAGAGCTTCGTGATGCAGTTTAGCTAATGGTTGTGGAGATGTAGAGATTGTTTTGATGCGAATTAAAATCGTAAATAGAAAATTTATTTCCCCAAACCACAAAACCTTTGGTTAGAATGCACGGAAGCACTCTGAAAAATGAATTTACCAAAATATAAGCTAATTATGTTAAGTGACTCGACAAAAATGTTATCTTATTATTAACAGTATTTGAATCCACTCAACCTTCAAAATTTTACTATCATGGCTTTGCACAGGTTGATAAGTTTATAAATGTTGATTGTTTTGAACTTAATTGCTTCCTGGAATGCGATATGATATTTTGATTGGGGATCAATACACTGCAACCTTTGTAGCTAAAAGCCAAACTCATTTCCTAAATTAGATCAGATAATCAGTCTAGTCACTTAAAATTAATCTCGAGTCTCATTAAACTCTTACTTTCTCCAACCTAATGAGATCTTAATTGCTTACTTTACTTTCAGTTGCATGCCGAGAAAGACGTATCGTTTGATAATGGTGTCGATGGATCTGTTGCTGAGGATTGCTTCTTTGCAATGAAAGCATATAGTAAAGGGTACTCATTTGATTTTATTGAAGGCGAAATGTATGAGAAATCACCATTCACACTACTCGACTTCCTTCAACAGCGTAAGCGTTGGCTCCAAGGAATCCTCCTTGTCGTTCATTCAAAAGTCATTCCAATTAAGCATAAAATTTTCCTTACGCTAAGCGTTTACAGTTGGGTGACAATGCCTTTATCAACATCAAATATATTTTTGGCTGTATTAATGCCTATACCATGTCCATTCATTTTGGATGTTTGTTGCGCTTTTCTTGGCGCCATTAGCGTGTACATGTACATTTTTGGTGTTCTCAAATCCTTTTCATTATATCGATTTGGTGTATTAAAGTCAATCTTATGCATTATTGGAGCACTTGGAACAATACCCGTAAATTTAGTTATTGAAAATGTTGCTGTGATTTGGGGCATGCTAAGCAATAAACATAGATTTTACGTTGTACAAAAGGAAATAACTAAAACAACAACAAGTGAAGAACGTCCACTTATGATGGATGTTTAAATTGCTAATCCCATTGCATTGTAGTCAAAAAAGAATCAAATATAAGAATATATATTTAAAAATTATTAATTAATTTATATATTAAAGAACAGTTTCTACTTCGTACACCTTAGGAATGTAATGAAATGATTAAAGAAAAGTTTAAAAGTGTAAATTTACGTAAGGTTTAATGTAAAAATGAATATTTAATTACAATAATTGCGCTCGTTTTTCTCTTAATTGTGCTTCAAAGTGCTGAAATTGGGTTGATTTTTGTGGATTTTTGGATTACACTTGACGTAACTTGACTCAATTTACGTACGTTTTTAAAACTTGACTCAATTTTACGTTCGTTTTTAGAACTTGACTGAATTTTACGTACGTTTCAAAACTTGACTCAAGTTTACCCAACGACTGCAAACAAGAACTCCTTTTCGGAAATAGGTACTTCATTTTCGAACTTGATTTGAATTTAAAATTTCGGTTGAAAATATTTGTTTACATTTCTTGGTCTTCATTGAATTTATAAAATTTCATTTTTTTAAAATAGTCAGAAATTGTGTAATTACTGGTTGTAAAGGAAAGAAAACCAATAAAATTCCTCTGTTTGAACTTCCAAAAAGCTCTGTGCATAAAGATAAGTGGATTGAATTTCTTAAATTGCATAATATTGAATATTGCTGTGAAAAAAAATATTTCTTGTGTATTCTTGAATTTATTTATAGACAGCTTAATTGTTCTACCTTATGTTCTGATCCTTCCTTTAACCAGAAATTCATTAATACAGTAATTGCACAAATTTAAGTCGATTTTGAACATTGTCAAGATACAATTGATAAATTATTAAAAGTTTTTGTTGAATTTAGAGTAAAATTACAATTTCAAAGTCGATTGGTACATAAAAGGAATAATTTTGCTTCAAAAAATAACTAGAATAAATATATTTTTATTAATTCCTTAACGATCATTTATTTTTTTAAAAAATTTAATAGTTCGAAATTTTTCGAATTTCAGTTTGAATTTTTCGAATCAAACTGAAGTTTTCTTTGTTTGCAGTCGTTGGAAGTTTACGTATGTTTTGAAGAACTTGACTAAATTTTACGTACGTTTTTAAAACTTGACTCAATTTTACGTACGTTTTGAAGAACTTGACTCAATCCACAAAAAACTTTCAATTACCAGATTTCACTTAAATCTCGATCAAAATAATCGTGAAAAAGAACAAATTAATTCAGCTATGAAGTGATTTTTGCAATGCATAAAAGTTTTGTTAATTTGAAAACATTTTCAATTCCATCCCATTAATTAAAACACTTTAATTTGCACAAAAAAGGCATCATAAAAGTTAAGCATAAATTAATTCATTCGACATCCCCTCTCGCGCCATCACTCATCATCTGAAATCACAATAAATATTTGCATAGAAATTATTGTTAAGTCATCATGAAAGCAATAACAATTAAATCTATGAAAATGACATCATAAAAATAAAATAATCACATAAAAATGATTTTTTTTTCTTCTAAGTAACAACAAAAATGTGATAATAATAAAAAGGAAATGAAAATGCAAAAAAGTATGATAACATGTAGAGGGCTCTTTATAAATGACGTCCATAAAAAAACGAGATTTTTTGACACCCGCTACCCTCACTTGTGGGTTTGTCATTTATGAACGGCTCCTTGACCAAACGATAAATAAAACTGAAAATTGATACCAAATGAGTTTGTCTCTGATTAAAATATTAAATGAAATGATGATTAAAAATAATAAGAAATTTGTAACTAGAAAAGTATGGAGAGATTTTGATAACACGAAAAATAATAATGCATTTTTATATCGGTGCATAAACTTTGTAATTATTGTAGCTTACACTTAATAGCCCAGCCCAAAAATATCGTTTGTTAAATTTTTTGTATCAACAAAATGATTGTTTGAAGACGAGGTGTGCATTAGTTAACTTAGGGCAAATGAAATCCAGCTGTAAACGATGATTTAAAGAGAATTTGAGTTATATTATAAGAATTCAAATTGGACTGATATGAGAACAAATAATTGTGGTTTAAACACAGAATATCGAAAAAAATGTAGAAAAGAATGTAGAACATTTTGCAAGAGATCAGATATAAAAACTGCAGGAAGAAAATACTTAATATTGAGGAATGGCTAAGATTCACTCATGAACTACGAAATGATCCAAGTCTTTTGATTTCTTAAAAATTTAAGTTGCATTTTATTTCGCGCAAACATTGTAAACAGAGCAATGACCTTGGAATCGTTCGTTGCTACTTTTTCAAGCTTTAGAGATCAATGACCTCAAAACTTCCTTCTTTGCTTGATTAGACTTGGTAAAAATTCGCCGCAATTTTATGATTTTTAATCCACAACTGTTTGAAAAATATGATCAAAATTAGGTGGAAAAATAACAAAAGACTTTAAGTTGAACGACATAAATATTTCCAAACTGAAGATCTTACTTAAACTGGCTTGTTGCTGATAAGGTTTCATATTTTGGTCAATTTTATACCAAGACACATCTTGACCTTTTATCACCAACAAAAGAACGTCACATAATCTGTATATGTGACCTTATATCCGTTAAAAATTTCATTTCAGTATGTATAATTGAGGCTATATAAAGCTTAACAGTGAACAGTGAATAACTGATTTGAGTGTTGTGGATTGTAAGCTGTTGGCTATTACCATCTCTGTTGGCTATCGACAAAATCATAATTCAGGCATTAAAAACCTTATTTTGAGTCCTTAAAGATCTCTTAAAAATATCATTAAATCATCTCAAATCAAATCAAACCTTTTAGATTCAGACTTTTTTAAAAAAAAATTAATTTTGTATCAAAATATGTAAAAATCTGCTTTCAAAAAGTTTAAACGAAATTCCGTTCTATAAAAAAATATTAAAAATGTTAATCAACCCGCTTAACGCGTGGAAGTTTAAATTGTTAAAAGAAAATCTTAATTTATTTGTAAAAATTGCAATTTGCTTTGTTTAAAATTGAATAATGTTATGTCGTGAGCATTGTGCTGAATCCTTGTCATATCGAAAATACTATGTAACGTCCTTACAAAAAAAAAAAATAAATCCAATCTGAAAGATTTGCCAACATACGGCTCGTAACCTCAGATTCCACTCTGCTCAGACAACATAAACAAAAAATGAAAAATTAATTACTAGATGAGAAATAAAATGTAAAAAAAAATAATATTTTGTAGATTTGCACGAATAATGAACAAACTTTCTAGAGAAAATGGGAAGGGGCTGTTAAAAAAGGAAGTAAAAGCTTCTTAAATGAAAAATAGTAAGTCCGATATTGACTAACCCTAAGTCCACCCAAATACCTCTACAAGCTTCCCTTAAACTCTAGTAAATTAAACACTAAGTAGACAGCACGCGCTCGATTTTTGATGCAGGAAATATAAAATTATTTTCTACTTAATTTATTTGAAAGCAGAAAGTTTGAAACAATCTATCAAAAAAAAAAAAAAGAGGAAAAACTCTGAATGAAGAAGTAAATAAAAAATGGCATAAATAATTTAACTCGATTGTGTTAATTCGATTTTCTCATGCGAAATGCGATGTTTTTGCATTTTTTGTTACAGTTGAAAATGAAAGTTTTGCGATTTCAATCTCAGTTGATCTCCATTAAATTCACTTCGGATGTGCGTGCTAATTGCACGCTTACTTAATTCCGTAAAATATTAATTGATGTCACCATTAATCATTGACCTTTTATTCTATTTTCGGCTGACTGTTTTGAAACTTTAATTAGACTAGTTGACTTTTTTGGTAGAATTGGTTTTAATTAATATATTCACGACTTAATTTATGTTATTCGGACCAAGTATTATTAGCTTATGAATAGGGAGGAATAAGATTTTTTCGGATTTTTTTTTCCTGAAATAGAAGTTTTCAAGTCCTCCTCAAAATCATTTCATTAGAGTCTCAATAATCACAGCATTTTTAACCTCTACAAGTCAAGATTCAATGGCACACGAAATAATTCAATTGTCATTCCATTTCTATGCAAAATTGAAGATTTATGTTTTATTAATTTCCTATTATCTCATAAAGAACATGATCATCATGTGTATAACACGTAACTATTCATGAATCAAATGATTATTGTTGCCATTTCTTACTGTCTAATTAATTCCTTCGACAAGTTTCCGATAAATTTCATCAGCATGTTTGTTGATTTCAGAATTTGATGTGCAGTTTCGGTCAATATGAACGTCTTTTGCTGGCAAATTACATAATTGTCTTCGTAGTTTTAAATCCTTTCTGGCTGAAAGAGCACGTCCATATTTGCCTGTTGAATTTAGGATCAGGTTTTTGCGTTTAATAGCGAGCTTCCTCATCAGAACTTGTACTTGTGCTAAAGGATGGTTCAACACATCGTTTTCAAGTTCAAAATCTTCTTGATCATCGTTATCGATTTTTGGATCTTCATCTTCTTCATCCTCAGGTTCTACCTTAATTCCATCAACCTTTTCCTTCTTTATGTCACCATTCATTGCCATTTTTTCATCCTTTAACTGTTGATTCTTCTTCAAACGCCATTCATGCTTCTCTTCACGCAATTGATTTCTTGCATCTTCCATAGTTCTTCGTGCGAAATCCTCGCCAGCAAATTTGACACTAATCCCGATATCCCAAAGTATACGATGTGCTGACCATCGAGATTTTGTTGTATTATAGAAATCTTCAGATAATTTGTTCATTGGACGTTGTGTTTCCTTTGCCAAACTAGCCCAATCGACACCTAATGCATCACCAAATCCTTTTAATGCTGATTCCTGCTCGAACTCACCATCTGATATTTCCTCAAAGTCAAGGTCCATTTCCTTCTTTAGTTCCTTATTTGCATGTATTTTACTTATCATTTTCTGTGCATTCGGATCTTGTGTCGACTCCTCCTGATATTGATCATTCTGTATTTGTGATTCAGATGACCGTTGTTGTTGCTGATTCTCTTGTGCTGACGCCCTCGCGAGTTCCTAAAAGGTTTCAAAAAATAATAATTTAGTTGGATAGGAATTTAAGCTTTAAAAATTTGACATCAAAAGCAATTTCATGCGGTTTTCATGCACAAAAAAATGAGGTTTTATAAAAACTAAGAAATTGAGGATGAATTTTGGTGAGAGGAATTTTGTTAATAGGACAGAAAAAGAGATTCAAAATTCAAATTCAGTTCCTTAAACTTTTCGGAAATGAGCAATTAATGAGAAAACAATAAATTATAGTCACAACTAGAAAGGAGGAAAGCATTTTAAACATTAATTTAAGCAGATTCTGATTTCGCATAAAAAATAAACCCAATAAAGGAGAATGAAAAGCAGCAGCAATAAAAAATTAAGAAAATTAAGGATGGGAGATGAAAAATCGCTTGGCTGCGATTTTCATCTCCCGATAAAAAAAACGACATCAAAAATATGCATAAAATATTGTTATGTTAAAAAGTATTCAATTTATCTTTGTCTTACGCATTTCCCAACATCATCATCTGCATGTCGTGGTAATAAACCATAAATACAATAATAATCACTTGAAAATGGACTAAAAATTCGATTATTTACATAGGCAATGCGATTATGAGCTCGACTTGCAGTGGATGTAGTACAACTAGATTGAGACTGTATCTGAACATCCAAATGAGATGAGGAGTTCTCTCCGATCTTTAAAAATAGTAATTAAGGAATGAAAAATAGTTTTGTTTGTTTGTTTTCTGAATTGTTTTTTTTTTCCCCCAAAAAAGCACCTTCATTTTATACTAAATGACATTAAGTACATTCAAAATTATACTGATTTTATTGACTTACTTCTTCGCGGTTTAAAATTTCATCATCGACATCACTGAATTCGCTCAAGTTTCCTTCACATTCTTCTTGTGGATCGATCGTTCCGCTAAATGTTGTGTCTGGTTGAGCAATCTTCTCCTCTTCAGTTTCTGTCGTCAATTCACCACTTTCATTGCCAAGATTATCTGCCTGCTGTTGATCGATTGAAAATTTTATGTTATTATCTAATGATTCTCCCATCGTTCTTGGGTCATCTTGTTTCTCATGACTTTGTGATGTAGCGGCGCTTGGTAAGACTCTTTTTGATGGAAAGTTGATTTTCGAATATTGATTTGGAAACCTTTTGTAAGGAAACCTCTTGAATCCAAAATATGGTGCACCTCCACGTGGCTTAAATGGTGGTCCCGAAGATGGATGAGAATCCATTTTGTGAGGTGGTGGACCTCTTGGTGAGTTCCAAGTATCAGAAGACATTTGATTTGGTCCAGGCCAGCGTCTTGGATGAGGCATTGTTGGAGCAACTTGTGAAGATTGTTGATCTTTCCAACTTCCTCGTTTCCAGTCTTGCGGTTCTTTATCTTTATGGGCCCATTTATCATGAGGCGGTGGTCCACTATTTTCATTCCACTGTCTTTCTTTGTACGGAACATCATCAGGGATTCTTTTTCGTTCATGTAGTGGTGGTTCCCAATTTTTATTGCCACTATTACCTCCTTCATAAATTCTATTGCCTCTAGTTTCTGGCTCATTTCCACGACTATCTTCCCATCTATGATGACGATCCTCATAAGGCCTTGATGACTGTCCATATTCATGATTTGGATTTCGTCTATCTTCTTGACGATATTCATATGGTCTATCCATATGTTCCCTTGGATTATTTCCACTATTTCTTCCGATTGGATAATCATCTCGTTCTCTAGAGTTAGACCTTCGATATTCAAATTCTTTATCCAGTCGTTCGCGGATGGGAATTCGACCATGTGATCGACTTCTTTCACGATGATATTTATCAGGAGTCATTCGAGTTGGAGGTATTACTCTGGAAGCACGCTCAGGAACTTTAGCTGAGTACTTATAATGCTCTTCTTCTGGCATTCTTCTCATTTTTTCGTGCTCTTTTTGTCTCATCATTATATCTCCTCTATCTCCTCTTTCATCGATGGCTTCTCTCACATATCGACGACTTGTTGATGGAGAATCTTTAACAGATCTTAGTACTGCACGATCTTGAACACGATTGTTTGGAACACTGACTCTAATCCTTGTTGTTGGTGAATTAATTCGATGTTCAGGTGTTCTTTCCTTTTTAACATCCCTTCTAACAGGAGTTCTAGACCTTCTAGCACTATGCCTATCATGCTCTTCCAATTGTTTGGCTTTCTTAGCCAATTTTAATTTCAAATGATGCTTATGAGCAGCTCGTGTTGCAGGTGACATACTTCTTGTTTTCTTTACATTCGTTTGTACCATTTTCGCTCTAATTTTAGCTGAATGTGAGTGTTTTCGTACTGCAGACTTTTTGTGCTGATGCTTGTGAGTTTTGCGAACAAATTCCCCATCACTGGAACTGCTAGAGTCGCGTTGCTTCTTTGAACTTCTGTGCTTTTTATGATGATTATCGGAAGAGCTTGAACTACTTGTAGAGGAATCATCGTCGTCCGAACTACTATAATATTTCGATGGATTTATTAGTATTAATTTATCTCTAAGCCTAATAATATGCCGGAAGATTGAATTTACCTGCTTGATGTTGGAGCATGTTTTCTAATTTTCTTTTTACTTTCCATCTTTAAAAGATTAGAATTTATAAATTTAACCCGTCTTCAGAGATGCACTTGCCTCGTTTGGCAGTAAAATCAGTCTAAAATTAACAAAATTGTAAAATAATTGCATTTGCTTAATTTTCATTTTTTTCGCATTACTTTTTTGATATTTTCAGTGTTATTTGATTGTTTACTGATAACTATTCACTTATATTATTAGATTTTTACAATTATAGCTTTTAAAATTCTTAATTTCACTATTGAAACTTGATTTGAAAATTTTGCCTTTCAGAAAACTACTTTTTGAAGAAAAATATATGATCCGTAGTAACTAATGTGTGGTGGAAGTTTAAATCTTTATTTGAAATTATAGTTGATAGTTTACACAGTGTGATTGTAAAGTGACTAGGTTGCAAAACAATGTATAAGTATTTATAGAACTTATTATTCAATTCTGAAAAGTTGAGAAACTTAGAAAAGTATTATTTGGTAGTTTTCTATTGTCTACCTACAGCAAACGTAAACAATCGCTACGTAAAGTATACTGAAATTTTTCAAATCTTAAAAAACCGTTACAACCTTCTTTTCAAAAATCTCTTAGGGCCGTTTTCACTAAAGTGGATAATCCTCGTTTTCGGATCATCCACCCCAATTTTTGGGATAATCTTCAGATGATGGTTTTCACTAAAAAAGATTGAGGATAATCCTGGATTATCTGGTACAAGAGATCATAGATCGCAGTGCCGCTTTTGCTATTAGCAAAACCCTACATTACATTCTATTCTATCTTCGGATCGGACTATTGAAAATGTCAATCCTGGTCCCCCCAAGATTGAAATAGGATAATCTCGGAATTTTTAGGATAATCTCAGGATAATCCTAAGATTATTGAAAAAAAAATAAACTATTTTAGTTGATTTTTGATTTAACGTCGTTTTTTCTCGTTAATTAGTTTAATATGAATATAGGAAGTGATATAGATAGTGACATTGACATGATTAATGATATTAGAGCTCCAAAAGAAAGAAGATTTCGCGAACGTGTAGATTTCATGGAAATTTTGGACGATCATGAATTTATTTCAAGATTTCGTGTCAGTAAAATTTCTTTTATGGAATTATTAAACGCAATAGAGCCTTTAATAGCACCTACAACTCAAAGGCACAAAATGTATAGTATTATAGCCAACTTTTAGCACAAATGAAAATATATATTTTCAGATCCCATGCAATTGAGGCAAAAGTAAAACTGTACAGTACTTTACGGTTTTATGTTACAGGAACTTCGAATCTGTTGCATAGGATAGACAGAACAATATATATCATAGGATAGACTTAGTGAAACACTGAAAAATGTTGTACTCCTATTTTAATTTCCATATTAATTTGTAATTGTGGAAAAACAAAGTCTTTAACCATATTCTCATAAAGTTATTCATCAGAACTTTTAGTTATGGAGAATTTGGAGAAAAAAAATGTTTCTGATTTGTTTTGTGAAATTCTGAAAAAAAATTCAACAGAATAATTCTGCAGAATAAAAATAAGTTCTTCAGAATTATTCTGGTTTTGTTACATCCATGTCACGCAACATTCATCAGAATTAATCTTAAGAATTATTGAGCAATTGATTGTACGCATGTAAAAATTTTTTTACATGGAGGTCCTGAAGCTGAAATTTTCAGGAATCGAAAACAATATTTTTCGCTAAACGTGCAAGCAGTCTGTAAAAGTCATCACATTTTTCAAGATATTGTTACTAGATGGCCTGGATCTTCACATGATTCTTTTATATTTGATAATTCTCGTTTATTATTTTTTCGCCTTTATTAACTTTTAGAACAGAATTTAATTAAATTAAATGTACAAAATTAATTTATAGTTTAAAATATTTTTTTATCCTATCTAATATGATTCAGTACAAAATTATTTAATGGCAAAGTACAAGCAATTTTTTTACTCCTTTTTTTCGATCACATTAATTATTTTAAAAATTAAAAAAAACATCTATAGAATTTTTCTACATAACGTTCTCAACAGTTGATAAATTTACATCTAATTTTTCATCATTAAATATGTTTATATTTTTTTCTTATATCTGAGCACCTTGATATCAGTTTTCGTTTTAAAATTATTATTTCATTCATTTTTATTTGATAAGATGATGAAGACATTTAATTTGGACCGTAAAGTTTTTTTATGAGCAATGATAGTCGTGTATATAAAAGATAATATTATTATCTACATAATGTAATAACTTCTATAATTCTCTCAGCGACAAATTTGTACGATTTTCTTCTTTTCTAGCTACATACCGTTGTAATGGTGGTATAAAGTATAAAATTAATCCACTAATAGCAATAGCAACACCTGCAAGAACAAATGCAGGCTCATATTTTCCTGATATATCATATAACCACCCTCCGATTGGAGGTCCAACAAAAGAAGCAATTCCTTGGAACATAAGTAAAAGACCAAAGGCATTTGTTAGATTATCAAGTCCTAATAAGTCTACTAAAATCACGGAAGTAAGTCCAACATAGGCACCAATTGTGAACCCAAAAACAGCAGAATAAACTGCAAGTCCCCAAAATTCAAAGCACATTACGGACATTATAGTTGCAGCACCACAAATTGTAAGGCAAAGATTGTACACATGAAGTCTATTAATCCATGGCTTGTCGGATATATAGCCCAAAATGATACGTCCCAATGTATTTGCACCACCGATTGTTGAAATGAGAAAGCTTGCGTATTGCTTATCAATACTCAAAGTTTCAGCTTGCGCTGCTAAATAGACATAAGGCATGTTGAAACCGATACTGCAAAAAATATGAGAATTCGAAGTTTTGATTAATGCACAAAACTTAATATTGTTTTTATAATTACCTTGTGAGGAAATTAGAAGCAACAAAGAGAACAAAAACGGGATCTTTTAAAAGTCCAAAGCTCATCATTTTCTTGATAGTGTCGTGCGTTTCTTCAGAACATGGTATACAGCCACAAATTTGTAATTGCTCAATTTCTTCATTCTTTGAACGTCTTCTCATTGAACCATATCGATCAGTTGCATGAAGTGATAATTCTGAACGTTGTCGTGCAATGTTGTGGATAGATCCCATATAGAAAGCATCAGGCCTATCTAATTGACCACTGTTAGACTTCTTAATGTGCCATCCAACGTTATTAGGATCGTGTAACAATGGCTGACTAAGGCTGGTTGCTAATCGAGACTTTTCATCTCCATTTTTATTAGCATGTCCATTTTGTGATTTTCCATTAGTTTTCGTTGCGAATGTTTCATGGCCAACGCTAAGTGATCGAACAATTTGAGTATAAGGCGGTGGTGCAAGTAAATTCTTATTTTCTTCCTGAATACTTTCTGTCTTGTACTTAATGTTATTGTTATTATTGTTGTTATTTGACACTGGACTTTCAGGTTCAACAATTGCTGGATTCTCATAACCTTCAGGATCAAGTGGCCTAAACATCCATCCGAATACAGCACAAAAGAATGTGATAATAGCGATGAAAATGAGAGTTCCTTGCCATTGATATCGAGCAATTAAAAATTGTGTAAGTGGAGCGAAAATAACAGTACCAAAGCCTGAACCGCACACAGCAATACCTGGATGGAATTAATTGAACATGATTTTTAATTTATTGCATGTCATGATAATGTCAATATCAATTTTACCTGTTGCCAATGATCTCAGTCTTTCAAAATACATCGTGACACTAACAATAGCTGGGAGATAAATCATACCGAAACCTAGAAATTGATAAATAACACAAGTATTGATTGATGTGCATAATAAATTATTGATTTTATTTAGATCTTACCAAATCCTACACCAAAACCCTAATTAGATCCAATTCCACGAGTGAATTTTAAGAGACAAAAAAAAATAGAAAAATTTGTTGATTAGCATGAAAATTCACTCAACTTAATTAATCCACTTACAATTGTAATGTACAGCGTGAAGACATTTTTAGCAAAAACGCTAAGCAATAGACACACGCCTGCAATTATCGTACCAGCAATTGTTACTGCACGACATCCATATTTGTTAACAAAACCAGATGAAATGGGACCTATATAAAGAGAATGTAAAGAAAATAAGATATAAATGAGTTCATTGTGTAAGGATAAACACGTGCTTTTCATTTGGAAAATTTGCGTCATTATATATGGTGTGAAGGAACAGAGTTGGGTGAAGGATTGTCTGTTAAAAAGTTGATTATCGATTTGACAGATTCAGACACAATTCGTATCTGATAATCTAAAGCTTAAGATAGCCTCCGACACAATCGATATAAATCCAATTCTAAGCTCAGGCTCTTGAACTCAGACTTTTCTTTTAATAAGGAGCATTTTTCAAATCAGCCAAGAGACCTCCCAACACAGTTCTTCAAGTTTGAATCCGATAAATTCACAAACAATAAACATTGATCATCAGCATCCCTAAATTCCTACAACAACCCTGTCTAATTCAAATGTTTCAGTATAATATGCAAAGTTATTGTGTGAAATGTGCTTTTTTATAAGATTATAAGAAGTACGTGATGTGCATTTGGAATGAACACTAGCAATGGTTGAGAAAATAAAGAAATAGAATTTTTAGTACACAAATGAGCAAGAGAATTGAATATTTTGATGATGCTGGTACCGATGACTTTATAACAAAGGAGCTTTAATGAATGTTTTGTGGCATGTCTGTTGTTTGCATTTTTGAGGGTATAATAGGTGACAATTTTTGACATGACGAACTTTGAGTTTTATTTTTATACTCTGCCAAAATGAATTTATTCTCATGTGTGTGATGATTTATTGAAATTGTCAAAGCTTCTTCATAAATGCGTTGAATCTGCCAGGACTCATAAATCAATCACTTTTAATAAAATTTTATGATCTGTGTGGACTTTGTGATTCGGTCAGTAAAAGTGAGAGTTTTGTTCTCTCTCTATTTTCATATATTCTAGTCACATCCAGCTCTTTATCTAGTCAGAGTAAATTTTAATTACTCGGACAATCTAGAGCTGAGTTCATTGTGTTTTTAATCGTTAGAAGCATCTTGTTGACTCATGTAGTGCAAGTGTGATAAACAAAACAAGGAAGAACTGAGTCAATTTGAATCAGTATAAACCGGTCATGACTAATCAATTGAGAGTTTATCAGAATTTCATTCATACATGAACATTTGAAATTAAAATTTTATGCAAAGAGGAAGAACTTTTAGATCGATTCATTCTTTATGAAATCTTGTGATTTGCTTAAGATTATTTCATTTGCTTCGACACCAAAAGCTAATCATGTCTAATTAAAATCTAAACTGATTATTTCGTAATTTTAAGTCTACTTCCTCATTTTGTCTTAAAAGTTATAGAACGACAGATCAGAATGTCTAAAATTCTTTATTAATAACCTCATTAAGGATCTCCCGAGGTTACCAGTGTTATTATTTTGATGCTGTTAATTAAATAATTTATTTTTAGACATAGTAAAACCGCTTTATCAATTAAAAGCTATTATCGTCGCGCAGCATGCATAATTATAATATATTTTGCAAACATCAGATGATATTGCGCAATAGAAGGAACTTTGTTGTCGTAAAACTGATAAGAATGAATCATAAAGTGATTCCTATGCAAAGATTTGAGAACTTAAGCTTTAATGGAACTTTCATTAGATTTTATGATCTGATTAAACAATTTGAAGGATTACAAATGATAATTGTGATAGATAAAGCTGATTATTTGTTTATTTTCACTTTGAGACAGTGACTAGCCAAGTAATTATCTCATGTGATAAAATTGTAAAATTTAAACTTGGGTTTTTTTCTGCTGTGTTGATAGGAAGTTGTTGCTACGTGAAAAGATTAGAATTGCTGTCGTTAGGATAGCAGGGAGGGATTCACATGAAGAATGGCAATTGAATATTTTGAGAAACTTCAGCAAAAATCTCAAAATTCTGGCTATTCTATTGATTATAAGTGACAAGACAGCACTTAAATATGTAATTGAAGCATCTTCAAAAGTTAACTTCTGTTTGAAACTTAAAGATTGTTTTTCTCAGTTGGACTATTTCTACAGTTTCCTAAGAAATCGAAACAAACTTGAGCTATTAAATGCAAATCAAAGCTTGAACTTTAGAATCACAACATACATGTTTAAGAAGTTTGTTTGCATAAATAATTATTTTTTAAATAACTTTTTCCGTAAAAATGGTAAAAATCAAAAAGTTTTACTTTCAAACTTAATGTGAATCCATAAATTTGTTCTCAAGAAACTTTTACAGTAGAACTTTTTGTATCTTGACTGAAAGTAAGTTCGTGTCAAGTTGAAATGAATAAATTTATATCAATCGTCCTCAACAGCAATGCTTAAGACAAACAGAAGCAAATTTTCACTTTACGCACGTTCCATTAAATATTCAAATTTTATAGAAAAATATTTGTGACTTGTCAATGAGAGGCAATGACCGAGCAGCATGCATAGTGTTATGAAAAGCTTTATTATCAATGAAATCCTGAGATACTCAAAATTGGGAGGGAAAATGATTCAAGATTAAGTCTGAGCGGCACAAAGCCTTCTTTGTGTCACTTACAATGTCATATCAATGTGCTCCTCGGTCCAGCAATAAAAATAAAACTGAAATTTAATTTTATCAAAAAGAATTCAATTACCCGAGCATAATGTGACACCAACAAGAATGGATGCAATCCACGATGTTTCTGCTTTTCCTGACTGAAAATAGTCCAGCCATTCCACATAGAAAATTCCAAGTGTATAAGTGACGCCATCGGCTAAAGATGAAAATGAAAAAATTAATTTACATTAAAGATTATTGTTCGAGGAATTTAATGCTTAATAAGCTTGACAATAATTCAAACATTTAATGAGTAAAATCCCACGTTTTTATTTGTCATGGCATCATCGACTCCTTATCTAAAGATAAAGAAAGTTGAAGATTAATTGAAATATTTATCGTGTGTAGTGAACAGCCTTTAATCTTATCAAATCGATTCAAGAGCTACAACATTTGGTATTTTCTTATCAATTACGTTCCAAATTTATTGAAGCTTTCATCGCTTCAAAATGAGGATAAAATAGATTTTATTTCTAAGGTCGACTGAAGATTTAAGAATTTCTATTTCAAAAAAGTCTTCAGCTATTATCAGTACATTTTGTTTGTATAGTCTATTTAATGTTTTATCATCACTGTCCCTAATTTCTAGTTACAACTAGTCGCATCGCAAACAAAGAACATTTTTTGTCTTGTAACCATGACTTATCAGTTTCTGTAAATCTTTTTATATGACAAAACGCACATTTTGACTTTTTGGTATTTGCTAGATGATAAAGAAAGAATAGAAGTTGATGATTAACGAAGTAGTAGACGGAAAGATTGACATTAAGGTTTCGAAACTAAGGATTTTGTTTGTAAAACAATTTGTCTAGTTTTATTGGAAACTTACTAGATTTCCAAGTCAACTATAGTAAATTAGTATCAAATCTCGGAGGAAAATTAGATTTTGTATAGAAAAAGCGTTGTCAACTCACTGAAATCAGCTTAAAGCTCTAAAAAATTCCTCAGTCCCTCTAAAGCTGATTAATTACCAGGAAAAAAAGAAAATCAAATGAATGAAATGTAAGACTTAATTAATAAACGACATAATTGGAATCAAGTTCACGGTCATTACAAATGTTTACGAGTTATTAATGTTTACCAACAATTCATGTTTTTCTTCCGCTTACTCATAAAAGCTTGCAAGAGAAAGAGCGCGGAATTGCCAAGGGTAAAATTATTTCTCATTCACGTTCTATTGCGATAAGGAATGGTATAAAATTAACTAAAGGTATTTTATGATAGGAAATGTAGTACAGCTATTTATCTTGCATTTTGATTCCACGTCACTCCAATTATTGAATTTTACGGTGCGATGGACTTTGAAGTTAATTTCATTTTATCAAGATTTTTGATCCACTTTCATGGTTATCAACTTAAATGTCTTGAATTCGTAATTTTGGAAACTCAAATTGAAAATTCAAATTCCACGGGATTGAATGATGTAAAATGTTCATCCTAATAGATGAAAACTTAATTAATAATTCATGTAGAAGTTCTGTCAGCTATGAATCTCTATTTTGTATTCTCAAGAGCTTTAAAAAATTCATAAACAGTCCTGACAATCACTTTTACGTTTCCATTCATCCCACATTGAAGTCATAAAGCATGCAACATTTTATCATTAAAATTCCGACTAAAAACGACAGTTTCTATGGAAACGATAGTGACGTCTTATCGGTTTCAATTTAATCAGCCTAATAGGCTTGAAAATTTTGCTGAAAACAGCTATTGATAATTTGTCATAAAATGTAACTGTGCAACATGAAAGTAAGTTACAATAAATCAATCATATTTCATTACGAACATATCAGTTTGGTTCCATAAATATTGAATGACTCAATTGGATTTTAGTCATGATTTTTCATTTGTAAATCTATCTAGTATTTATATACAGTTTGCAAGTCAATATTCATGTTTTTTCGTTCTATTATAAGCTCAATTGTTTTCCTTATCAACCGTCAACCACATTTCTGTGTCACAAGATTCTTGCCTTGAAAAACGTGATTTTAATTCACAATATTATCAATATTTGTGTTATTCTCGATTGATTTAATTTTAACTCATGTGATCCCGGTCATTTAACAAACATTTATTTATTTATTTTGATAATTAGCTTAATTAGCTCAACTTACATACCGACGGAACTAATTTCACTTAATTATTTTTGGAACATTTTACATTATTTTCTCTACTTTGAGCAGCCTGTTGATTCTCACGTAATTTTCATAAAATCTTTGCTATTTCTGTTAAGATTTATCAAAGTGTAATTCACGTGGGAAGGCAAGTGAAGCTGAATAAGCAAATCAATAGAAGTTTCGCTAGAAACGTGATAATTTTAACTGCAAACATATTTAACTAATTAAGAAAGTTTTTGACTAATTTAATAGGAACTAGTTGATAGTTACGGTAAAAACACAGTTTATCTTAACAATTAATTTGTGATTTTAATTTACAGACTTTCTTCTTGGAATTATTGTTATTGGTCACGAGACAAACTTCCAGAATTTTCACATCTTTAAGTAGAATTTGTTCAAATTTACAAGTTTTAGTGAAAACTATTTATTGTCTGATTTATATCTTTGGAATCTGCTGTTGATTAAGGAAGTCCTAGTGTATGGCATATTTCTGTGTCATGACTGCATCGCAGGTGTGTCGCGAAACGTTTGGCTCTACTACAAATTCAATATTAACACTAGATAAGAAAGAAAGTGCCTATTAAAAAGTATAGAATAACAACAAGCCCCTTTAAGTAAAAGTATTGGCTGATATTAACTATTCCTTGAATCTCACATAAAGATTCGCTTATCGATTGTAACATTCTGTCAAAATTCAAATTTGTATTATTATTAATTTGTTGATGATACAATTAACCAGTAATACATTTCCTATTCACTATTCTTAAAGGAGGATCTAGAATATAATCTCAAATTTAAGTTTATAGTGAGTTTAAGATCTTGTTTCGATTTTCTGCAGTCGTAATATAATACTTTCAGGTCGTTCTATTAATTTTCTATTTCAAACCAATCTTGCAGTTCTTATTAGGATTTTTCATGTTGCTTTTGTGCAATCAGCACATATAGAAATAGACCACAAAACGTTTTCTCGTCCAAATCTGTCCAAAGTATCCCTTCATACCCATGACAAACTCACATTTGCTTACATTGTACTAAAAGTGACGCGAAAAACGTGAATTTTTCTTGTATTTGGCATTTAACTTCATACTTCAACACCGTCTTGATTTGATAAGGAAATAAATATGACAAAATAAAAAGTTTTGTTGTTATCAGCAATGACTCGTAAATAATCCGTCACTAAAAATAGATTATGTAAAGATTTATGACTTTTGTGGGTGAGTTAGTGTCACGAAGTATTTCTTTAATAAAAACTTAATATTAGGATTTTGTTCAATGATCTAAATAAATGCCAATACAGATAGGAACTAAACTTCCTTATCAATATGGAATAAAGGGGTGTGAAACGATTGCCAGTAGTAAGTAAATTCACGTCATGGAAATAAAAACTTCTGTATTTGTAGTGACATCAGTTAAATTTGCAATCATTTCCAATAAAAACATGTATTTGCTTACAATAAATACGTTATTTGAATCATTAATTTCAGCACTGAAGCGTTTTAAGTACGAGGACTGCTTTTTGTCATTTCCATAATAATTTTGAACTTAAGACTAGTTTTTAAAGTTATTATCATGAATAATGATCTGATACTAATGATATACAGCACCAAAAAAAGTTTCTTTCTATTTTCATTGACAGGAAGTTGTTTATTGTAATGTTATTGCTTTATTTTTCATGGATTGTGTGGCAAAAATTTAATATTATTTTGTTTTTAATTTAATAATCTGCTTTAAATTTACGAAAATAAATTATTTTTTTTTGAAATGTTTATTGACAGTCATTTGATTTTAATTGGGACTCTTGTTTGTGATTTGTTGTTATTAACGGCAAATAACATTGTTTTATAGAGTATAAGAATCCTTTATGAACTCTGTTTTCTTAATCCTTAAATGAAGCACAAAATTAGCATTGAATTTCCTGTTAAACTTCATAAAAATAATTTGAATATCAAATTATAAATTCTCATTATACAAATTCTCTTTAAAAATTCCAGTAACATAATCAGCAAATTAGAGCTTACACTTAACAGCTAATTACTACAAGTAGCATTTTATTATCCACTCAAGCTAGGAATTTATGACAATTTTGAAGTGTATTCAAATGGTTTAATGTAAGAAAAATACAGGAAAATATTTACTGTGAAGGATAATGCAATAAAAATCCAGTAAGACATGACAGAAATTTTCAATTGCACTGTCAAGTTCCACATAGTGATTTAACATAAACAATGAAATTCCAAGTCGTTGATCTCGACTATTTTCATGTTGTAAACATGTTGAATGTAAATTTTATGCAAATTTTGTTTACTCTTATTAAATCAATTTAATATGTTGTTAACGTGTTGCTATTTGTATCTGGAACTTGTTAGAGTAGCTAATTGATGGAATTGTTAACTTTAGTTTGAGATTAGATTTATAGCTTTTTTTTGCTCTTTAAATGCTTTTGACAAGGGTTTGGAGCTTACTTTTTAATAAATAATTTTTAATTCCACTAGAATCTAAGCATAAGCTATGGGTTGTATAGTACTCAGAAATGTTTTTGAAAAAAACAGATATTGCAGCTGATTCATTCAAATCGATTGACCTTAAAGCTTTGTTATTTTTTCCATTTCCAAACAATTATTCCTACTTGATTGATATTTCCATTCCTCATTCCTGTTTTATTCAATAAACTTAACAATTCATTCTACATGAACTATTACATCCAATACAATGTATGTCATATTATTTCATACTCAACAAATTCCACAACATAACAATATCAGCGTGAATTGTGTCTATTAATCTAGTTTCTTATCGAGGGAGAAATAATTAATTATCAGATCTCAAGAGCTGTAAGAAGTCCGCATTTTTCATCAATAACATTTCAATATCTATTATTTCACATTGCTATCCTTATTGCACGCGCACTTTATGGAAACAAGTTTTTTTTTCGATTATCTTGTTCCTATCATCCTTTTTATAAAGCGGCATTCAATTCAATTTCATTTAACCTTGTTGCAAGCTTAAAAGTTCCTGAAAATTTCACAATAACTTTCCTATCCAATTAAAGACTTTAGGCAATTTTTGAAATATATTTTAAGCTAATTAAATAAGGTAGCAGAAACATTAGGAAAGTAAATAAATTTTATGCTGGATGGAACTTTACAATTTTATTTATTGAGCTGCTTTTTATAGAAATTAAAAAAGTTCAATTTCGAGCAATTTATTTTCTGACGTGAAATTATGAAGATGCTATTTATGTATGCTTGAATAAGTTTGTCTTGCATGAAAATAAAGAAGCTGTATTGGGATTCATCAGTGGAGTAATCAGGGAAGAGGGGAAACCTTTCTCATTTCTTGACAAATATAATGATAGACTTCAATGATTACTTTAAAGATGGAAAGGACCGAGAAACCGACCGCTGAGTACGTTTCTTGTCTTCTTTTATATAGTGCTGAATACGCGTGGCTTATTTATAATTGGAAATTTTTTTATGAATTTTAATAAGGTCTATTATGAATAATATTTAAAGCAGTTTGCAAGTCAATTTTCACGACTTTTACATGCTTAATGATTGAATGAACAACCGAAGCTTATTACTTTTGATTTTTTAGAGTTTTAGGAAATATTTTGCATTAAATATTTATTATAAAGATTAAAATTGAATTCTTAGCATGCAGCTAAGTAGCTGTCAAGTGGATCTTTCAATACTTCAGAGAATTTGAAGCTATAAATGGCTTAAACAGAAGAAAACAATATTTTTATCAATCTAAAGCAGCTCATATAGTTAATTCATTCCTTGTAAGGAAGACAAAGCTAATTATCTTAAACCTTTTCATTATTCCATTGACATTTCATCAATTTTATTATTTAAACCTTTCTTTCTCTTGACGGTTATCAACCTATCCCAATTACCCTACTTTAATCATCAACCTTGTCATTTGTGTAAACAATATTACAGATTTTAATTTCCTTTTTCGGACTGAGATAATCATAAACAATATCCATTCATTTCACACTCTTAATTCGTGACATTTTCGGAATCATCGGTAATTTACAGTCAATAAACAATCAAAAGTGTCACACATTTAAATTTTTTTTGGAATCAAAACAAAATTATTCAAATTTTCTGTCGCTTCCAAGTCCACAAAAAGTGATGAAATATTTGAGTTTACAGGAACGATTTTACAAGCTGTCAACAACCATCAACTTGTTTAATAATTCCAAAAAATATATATATATATAAACACCGGATAAAAAGCTTCAACAATTTCAATTCCCTTTTCGTGCTTAAAATGTAACATTGACATTGAAATTTTAAGCGCTGCAGCTTTTCACCTGTGAAGTTCTCGTTAGCAACTAATTATAACATTGTTCTACATAGTTACGAGCACCGAAGCTTTAAAATAATCTACTAAATATCAAAATTCGATTTAATATCACTCAGCGATCACGACGTGCAGAAATAATAACAAAGTCTTAATTTCTTTCGCGGGCGATCACATTTTTATATTTTCGCATTGATGACAGAGTTGATATTAAGAATGATTAGTTATGGGAGCACTTTTAATTCTTTGCTTTAATATTCTGATCTTGAATTTAGTAAGTTACTAGTTTTGATCATCATAGCGTTTCTAGTTTATCTTCGTAGATTAAACTAATTAGATATGAAGCTTGATCAGTCCAAGCAGCTGTTAAGAATATGAGTTACTACGGGAATCTTTTGTGCTTTTAGATTTATAAAGCAACGACCTCTTAGGTGAGTGAAACTCATGACATAAGATTTAATATGGTCAACTAAGCTAAACCTTAGTCAAAAAATTATCAAGTTTTCCAACTCTGACAGAAATTGATGAAAATAAAATAAATCTGGCAAGTGAATCAGTTTTGATTTTCAAATAAAATGAGTAAAACTTGATGCCAAATGTCGAATAATTTGTTCGCTTCTTTTACACACTTTTCTTAGATGTGATATCGTAATTTAAAGTCGTGCTTAATTTGATCTCGAAGGAATTTTATTTTCATGAAACTTTTTCTTTTTTTATCAGAAGAGCCAGAGTCTTAAAAGATGTGAGGAATTGATTTTATTGAACAGCATTTATTAATTATTTTGTTGTCAAAATTTTAATTTTCAATAAGAAAACATTCAGAACTTTTTGGAACATTTTTTGGACATGGATTAAATTTTAAACAAGTGGGTTGAATTAATTCCATTCAATTTAAATTCAATAGTAAAGCAAGAATTTAGAATCAAGAGAAAATATAACTTTACAAGACAAATATAAACATCTTCAGCTGATTCTGATCTTGAAGATGAAACAAAAAGAATCTAGACTGACTAAGTTTAGGGTGCTTATTAACTCACAAGACTACAGAGAAGAAATCAAAATTTTGCTTCGATTAATCTAGATTCTGAAGTTGTTATTGTCTAGTTCAGACTACTGACATGCATTATCAGTGCGGTCAGTATCCTCAACCGGCTATGCTCTCAGTTAAGATAGATAGCCTGTTTTATACAAGATCAGTTCAAGTAGACTTGATGCAACTAGCCTTGAATTCATGATTCAATCTTGCAAGACATCTGAATGATAACTGATGATTGACCTTAGGTTTTTCTTTACTTATCCTGGTAAATATGACATGATGTTTACATTATAACAGAGATTATTCAGGATATGATAAGCACTTGATCATTTATTATTTATTTTTCTTTTAACTGGATTCCTTATTGACTTTAATCCATCATTTAATTTAATTGCCTTGAAATTATAAAAATTTAATTTTGAACCTTCTTAGAAATATTTTTGGATTCATTAAGACAGATAAATTCATTTTTTTAAAGTGCAATGAAAAATCAAACCTTTTTACAGCTTTCGTTACTAAGACAACCAACACTTTTTTTTTAAAGCACACTTCCTTTACGTAATCACAGATGGTAATAAATTCCGTTCTATTTCGTCCCCGGATGCTTTACTTTACTCATTACATGCTCGACATGTGATCAAGTTATGATAGCTGAGATATAATTTGATTACTGTACTTTGTAAGGACATCAAATTTAATTGAATACAATGAAGGAATATTATTTGATCAGCAACATTGTTGGGTATGAAAATTGACCGGGAAATATTGTTGAATTATTAAAGATTCAAACTTAAGTAGTTTGGAGTAGATTGCAGAATTGTTCCTGAACCAAATGTCAAAATCCAGCCCTTTATCTCCATAATACCACCCACTACATCTACTCGACAGCTTTATATCCTCATAAATTAATTCACAAAAAAAAATCCAGCAATAACATGATTAATTATTTGTAGTATCTTCACGTGATAAGGTTTGATAACAAAAAAAAAGTATAAATGTTGAAATTATGACGATAATCTAACGCACTTGAACTTCGTATCATAAAATGCCATTTTTCTTCTTGTCAACAGCAATTTTTCATCACACAAAATTGTATTTTTGTCCTATTTTCTTATCAAAATTAATTGAGTATATTTTTTTTTTTCATTTCATTCGTGTGAGAATATTAAAAATTCGAGTTTAGCAAGAAATAATATTGAGAGTGATAAGCTTTACGATAACGTCAATGTTCTCTGGTCAAAGATAAGCGTATGGCACTCAATAATATTTGGGAAATAAATTTTACTCAAAAAATGATCACTTTAATCAATCAGTTATGCTTCTAGAATGTTGAAATTAACAGATACTTACTGACTATGTGAATCGCGAAGCTGGCAAGTACAACATACCATCCCCAACCTCCATCAATGTCGGGATGTTTAGGTCTCTCAACTGCCTCCTCAGCATCTTTACGTTTCGCTGCTGGAGCATGTGTCATTTTGTCACTTTCAATTAACTAATTACGTCTCGTGTGGATATCTTCACAGCAAATACTTAATTATTTACTGACCAATCGACGCCGAAAAAATCATACAAGAACTAATATTTTATTTTGTGTTTAAAAATATGCAATAACAAAATAAGTTTCACGGCTTGACAAATTTATTTATTTTCTTATTTGTTGATCACACTAACACTTACTCGATGGGAAAGAAAAATACCGCGAGATTAAGTTGAAAATAAAGGATGATTTACGAGTGAAATTAATAGGCAAAAAAAAAATAGTTAAACGAGGAATAAAAACAAAAAAAATAAAGGTTCTTCTGCTTGATTCTATCTAATGTTCATCACTGATTTTTTGACTTTACTTGTGGACTTCTTCCACATAGAATCACTTTTTGTTTCTTCGAATTTAAATTTTTCCTTTAAATCTCCTTACACTTTACATATTTCTAAAAGTCTTTGTACAATTTTTTTTCATTCATTAAAACTTTTTTTTTTGTTTCTGTTTCTGTTTTAATTACACAAAGAACACAAGGTTTAAATTCTCTCTCGTTGTCTTTATTTCCTCGCCAATACGAACTGTTCCCCATGAAATTATAATTACAACTGAACGAAATGATTATCAGTGAACAATTTTATTATTTCATTTTCTCTTCGCACATTTTTCTTCTGTGCAATTCGTTCTCACACATGTGCTGTGTTGGGGGTGAGAGTATGAGAGATACTTCACGGTATTAGAGAGAGAGAGAGTCGGCTCTCGATATCTTTCACTAACCGTTATTGTTGATAACATGAAATAACATAAACGTCTCAATTTTCGATTATTCTCAGCTCACATTCATTCCGCTGATCTTGACAGATTTGATGATGATTTTCATATTTTACAATGCTAATGATCTAGAATGAAATTGACAAAATATTGATAAGTTAATTAAATTGTTGCTTTGAATCTTATTTTTAATTAAAAACAATCTTTTCATCTCCGCAGTCGATTGTCAAGTTTAGCGACTCTTTATGATTCATTAAATACAATATAATGTGTTTGATTGATTGATTGGAGATTGAGTGCATGAAATTAATATTTGTAAATTGATTCTATCTATTATCAGTTTTATATTGTCAGAGGAGGAGCTCGTAGAGGAGTTATAGTTAGCTATAACCGTCTTGTTTACGTTCACAAATGCTTATTTTTCATTATGTCGTTTGATTGAATTTCATTGAAGTGTAGGAAAGTTCCAATTTCAATGGCTTTTCGCGACAATTTGAAAATTTTGTGTAAATAAAAATTGTAATTGAATCCTTTTTGGGACTCGTGTGTCAACATTTTTTATCTTCATAGCATTTATGTATGTTTTCACTGATCTGATGATATTGAGCACAAATAAAGCTTATGAGCTGCTTCAGATTCCAAAAAATATTCAATTCCTGATCATTTAAGGAAATTCATGACGAATTAATTATGAGATAGGAATAATTTTGAAGGGCAAGGTTATCAGTCATTAGTCAAAGTAAATTAAATATTACGCTTTGAAATTCTTATCAAGTCTAACATTCCTACAACATTTTTGTAAGTTTTTAAGCATTTTTTCTTTTTCTTTAGACCCTCCCTGAATTATAAAGTTTGAGGAACAAGAAAAATTTTGAATTAATTATTTCAATTATTTGAAGACCAATCCCATAGTAAATGTCAGTCATCTGTAGATGACATGAGCTCGCTGACTTAAAATTTTATAGGACAAATCTTAAACAGTTCATGTCAAATAGGCAATAGATTGAAGCTGATTTTGATTAAACATTCAATTAAATTTTTGAATCAAATAATTTTTTAAAGTGAAATACAAAGTTGCTATAAGTCATGAATAAGCAATTCAGTTTTCTTAAAACTTAATACTTTTCATGAAACTTAATGAGCTCTCAAAACTCAGTAAAATTGTTCATTTCCAGCAAAGAAAATTCACTTCATTTCTCAGTAATGAATTTTCTCAAATTCTCAAAAGGAAAGTTTCTCGATTTTCAATTTTAATATAATAAAAAGCGGGCAAAATTGTTTCTGCTTGTTCTTCACAGCTTCAGGTTCATTCAATAGCAAACAATGAAAATAAAAACTTTTTTAAGCAAAAAGTTACAAATTTGAATGTTTGATTTGTTTTTATGCTTGAATGAATATCGTTGCTTGATGCTGAATGCAAGAAGTTTTAACTTAATGATTGTGAGAATTTTTTCATCGAAATTTAAGTGATTTTTAATCTTTGTGATCTTTTTATTCCTTCTGGAGCATTCTTAATGCAAGACGCACTTGCAAGTCAGCCTACGTGCCGTAATCTTCCTTGAATCCCTTATTCCAATCATATTTTCTAAAATTCTCATTCTCATTGTTTTGTGTTCTTTTTTAGAATTTTCTAGTCTAACATTTGTTTTTAAATTTATTTATTTTTGTATGAGGTTCTGTTTCACTTAAGAACTCAAATTTCATTTTTAATACAAAAACTCATGCCAAATGTCACGTTTACTATAATTTCCAAGAAACTCTTCTTCTTTGTGTCATTTGTAAGAGTTTAGTGAAATGATCAAGTTTTATGCTTTAAACAAAATAAGCAATTTATAATTTTGAAGAGGAAGTTTTTCATAAATGGAACTTAGTGGCATGAAAGCATTGTCATATTGCAGTTGATCTTTTACATGATTTTAATTAATTAAAACAGAATGAAAATCAAGAAAATACTTATAAGAGCTAAGGTAGTTTTCCTGATTTCTTGGTCCCGCGAAATTGCTGAGACTTTCCTGATTGGTAAGCGGAAGCTAACGATAGAGCAAAAGCCAGCTTCAGGCATCATTTATAAGAGCGAAGTCAGTAATTAGTGAATTTTTTTGTTCAATAAATTTTGCAGCTTTAAATAAACAGACTTAAAAAAATTCAAGGAACTCCACAATTGCCATAAAAGAGAGAATTCTCTCTTATTTAAACAGCTGATCTTAAAATCATCATCTTTCTCTATAAAAAGTTGTTTAAAATATTGAAACTGAGGACAGAGAATTGCAAATTAATATCCAACTTTTATTATTGCTGACTAATCAAGCCTGAAAGGGATTAAAAAGAGGATTAAGTATTCGACCTTAAATTTTATCATGAAATCTCAGTTTCAAGGTTCGAAATGACACAGGCTTTATCAGATTTTGGTTTGAGGTTTGCTTTAGATAAGATTAAACGATAAGGCATGTTTGCTAACCAGCTATTATGATGCTTCATGACTTGAATCTAAATTATTTCTATTTCGCAATTGTAAAAATTTCTCAGATTAGATAACATTTGAGTGGAAATCAGTTTGCAAATACTAAATGCCATTTGGATGTTTGGTCAACTGAGATACTAGGACTAAGTGGCTGAATTCAACAGTTTGCAGCACGTCTGGCACTAAATTTGTTTATTTTGCAGTTTTTAAAAACAAAAACACTTCAAATTTCATGTTTAAATTGAAATCAAATTTCAAAAGTAACAAGATTATTGGACCTGGCTCATGTTTCAATAGCTTCTAGAATGTTTTAGAATATTACTAATTACTCATGGTTCATTTTTGATTTATTGAACATAAATATTGACATAAATGATGATTCCTTAGTGTTTATTGTTTATTTTGCTTTTAAGAGTTGGCAACGATCTAGAAAAATATGTCTAGGAAGATTTTAAGACTGTTTTCTCTTCAAATTTATTTACATCTTTCTTGAATGTGTATTACATTGACTGGATGTGTATAATTTAAGCTTTAGAATACACTGACACTGTCACATCGCCGAGTTAACAATTACATAGATTCTGGAGTGTCAGACAGCGCTGTGACGTTAGAAATGATTTTTACAGATCGACAAAATTTCTTAATACAGTGATAATTACTAGCTTTATTAACATGTGTTAAGTTATTCTTTTTTTAACACAGAAATTAGCGAATAAGCATCGGAATTGAATTAATATGCTTCATTTCTGTTGATAAAAATAGACAAAATACATCTCAAGCAGTTTATCATGAGCGAGTCAGCACAGTTCAGCTTGCACTCTATGTTTAAATCTTTATCTAATACTTAAGCAAGGATAAGCTTTTGGGTTGGTTCATCATAAGTTTTTGAACGATAAAAGCAAAGAAAATAAGCTTTAAAGAATATTTTATTAAAAGTGTGCATCATCCTTTCATAGCAGTTTGCTAAAACTTAACTTTTCCGATCACTCATCAAAACCAAAAAAACACACCATGCAACAAAGAACTTTAATGAGGAAAATGAAATCACGCACAATTTTTAATTTTATTAAAATGAATATCATTCTTTTGTGGTGCTAATGAACAGATCTCAAAAATTCATTAGAAGAGAGCTCCAAGTTCAATATACAGAAAGGCAAGTGTCTCACTCTCATTTGCCGAGCAGAGAGAAAAAGAGCGGCATGTACGAGGCAAAAATAATACAATCGTAATGAATATTTATTCAGCTGTTTTGCCATGTGCTTGCACTCATTTTAAGAATGGAACTGAGAAAATGCTAGTCATTAACTGCGAACGACGCCAAAATAAATAATTTTTTTGGGTCAAGTGTATCGGGTTTTGGATTCAGCCTTGGAGAACTCGTTCTATGTAAATAAATTTTGTTCCTATATGTAATTAATTTGGATAAGTCGTTAAAAAAAATGTAAACAATAACAAAACTTGATGTGATTGCGCTGCGGCTATAGACAACAAACATTTAAAATAGGTTAACTTAATCGAATAGTTACTAATAAATGTCATTCAATTGTAAATGTTATTGACATTCAATTAATTTTTTTTTCAACGCAGCTCAATTGAGATGTTGTCGCCTTTAAATTTGAATTTACGAGCGATATCGGAGACGAGGCACGATGAAAATGAAATCAAGACACTTCCTCATGACATTTTCACTCAACAAAAATAGACGCGATACTCATGAGCTTTACTTGTATGTCAGGTCGATTCTTTTCTTTTTGTCTAGCTATCT